GCTACAGCTTAAAGGTGAGTGAGAGCAGTTTCAGGTAAAAATATACCCCAGTGCACATACTAGGGTTGGTTTTTTTAAGGTTAACGACTCCTTCTGTCAATGTTTGAAGGCCTGTGTATTACAAAATTTTCAAAGTACTACAGTACAATATCAAAACAGTAAGAGTACTGAATAAAAGTGACCTGTCATTTTGTATATATACCAGAGGAAATTTTACTGTGCTTATCCTGAAGGCTTTTGTCCATCACAATACCAATTGCTCAAATAGTTGACCAAATTGCAGTTTGAATTCATCTCAACATACAGATCAACTGGTAAAATATTTTCACAAATTGCTTCAGTGAAAGGTTGTTAGTTTATATGAAGTGAGTGCAGTGAAATAAAAATAATGCTTACCATCCAACTTGTTATTTATAAATGTCTGTGTAATGCTATTAAAATAAAATAATCACCTACTATAATATAAGGCACTGGTTTAAAAAGGTCTGACTCTGACATGAAAATGTCTATCTTAATAACATTTTATTAATAAATAGTTCTTTCAATTGTTCGATTTGTCAATAATTTTTTGCTTTGTTTTTTAACAGGAAGTTATTGTGTAATTATAAGTTGGATAATTTTTTCTATAACAATTACTGATCTGCTGGCATTAAAGGGAAAAAAATTAAAATGCCAAATTAAGTTTGAAGTTGAAGAGCATTGAGGAAACTATATTCTGAAAGGTTTCGCTAAATACTGCTTTTCGGCAGAGGAGGGACGACACACTGCACACAGCACATGGGCTGTTGTCCTTCCTCTAGCTTAAAAGTAATCTTATCCTCAGTAGAAAATCCTTAGTATTTTGAACAATTCAAATTTCTGCAAAAACAGTTAATTTATAATTTTGACCATATGAATGATAATTCATGTCAACACAGTTTTACTGACTACTGGGCTGGTGATATCCTCTTTAATTTACAGAGGAATCTATGATTTATACAACTTTGAATGTGATCAATATGTTTTAATCATCTTAAAAAAAGATTAATAGTTTAATAATCATGGAATTAATGTTTAGAACAAATTCCTTATAAAATGTCAATATGAAGGAAGCTGATAGTTGATGACAGAACAAAATTTTGCTGATTATAATGTAAATTATTTCCCTTTCTTATTAGCAGATTAGTAATTGCGTTTTTAAAAAAATCCAAATAACAATTACGCAACAACTTCCTGTTAGCAAACAAATATATAAATTTTTGATCAACAAAATGTTTAGACCTAGTTATTTATAAAATTTATTCAGGATGGAGGTTTTCATGTCAAAGTTGGACCTTTGTAAACCAGTGCCTCGTATTATACTAAGTCATTATTTTATTTGAATTTCATGACTTAAGACAATAATTAACTGAAGTTTGATGGTAAGTAACTTTTTTCCACTGCACTCACTTCACACCAACAACCTATCACTGAAGCAATTACTTGAAATATTTTACCAGTTGATCAGTAAGTGGAGATGAACTCAACAGCAATTTGATAAACTATTTAAGCAATTGGTATAGTAATAGGCAAAAGCCTACCAAATAAGCACAGTAATGGGAAACAGGGATTTGGTTGCAAATTTTATAAAAGCCAAGATTTTAGCACAAAAACCCAGACTTTATTACAGAGATTTTTGTTGTAAAATTTTAAACCTGCATTACTCACTTGTTTGTCTATGATATGCTAGCGTTTAATGTCTACAAAAAGTCCAAAACAACAATTTCATTGTACATGCCAAAAACCTCATGCCGATTCACTAAAGTCGAGCGCACCCTAGAAGGTGTGCTCGAACAAGTCCATTTTATACTTGTTTTAGGGAAATCATTGTCAGCATTGCATGCAATAATCCCGTCTATTAAGCACTGAATAGTCAAATATAGAACAACGGGAAGGGCAGCAGATTTCATATAAAATTTCCATATGTTTAGCATTTTAACTATAATAAAATGCTCCGCTGGGCGCAGCTTGTTATGACCGCAGAGGTCGAACCCTGAACAGTTGGGGCAAGTATGTACACAACATTCAAGCTTGATACAGCTCTGAATTTGGATTGTGATTAAATATTTGACACAGCATAGGTTTCTGACACAGAATGAATGTGGTATTAGAACTTAAATTTTTTTAATTTACCTATATCATTATTTGCTTTTATATATAAATCAGAAATAACCAATTTAAAATGGAAAATTTTAAAGAAAAAAATCCCCCCCCCCCCCCCCCCCCCCCCCCAGGCCTCGACAATAACGCTCGTCCGATACCAGAGGAAAAAAAAGGTCGGACAAGTAAAATTATTCTGCAGAAAATAAATGTAATCCAACTTTGATGAACAAAGTTATTATAAACAAAAAACAAGAAAAGATAAAAAGTATTAATTTGACATGTTTACTTGTTATCGATACTTTAAAACTGGTTCTTTGTCAGGTACTGTTTAAGAGGTAAAAGGCATACTTTTCTGGGAAACCAGTCTTACTGATCAGAATCATTCCGCTCCAAATTTAATAGACAGTTTGGCACCGTAGGAGACATATTTAATAGACATGATTAATAGACAGTTTGGCAACACAGGAGACATTTCATTTGGGACTAAGACAAATCAGTACCTCGTTTTCCGACCTTATTCTGTTGCTTTATAATAAATACACCTGTAATTTTTTTTAACAAAATATATTTTTTAAATAAAAATGAAGAAATTATTTAACATAAAATTCACAAAATCATATTTGATCACATGAAGAAAAAAACAATACTTGCAATACGGTGACCTATAGTTGTTAATTTCTGCGTCATTTGGTCTCTTGCAGAGATTTCTCATTGGCAATCATACCTCAACTTCTTTTTTTATTGATTGCCATTGAAAAAACTTTTTTCAACTTAAAAACCAAGATACAAATCCAACGAGTGTACATTGACAGGCCTAACAGACGGTGCCTCAAGTGCAGAGTCTGATGAGACTTTGGCACTGAAGAAAGCTAGAACCTAAGTCCTGTGACATGACTAGATTCAGTTGTTCTCGACTCATATTTTTGAAAAGTATTTCAAAAGATATAAACCAAATTCTGTTCTATTGTTTTAATTCATTTTATTCCTTGAATCAACTTAAAATGCAAATACGGTTATTAATAAGATTTTTTTTGGACAAGTTACAATTTCATTAGGACAAGTAAGTTTTGGTATGTACTTGTCCTACTGGACAAGTTGAAAAAAAGTTATTGTAGAGGCCTGCATTTCTGTTGTGATATGGAACCTTGTGGTACAATGTCAGAGAGATCCATACACTAACACACAAGTTATGTCTGGAAGTTACAAAAATGCTTATTTTTGGCCCCTAATTCCTTAACTGTTCCTACCATAACCCCCAAATTCAATCCCAACCTTCCTTTTGTGGTAAAATTTCATAGAGATCCATTCACTTAAACTAAAGTTAGAGTGCGAAAACCAATGTGTCTTCGGATGACGACAACGTCATACCAATATATGCAAAAATTTTGCAGTCGTATAACGATCAAACTTTATGATTTCATGCATTGCACTTGGAGCTCGAGTAACAGCTTTAATGAACAATATAGTCCTACAGTTGTTTACAACAATAAGGTGATTTAAACAGTGATACTGAGGGGACAGTATCAAATGCAATTCTGGTGTTTAGATTATTTTACATCCTTCTACAGTGATAAAAAAAATGCCCATCAAAATCAAAAAAAGATTTGTTTTCTTCTGAAACACTAAATGACTTTAGACTTCATATATCTGGTGGTTGCTAGGTCTAAAAACTTTTCCAACTGCAAAGGTTAGTCTGTTCGGCATCGGGTCCGTTCACACCCTATTTTTTTCAAATACAGTTTACATTATTAGATGCTTTTTAGATGTATATATCAAAAATATTTCTATTTTCATGAATAAAAACTTGTGTGAATTTTTAAATGAAATATTTGTTTTAGCGATTAGATGATTATTAAATGTTAATTATTTATGGTTACTGTTAATTCGTATTAACAAAGTTACATTTGTAATTTGGTATTATGTTTTTTAAAATCATGATTGTTGTTACAACTACCTTTGGTGTACTTACCTTAAATATTCTAGAGCTCTTTTTTGGTTATTATTCATTTCTTCAAAAAAATATCACAAAACAAAAATGGAAAGCTGTTTTTAGAATGTCATTTTATTTTAAACTGGGACTTTTACTCATAATATACATGTACAAGTTCTAGTTTTAAAACAATATAAAAAACTTATTATCTTTATTTTATAGCAATACACAGTAACACTAACTAAAACACCATTAAAAATTATTCAATACAAAACCTTTAAAAAAGGTGGGAACAGACCCAGATTCTAGTCTGTAATCGGGGTAATTTTTAAGGTGAAACCACAGCGTCTTCTACCACAACATTTCAAAGAGAAAAAGGTTGAATTTATCATTGCCAGTAAGAGAACTAAACTATAATTTTAGAATATACTTACGTTGCAAGATTCATTCCCATTGACAAATTTCTGTCGCATCTGTAAGTTTCAAATCCATCACTTCTGATATTCAAAGATACTAAACTGACATGAGAACTGTCCATGGCTTGTAATGCTATTCCCGTACTACTACAGTCAAAAATGGCTTCACTAAGCAAGTCTTTCACGGCTTCCAAAACCTTCTTCAACAAAGAACCTTGTACTAATCTTGCTTCAAACATTTTGGAAATAATTAAAAACAAAGAAAAAAACAAATTGTCAACAAATAACTACAATGTTATCACAAAGAATAAATAATTGTGTACAGAAATCCCTGTTTCTTTGTTCCTGAAACTACTCGGCTACTTGAACTTCGCCTCCTTTCACAACAGATTCCAAAGCATTATTGAGTTACTCGCGCTAAAATAGCAAATGGCGGGAACTTGATTTGCGTTGATTTAATTGGATCGTCGGATATCGCGAGAATTGCAAAATTTAGATCTTCGGAACGCTTTTGAAGAGGCAGTAATCCAAATCACTCAGTAGTTGTCAAAGAACTCAGATTAATCAAAACATTGCCCTAGGCAAAGGGGAACGAAATTTGAGAATGCCTGCTAATTTTTGAAGGAGCTGGTGACTGAAAGTAAGGCTGCAGTATCTGCATGCAAATATCTTGTGTTTTAAAACTATCTTTCAAATTTTGCAAAGAAATCACAGATTAAATTATACGGGGCAGGTGCTAGCAAGCTACCTGAATTTCTGTTCATATCTATAATTATCCTTCAAAAACTTACATTTACACTTGTAGGTTGTATGCAAATTTGGCCCCATCAAGTTCCCGTAAAATTTGACATCTCAATTTAAAAAATTTGACGACATAGTTAAAAAGTGATTGTTGTGTGACGGTTATTCAGAGACAGATCTAGACAAGGGTCATTCGGAACAAAATTCTGCTAAATACCAAAAGTGTTATATGGGTGCAGGTCGTTTCGTAACCTGGTCGTTTTGTACCTAGTCGATTCGTAACTAACTAGTTCGTTTTGTAACTGAGACGTTTCGTAACCTTATAACAATATATCATGATACGAGTTGTAGGTTATGGAAAAAATGTTTCGATTAAAAATAATAAAAAGACTTATTGTCACTCATACCACATCTTCTTAAATCTACTTATTCAAGGATTTGTATAGTAAGACTAAACAAATCCTTGATGTATACATATCTATATTTATTTATTAAATAATTGATTGCACATAATTTTACACTTTACAAGTACAGTTTTGCACACATACGAATAGAACAGAAGAATTTAAAATGTCTATCATCATTTAGATGTACCCCGTCTTTATCAAAGTATTATTTAGTCTTCTGCCAAGTGCATTGATGTCTCCAATACTTTACACCACTCATCTCTATTTTGATTAGTTCTTTATTAATCTTCTTTTTTTTTCTATCATAAGTTGTTTCTTTCATGTTTCTTGTTTTAGTCTGTCGATGTTGGAGCCTATATCACTACAGAAGGAACACCAAAGCGCAAATTCGTCAAGACTTATATAATTTTACAAAGTTATTATTAGATGCACACTTTGATCATTTTTAAATAATAACAAGAACAAAAGACGAGCAATTTATTTTGGCTTCAATAATCATATATAGACAATTCTAAGAGATATATATACACTTCTAGAGACAAAACTAGTTAATTAATTTATATATAAATATATATTTTCTTTAACTGTTTGATTTAAAATAATTAATTCAAACTAATAGAGACGCACTTTATTATCATATATAATCACACCAGGTACGAAACGTCTCAGTTACAAATCAACGTAGTTACAATTCGACCAGGTACGAAACGACTAGCATTCGTAATACGTTTATAACAGAGCCAGAGGTAGGAAAGCCCTTTACTGTCAGGCATCAAACAGTCATTTTCCGCTACAGTTGGCGTCAAATTTGTTAAAATTTTATCGTGATTTGTCAAAATATCCCTATCGTGATTCATCAGAGGTCTTAAATAATTATCCGTTTATTTTGGAAAGAATTTCATGTGATTAGTCAAAATCAGTTGATTTTTTTATCGTCATTAAGAAGATGTACATTTTATCTTCATGCACCAAAAATTACCTTTAATGTCATTTGGCAATTTTTTTTACCGTTATTCATCATGAAGGTAACCCCCAATACGAACCTCATAACAGATAAGATAAATGTGCAGATACAAGACATAAGTTGATCATGGAAAATGGTAAACTACGCACATATTTAAAATTTAGATGTTTATTTGAACGCAAGAAATATCTAGATTTTATTCAAGACTTAAAAAAAAGAAAAACTACACAAAGTTCAGAATAAGAAACCATAAGTTAAAGGTTGGAACTGGGCTTTACACTAAACCAAGTGTGCCTTTTGAAGAACGAATATGTGACAGATGTTTCTCTGATGATGTTGAGGATGAAATTCATTTTCTTTTACAACGTTCTTTTTTTGATCAGCAGAGAAAATTTATTCTAGACTATATTACCAAAGAATGTCCATCCTTTTCTAACTTGTCCTGTCTTAACAGATTTATATTGTTAATTAAATGAGAGTCAACATCTTCCTAGGTTTATATCTTCAATTATAAGGATGACTGATACCTGAAATGTATATATACACAGTACATTAATAAATGATTAGTTATCTCCTCCCCAGGAACACGTTTTTTAGGATACATAGAAAACTTAAAACGAAGACAAGTCTTTAAGAAAAATAAATCTTAATGAATGTTCTGTTAGTCTTCTGGACACGGACAAAATTAAATGCATGACGTCCTATCACAATTTTTCCAATAAAAAGTCTCTAGAATCACTTATCAATGTCCAAATATAATTCAAAGATCAGTTTCTGATTCAGCAATGTTCTGTTCTGTTGTGTTGCGGCGACTGGGTCTGCGTGGTGTCAATAGTTTTCCCCAACTTTATTATGTAACTGAAGACGGGAAAGAGCACGTGGTATCCTAGTCTTAGCAGGCACATCTGGGTCAGGGGTATGGCGATATGACTGGTCTAAACCTACTTGTGGAGGCTTGAATTGTCTGAGCTGCCATGTAGCCATCAAAATCGGTACAAGTCGTATAGATTTCTGATGGAGTAGTATTGGCCAATAGCTTTCGAGATGTTTTTGCCACACAACAGCCACTGAACCATAAGAAAATATAAAAAAGGGATTGGGTTGACAGTTAATGACTGCACTCTTTTCTCACAACAAATTGAGTGTTTTCCTATGAGGTGCAGATTTAGTCAAAATTATTGTATATGAGGAGCTCCTGAAATATTTCAGCACCTCCATAATTTGTTTTCAGGTCCTCAATGATTTATGAATATCCCAAATTCAAGTTATGAAGGTACTGAAATATTTCAGGAGCTCCTTTAAAATAATAATTTTGCTAAAACCACGCCTCATATTTTCCAACCCTAATCTAATTTATTGTCTTTCACTGAAAGTTTCAGTTTAGTTATGCACTATTCACTTTTTATACTTTTTGCTATTTCAGATGTACAGATCCACAGGAATAACCGTGAAAGGCTTGGTGAATTTTTCCCAAAGAAAAACTATCGGTGTTGTATTTAATACAAATACTGCCTCCTTTAGATTTATTTATCCTTATAGAAATAATAATAATCATTTGTTGTGGAGGATCCATCCTTCCTGCTATGTTCACTCTGAGGCTCTAAGACCGGAGAAAGCAGAAAAACCAGCGGGATATTCTAACTTTGGTCATAAAAAAACAAGATCATGGTCCAAATTAAAGTGGTTCACCCATATATTTTGTGCAGGATCAATGTTTTTTGTTCTCTTTGGAGGGTAAGTAATTCAGCTTGTTATTCAATAGAAAACTCTTTAAGATTTCTAGTCAAAATTTAATGATACTGTAAAAGTCAGAAATTATTGCAATTTTTGAAGAATGAAAAAAACTGAGTGTTTTATTATTGTGATTTTAAGAAAAGATAAATACAGAAAGATGTATCAGATATCATAATGTGGGCTATTATTATTGCGATACTCAACAAGTGGCAATATTAGCATGATTAAAAACTTTGCAATAATTTCTGAATTTACAGTACTAAGGATAAAAATTACCTGTATCCATGCTGGTTTCACTACTTGTTCCTTGAATTTTTAAAAAGAAAACTCTCATATACATTTAAACCATTATAAAAAATGAATGATATTTTAAGTAAATTTTATAATAAAATCATATGTTTGAATTATATCATTGGTATTAGATCTGTATAAAGAGAAGACAAACAAATGTCCAGTACATTTACATCGTGTTGTTTTAGTGAATAGTCAGACAGTATCTTTGATCTAAGATTAAACATTCTATTGCTTCATGTATAAAAATGTAAGTTTTTTTAGACCAACTGTTTTGGAAGAAATGATTGGAAAAGTGGATGCCTCATCAAAAGAAGTTGACAAAGGAGATTCTGATGAGGTAGAGGAAGGCAAACGGAAGAAGGCACAGAAAGTTGGTTTTAGAGATAGAAGGGTAAACTGACCACTTTCTCATCCTCATTAAAGCTGTAGTTTTGACACGTATTGTTTTTTCCCAATATTAAGATTCAAGTATATACTGCATCCAGTTTATAACTGATTTCATATCTATTGCCGATACATAAATAACTTAAAGGTCAGATAGAAAAATGCAAGACATAGGGATGCTAATCTGGCAGCAGAGATAATGTTAGCTATTTGTATAAAGGGATGCTAATCTGGCAGTGGAGACAATGTAAGATATTTGTATAAAGGGATGCTAATCTGGCAGAGGACACAATGTTAACTATTTGTATAAAGGGATGCTAATCTGGCAGTGGAGACAATGTAAGATATTTGTATAAAGGGATGCTAATCTGGCAGTGGAGACAATGTTAACTATTTGTATAAAGGAATGCTAATCTGGCAGTGGAGACAATGTTAACTATTTGTATAAAGGGATGCTAATCTGGCAGTGGAGACAATGTTAACAATTTGTATAAAGGGATGCTAATCTGGCAGCGGAGACAATGTTAACTATTTGTATAAAGGGATGCTAATCTGGCAGCGGAGACAATGTTAACTATTTGTATAAAGGGATGCCAATCTGGAAGTGGAATGAAGGAGAATTTTCTTGAATACTTTGATTGTATATATCTGTACAAAGTTTCTTCCAGTTTCCCCTATCTCTCTTAAAATAAAAGAATTAGACAAAGAAAATCTAATATGTTTTTTTTTACAAATATTCATAAAAGATCATGATCATTTATCCCAAACTAAAATCTGCATTATATTTTTTAACTTTCTTTAAGCTCTCTGATTTTCTTTTGCTATGTCCATTTGGAGATCATTAATAGTATGTGCCTTGCCTTCCCCTGTTGAGTTTGCAGATAAAATTTTCTGTAATTTTATTGTAGGTTATTGAATATGAAAATCGTATTAGAGCATACTCTACTCCAGACAAAATTTTCCGTTACTTTGCTACACTGAAGGTACATCATAATGGAGCGTCAGATGTATATATGACACCAGAAGACTTTGTAAGGTCTATTACTCCAGGAATGAAACAACCAGAAGGTATACATTCATTTTAAAGTAAAAAATCATATATATTGACTTAATCTGTTGATTACTGAAAATTTAGAAATTTTTTATGTGCATTTATTATTGCAATTGTTGAAAAATAGACAAAACTGTGAGATTAATTATTGAAAAATAGACAAAAAAGAAAGATTAATTATTGAGATTTCAGGAAATGATGCATACAAATAATGCTGTCAAAATTTAAAATGTGAGTTATTTTTAGCAAAACCTATCTTGTCATAATTTTTGCAATAATATGAACAAAGCTAAAATTTCTGAATTAATTCTATTTTGACATGACTGCAATCTTATAAGAACCAGCTGGTCAGTATCAATCAAACGTGGGGTATACATCAATTAGACAGCAGCCCAATGATACACAAAAAAGTCATCTAGGGGATAATAGACAAAAAAGATATCCAGGGGATAATAGGCAAAAAAGACATCATAATAGACAAAAAAGACATCTAGGATATAATAGACAAAAAAGACATCTAGGGGATAATAGACAAAAAAGACATCTAGGGGATAATAGACAAAAAAGACATCCAGGGGATAATAGACCAAAAAAGACATCCAGGGGATAATAGACAAAAAAAGACATCTAGGGGATAATAGACCAAAAGACATCTAGGGGATAATAGACAAAAAAGAAATATAGGGGATAATAGACCAAAAGACATCTAGGGGATAATAGACAAAAAAGACAGACATCTAGGGGATAATAGACAAAAAGACATCTAGGGGATACAAGAAAAAAAAGACACCCAGGGGATAGTAGACAAAAAAAGACATCTAGGGGATAATAGACAAAAAAGACATCTAGGGGATAATAGACCAAAAGACATCTAGGGGATAATAGACAAAAAAGACATACATCTAGGGGATAATAGACCAAAAGACATCTAGGGGATAATAGACAAAAAAGACATCCAGGGGATAATAGACAAAAAAGACATCTAGGGGATGAATGACCAAAAGACATCTAAGGGATAATAGACAAAGAAGACATCTAAGGGATAATAGACCAAAAGACATCTAGGGGATAATAGACAAAAAAGACATCCAGGGGATAATAGACCAAAAGACATCAAGGGGATAATAGACAAAAAAGACATCCAGGGAATAATAGACAAAAAAAGACATCTAGGGGATAATAGACAAAAAAGAAATATAGGGGATAATAGACCAAAAGACATCTAGGGGATAATAGACAAAAAAGACATCTTGGGATAATAGACAAAAAAAAGACATCTAGGGGATAATAGACAAAAAAGACATCTAGGGGATAATAGACCAAAAGACATCTAGGGGATAATAGACAAAAAAGACAGACATCTAGGGGATAATAGACCAAAAGACATCTAGGGGATAAAAGACAAAAAAGACATCCAGGGGATAATAGACAAAAAAAGACATTTAGGGGATAATAGACAAAAAAGACATCTAGGGGATAATAGACCAAAAGACATCTAGGGGATAATAGACAAAAAAGACAGACATCTAGGGGATAATAGACCAAAAGACATCTAGGGGATAAAAGACAAAAAAGACATCCAGGGGATAATAGACAAAAAAAGACATCTAGGGGATAATAGACAAAAAGACATCTAGGGGATAATAGACCAAAAGACATCTAGGGGAAAATAGACAAAAAAGACATACATCTAGGGGACAATAGACTAAAAGACATCTAGGGGATAATAGACAAAAAAGACATCTAGGGGATAATAGACAAAAAAGACATCCAGGGGATAATAGACAAAAAAGACAACTAGGGGATGAAAGACCAAAAGACTTCTAAGGGATAATAGACAAAAAAACATCTAAGGGATAATAGACCAAAAGACATCTAGGGGATAATAGACAAAAAAGACATCTAGGGAATAATAGACCAAAAGACATCAAGGGGATAATAGACAAAAAAGACTTCCAGGGGATAATATACCAAAAGACATCATGGGAATAATAGACAAAAAAGACATCTAGGGGATAATAGACAAAAAAGATCTCTAGGGGATAATAGACAAAAAAAGATATCTAGGGGATAATAGACAGTTTTCAGCAATAAACAAATTGCAAAACTACTTGACATCATGACTAATAAAAGTTGTAAATAAAATAAACATAGAAAAGACAAGATCTGCCTTTAATGCAAAACTGAATTCTGACAGGCATATTGGTGACCTGTACTTGTGCACATCTTTGTCCTTTGGTCTTTATAGATAGATTTCTCATTGGCAATCATATATTTTATTTTTACATGAACATGTGGCAGGGTAAAATTTTTTATTACATCTCTTCCTTCCCATTTCAATCTCAGTTTTTAGAATAACAATAGTTACATCAACGAACAACCAATAAAGATCAGACACTTTCAAAAGCATTTTTTCTTGAGCTTCATATTGGAGTCTCAGGTTAATAACAACATAATGATTAACTTAAAGCATTGTCTCCATGACTAATAAAGGTTGTAAATATATATTGTCTCCATGCTGTAAACATGGTAAAGAAAACATTGTTTTTATTTTATTTTAGGTTTAGGCTTAGATCAGTTTATGAAGTATGACCCACAGGTAATTGTTTAAATTACAATTATTACATAGTGGTAACTAGATGTAAATAATTTTGATGCTTTTTCTTTTAAGAAAAATAGTAAAAGAGACTGTATAGTCAGTGGCGGATCCAGAGGGGGGCGTAGAGGGCGTACGCCCCCCCTTTGCTTGAACTTTTTTTTTTTTTTTTTTTGTAAAATGATTAATCAGACTAGACATCGTGAACTTTGCCATTTCCCGTGTATTTAATTTTTATGCGACAATTCTTTACTTATAAAGATATTTTTCGCTCGTATTTAGTGTAATATATTATTGATTATGTCAAAGTCATGTGATTCTCTACGGTGGAGCTGACCAGTTCTTCGAAAAAAACGTCACTCAGTCATTTTGAAATTCAAATCACAGTAACACATTGCTTAGGCTGAGGATGACAAGCACGACGCCTTCAAAGTGACAAAGTATTGAGCAAGAACGTATTGAATTCTATTTCACAATTCCACCCAACAGAAAGTAATACTCTATTACACTCTCATGAAAAAAAAAGTTCCACAGCAATAATATTTACCTACGAAAACATGTTTAACCCCACACGCCCCAGCCCATTAATAACATTGCTGAATACTGATCCCCAGTCAGTAAGCTATAGATATTGATTTAAAGTCTAAGGTACGGACCATTTGATCTGAGGGGGCAGTCTGAGATTTTTAAGAGAAAAAATTCTGACCCTGATTTTTGCCTTAAACAAAAATTCTGGCCGTATCTGGATTGAAAACAATAATCTTGTCCACTTTTTTGCTATTAGAAAAAAATATTTTCAACAGAATTATATAGCATTAAATGAACATGATGAATAAAAAGTGGGCGTAATTTTTTTTTGGGGGGGGGTTGCATGTGAATCCCATATCTGACCGGAATGTCTGTTTCGCCGAACTGATATACTGAATACTTTTTCAAGGCCCGACTGCAACCTGCCTGCTGGGTGTGGCCTATATGTCTCCATATGCTGACCGTCATTCACAACTTCATTGTCATTTCCGACTAATTCATAGCCTTTGGTTGATTTGGAACCCCTCACTTCCCTTGTTGGGTAAAATATTTCAACCAAACATTTGGATGAAAATTGCTTGTTTGTCTTTCTTCGTGTCGGTCGTATTGTAAATTTCATTGAATAGCCGTATATCTTGTTTACAACAAGAAATCTTTGAGGTTATGCTAACTAACCATACAACAAACGATAATTTTCCATGTCCATTTTTTACTGACAAATCCCACATCAAATATATTAATTAGTACATAGCTTTGGATCCATCCAATCATTTCATAATAGACAATTGGTGGAGAGAATACGGCACCAAAAATGTCCAACCCCTACACTTTAACTATAAAATGCATTTACACTTATTTTATGTTTTTTAGCCAAAAAAAGGTCCAAAAATTTTTTTCGCCTCGCTCCGCTCTGCCAACTTTATTACTACACCCCCCCTTTCCAAAATCCTGGATCCGCCCCTGATAGTGACTAAAAGAGGGGGTTATACAATATTAAAGAAAAGTTGAAATTATGAGAAAAAAACAGAAGAGAGTTTATAAGAGGATCATGATTTTTTTAGTTAGCTTACAATGGCTCCAGTTGGCTTTTGTCAGGTACAAAAGTCAATGAAGTTTCATTTTATGTTTTCTGTCTGATAAATAGATCAGACCCAATTAATATTTTTTATAATATTTGTGAAAACAAAAAACACTTAGTGTTAGTACATAAGTTTCACACTCTAGAGATTGTAAGCCTTTTATTTTGAAATTTTATAATTTCTGATCATTTATGCGCACAAGTTAATGCAGTAGTTTTTGTTTTTCTTTGAGGTGTAATACCACCAATTTGACAGTTGTAGGAAATTAATCCTACATTTCATTGCAGTAAAAAAAATCTGAGTCATAAACATATATCTTGGGTGTTTCAAAGCACCATTCTTTTTTTATTTGGTGTTTCTATATATTTAGAAACTTGAGGTTACATGGTTACTAAAGCTTGTAAACAGGAAAGAAAGGGGTGGAAATTTGATTTGTTAACTTCCAGTGATGGTTATTTTCTTACATGCAATGAAATGGTATGTGAAAATTTGTCTGTAGTACTGGACAGAATAAAACTTTACTCATGCCAAGTATTTCTTTATTTGAAACAAAGATAAATTCTGCACAATTTTTTGAAAAGTGCAAATTTAACAAAGACTAATAGGGGAAAAACAATGGTGGTATTACACATTGACATTGATAATGGGTATATCAGGCAGCCTTGGTGCAGATGCCTTGTTATTTATTTACAAAATTAGGTAAATACACAGCTTTAATTCCTTTTTCTCATTTGTATTATTTTGCTTGACATAAGATATTGTTATACAGAATTTTAAGGACTATTACATCATTTTAGGTCACCTTAGTAGGCCAGGTTGAGCTATTGTCATCCCCTGTTGTCTTTAGTAACCTGTCCTAACTTCACAAAAACCTTTGGCTCTTTGGCTATTATTTCTATGTTAGCTGAACTCAAACTTTGTAACAATTGTCCTTTGATATCTCTACAAAAGTTTAAAGTGATAAAGCTGACAAACCAACTGTCTCTGTCTCTTCTATAAAGCTATGAAATAACATTTCTGGTAAAACAGGTAGATTGGTAGTTATATAAATATTCTTACAGATTACTTATTTGGCTGATTTTAAGTACCATAAAAGGCTTTATTTTTGCTAAGTTTGAATTTCTAGATTTGTAATACAGAACCTGTCCACAAGGTATTATTTTCACTTCTTGTTCTTGTCTCTGATTTTCTTATTGCAAACCAAATGAAACTTTTTTCCACAGAGTCGTTTCCTATTGGTCAATCTATTTTAACTTTTGTCAGTTCTATTGTCCCATTGAATAAATACAATAGCTATTGTTCTCTATGTAGTTTATTCACAGGGACCTTTAATTTTTTTTAAGAGAAATCCATCACTCTTTGATTGATTAACCTGATTAAAAAAATTATCTTCTAAATAGTTGAAAATACATGTTTCAACTCACAAACTTCATGTGATGTTGTATTTATTTAATATCAATATTGTATTTTCAATCTGTTCAATATAAACACTGATTTAATCATAAAAACTTGATTTCTGACAAAATATCACATTGTTCCTATTGAAATGTATGTTGATGTCTGCTTGTAGCATTGTAAGATGGTTTGTGTTTGTCTGTACAGCTCATCATTACTAATATCATTAACAATAAGGTCAAAGTACATTAATATGCAGTAAAGTCTGTCAGTTTCTTGTCAAAAGGGAGAACTATTCAATGTACTTTAGTTTTCTTCCAATAGTACTGCAACCAACAACCATAGAACTAAATGAAATTTAAAACTTTGTGAAAAGCCATTTAATCAATCAGTCAGCTTGTGCATATTTTGATAGTTAGTCTGTATATATATTTATTTGTATACTCTGTAATCTTACAGGAACTCATAGTAGTATGTACAGTTGAGCTTTCGTCGTGTGACATGAACAGTTCAAGCAGAACTTGCTAAATAATTCTGTGTGGGCTGACTCTGACTTAACTGGTTATATGCTTTTTAGTCTAATGTAGATGTAAAGTATTAGGCTTAAGGAAGTTCGCTACTCAGTTTCAAAATAAAAAGCTTTTCATAACGCTAGAATATATTGATAGGGGTCTAATAAAGGAACCAAAAGAGCGAAAAAAAAATATAGGTCCGTGTGCTTGTTTTTTAGATATAAGTCATTGAAATTTTGGCGGGAAAATGTTCTCTCTTGTTTTTTCATAGCTTTATCATTGACAAGTTTAAGTTCTCAAAAACTATCAAAAAATAACAAAGATTTTATAAGACTTTAACAGATGCCTTATATTTATACATGTAAAAGATTTATAAAAAGAAAAATGGGGGTTTGTGGGCAAAATTTTGTAAGGCATTCAAATGGATAAAACCAGAGGATTCCGAAAATCTGACAAAAATTCCAAAACATGACAAGCGAACATCCTTAATGCATCATTCTTAGTCATAGGCCATATTTGTTATTCATTAGTAAGAGGTTATCTCCCCTCCATAAATGATTATAAACCTTGGCTAGCAATAAAAAGATAAGGTTGAATTTGTTTGGCTGACTTGACTAGATGTTTGTTGCTATATGAATAAAAAAAGAATGTTGAATAATGTGCTTTGTTTAACATCAATAGAAGGATGATTTCAGAACGTTGGTGAGTGGCATTCTATTATACTAACATTTCTTGAGGATTTTTGATAATCCATTTTTATATATTTTTTATCTTTTAAATTTTAGAACAAATTTTATAATTGTATCTTTGAATTTCTAATGTTAAACATTTAGAAAAAAATGTGCTTTTCCTTTTGTTTTTGTTCATTAAAAATATCTTTGAAAATTATATATATATATATATTAGATGTTGTGAGGTGTTTTAAGTTGGAAGTTTTTTTGTAGATGAGCAAAATGAAAAAGGTAAATTGTAGTAGATTTTTTTTTAGTATTGTAAGTCTTATGTAGTAAATTATATAGTATAGTTATTCTTCTTTGATAAAACCTTTTGGTATTGTAAAATTTTTTTAGTCCAATTTTTCTAGGTAGAAAATACTTAAATAGGCATTTTTTTTAGCATGGATTATTGAAACCCTCATTTTCTAATTCAGTTTACTGCTTTTTGCTTTGTTACTTTGCTAAAATATTTGTTATTAACTGATGATAAATTTTCACTATTTTGAGCAAAAACTTATTTTCAGAAATATGTATATATATATATATATCCCTTTCAGTGACTGTGATTTGATCATATTTATATCTTGTTTCTGTAATGTGGCATGTTTAAATTAAAAAAAAAATGAAAGGATTGTGCATTGTCCTATCTATACTAAAACATGCATGAATTGTTGCATGTTTTATTTCAGCCAACCATAACAGCAGTAAAATGCATTGAAATTGAAGAATCTTAAAATAAAAATTTTTCGTTACATGTTTTTTCCTCATTGATGTTGAAATTAGGACCTACCTTATTACAAAGTTAACTTGGATTTTCTTTACAGTTTAAGTTAATAATGTAAAACAGCTGTCTTACATAATGATTACTAGAATTTGTGACTGTGATTATAGTTAATGTAGAAGTGTGTAATTGCCTAGCCCTTTCAACAGGAGACATGTTTCTCTGTTTTTTTTTATGAGGTTTTTATGAGAATTTACATATATATTGTCTTTGACCTATTCCTGAAAATGACAAGGACAGGGAGCTATATTCGACCAAATAATCAACAACAGCTGATTAGAAACTATAAAGAGTATATAAATATTTTATAGAATATGTTAATGAAACTATAACTTGTGGGGAAGTAAATAGAGAATAAATATCCCTTTATTTTAATATTTTTTCCTTTCCATGTTTCAGTCTCCTATTTTGATTGATTGATTGTTGTATGCTTAACTGTAGTAGTAACATCCATTGGTAAATGTTTCATGCATGTTAAGTAGGATGAAGAATTATCCAAATCTTGTAGTATTTGCTCAATTTCTCTGCCTAATTCTAGCTTGGAAAATCTCACATTCATGGATTAACCTCATATTTTGGTAAAAGTAGATAAATGTTTTATATCTTTGTCCTCAACTAAACCCAGTGCATGGGTACATAGAAATACAGACGTATGTCTATCCATTTGGTCTTTTATGAAATTTAAATTAAGAGTTTATTTCAGAAATCTCTTAGACAAGTTAGAAAATCTGTGCCAAACTATTTTTAAAGGAGTTATGGCCCTTTTAAGTTTGAATTATATGGAAAATTGCATTGGTAGTACTCTCAAACCTACATTTCATGAGATTGCAATAAAATTTGTATCAGCAATGTCTGGGACGAGTTAAAAAATCTGGGGTGATCAATTATTTTTATACGACCGCAAAAAAATTTTGTGGTCGTATATTGGTATGACGTTGGCGTTGTCGTTGTCGTCGTCGTCTGGTGTCGTCCGGCGTCGTCCGAAGACACATTGGTTTTCGCACTCTAACTTTAGTTTAAGTGAATGGATCTTTTTGAAATTTGACCATAAGGTTAAATACCACAAAAGGAAGGTTGGGATTGATTTTGGGGGTTATGGTACCAACAGTTAAGGAATTAGGGGCCAACAAGGGGCCAAAAATAAGCATTTTCTAGTTTCCAGACAATAACTGTGGAACGGTGTATGGATCTCTCTGAAATTATACTACAAGTTTCCATACCACAAAGGGAAGGTTAGGATTTGCTTTGGGGGGATATGGCTCAAACCGTTTAGGAATTAGGGGCAAAAAAGGGGGAAAAACAAGGTTGTCCTGGTTAATGGACAAATACTTTAATACAAAACATAATTTAAAGCAGTGTAAGGGAGATAAATCAAATACATCATTGAAATTATCTCCCTTACACTGCTTTTAAATTATGTATAAAGTAATGGTTAATGAACAATAAAGATAATTTAAAACACAAATGTTGCATCTTTTTTTTTACAAAAAAATCCATATGAAAGATTTGACACTATATTTTTAATTCTATTATAAAATAGATTAAGTTAGCACTATGGTAAATTTAAATGGGTAATTATGGTTGCCAACTCCATTGGAAATTTGAATTGAGATTATGACCATATCTTGAGGGAAAGAATTTTTTGGGGAAAAAAAGGGGGGGGGAGATAAAAAGAAATTGTGGGGGGTCAATTTTTTCTCATTTCAGATTTCAGAAATTAAAAAGAATTATTCTTCAAATATTATTTTTTTTTCAAATTTCAAATATTGAAAAATTTCAAGAAGTAATCTTTAATTGCACAGTATGGCACATTAGATTTGTAAAATCTTTGATCACATTTATTTATTTGTTATGCCGAATCTAACAGTGTATTTAGATTTTTAATTTTGGGTCCAGTTTTCAAATTGGTCTACATTAAGGTCCAAAGGGTCCAAAATTAAACTTTGTTTGATTTTAGCAAAAATTGAATATATGAGGTTCTTTGATATGCTGAATCTAAACATGTATTTAGATTTTTGATTTTTGGCCCAGTTTTCAAGTTGGTCCAAATTGGGGTCCAAAATTAAACTTTGTTTGATTTCAACAAAAATTGAATATATGGGGTTCTTTGATATGCTGAATCTAACCATGTATTTAGATTTTTTATTTGTAGACCCCGTTATCAAATTGGTTCATATTGAGGTCAAAAGGGTCCAAAATTAAACTTTGTTTGATTTCATCTAAAATTGAATTATTGGGGTTCTTTGATATTCCAAATCTAACAGTGTATTTAGATTTTTAATTTTGGGTCCTGTTTTTTAAATTGGTCTTCATTAAGATCCAAAGGGTCCAAAATTAAACTTAGTTTGATTTTAACAAAAATTGAATTCTTGGGGTTCTTTGATATGCTGAATCTAAACATGTGTTTAGATTTTTGATTATGGGCCCAGTTTTCAAGTTGGTCCAAGATAGGGTCCAGTATTTAAACTTTGTTTGATTTCAAAGAAAATTGAATAGATGAGGTTCTTTGATATGCTGAATCTAAACATGTATTTAGATTTTTGATTATGGGCCCAGTTTTCAAATTGGTCCAAATTGGGGTCCAAAATTAACTTTGTTTGATTTCAACAAAAATTGAATATATGAGGTTCTTTGATATGCTGAATCTAACCATGTATTTAGATTTTTTATTTGTGGGCCCCGCTATCAAATTGGTTCATATTGAGGTCAAAAGGGTCCAAAATTAAACTTTGTTTGATTTCATCAAAAATTGAATTATTGGGGTTCTTTGATATGCCAAATCTAACCGTGTTTTTAGATTTTTAATTTGGGTCCCGTTTTTTAAATTGGTCTTCATTGAGGTCCAAAGGGTCCAAAATTAAACTTAGTTTGATTTTAGCAAAAATTGAATTCTTGGGGTTCTTTGATATGCTAAATCTAAACATGTGTTTAGATTTTTGATTATGGGCCCAGTTTTCAAGTTTGTCCAAGTTGGGGTCCAAAATTAAACTTTTTTTGATTTCAACAAAAATTGAATATATGCAATATGGGGTTCTTTGATATGCTGAATCTAACCATGAATTTAGATTTTTTATTTGTGGGCCCGCTATCAAATTGGTTCATATTGAGGTCAAAAGGGTCCAAAATTAAACTTTGTTTGATTTCATCAAAAATTGAATTATTGGAGTTCTTTGATATTCCAAATCTAACCGTGTATTTAGATTTTTAATTTTAAGTCCCGTTTTTTAAATTGGTCTACATTAAGGTCCAAAGGGTCCAAAATTAAACTTAGTTTGATTTTAGCAAAAATTGAATTCTTGGGGTTCTTTGATATGCTGAATCTAAACATGTGTTCAGATTTTTGATTATGGGCCCAGTTTTCAAGTTTGTCCAAGTTGGGGTCCAAAATTAAACTTTGTTTGATTTTAACAAAAATTGAATATATGCGGTTCTTTGATATGCTGAATCTAACCATGTATTTTGATTTTGGACATTGGACCATAATAGGTAAATTAAAAAAATTCAAGTTCTTAGACTACATTCTTTCTGTGTCAGAAACCTATGCTGTGTTAAATATTTAATAACAATCCAAATTCAGAGCTGTATCAAGCTTGAATGTTGTGTCCATACTTGCCCCAACTGTTCAGGGTTCGACCTCTGCGGTCGTATCAAGCTGCGCCCCAGCGAAGCATTTTATTTTCATGAGTTATGTCCCTTGGAAAATGTAAATTCTATGGGAAATTTCATGAGAACGCTAACAAGTTTACAATTCTTGCCAGATTTTAATGAATTTTATATTGAAGGTTTATATCAGCAAGGTCTTGGAAGAGTGCTGACCCACTTTTTGTCAGGAATTTACCCTTTGGAAATAGAAATTATATGGAAAGTACATGTTAGCAATCTCGTGCCTAGGATATTTATGATAAGTTAAAAAGAACCCCAAAATAATTATTGCCCTTTGGCAGATAAATTATGTGCATTTGCAAGGGACATTAAAACATTGTTTTTTAATTATTTGCTGAAATTAATTGTGTTGATCCATGAATGCTGGAAATATTTTCTGAATGCACGTAATAAAAAAAAATGCACTGTAAGTAGCAGTAATTCTTATTTTCTACTAAATAACACTAGGACATGTAGGACAGCAGGGGGTATTCAGGATTTCATAAGAATGGAATGAAACTTGACAATAAGAGTTTAATGGTATAATCTTACGTAGACCATAAAGCTGTCAAATAACACATTATTGATCTTTTCTGAGATCTGTGGATAAAGACCACATCTGTCAACAAACATGGATGCCATTTTTTCTTAGAATAGAAAATATGATAAGAAAGTGAGAGATAAAAATCTGAAAACTCCTGTAAAGAGCCAATTGATTCCAAACTTTGGCTTAAAATGCTCTTACTATCCTTTTAAAGAATTCTACCCTAAGTCACCACCAAACATGGCTACCACCAGTGTAAAAAAGAGAAAATTTTCATATCAATTAAAAAAAATCTGAAAAATAATATACTTGGCCAATTATTTGAACAAACATTGGGTATTAAAGTTCTATATTTTATGATCTGTTGGAAACTATGGTTGTTAATCACAATCATCATCAGATATATGTTACTTGAAACAGAAACTTTGAACAAATTTTAATGAAGAATAATATGAAGATTTTGAGTAATCAATCCTTATTCATGATCTACTTAATTCAAAGAAATTTATCATTCTATGTTTCTATTTCTGATCAGATGACTTTTTAGAAGCATAAACTAGGTAAGTTTTTTTTTTGTTTTGATACATGTCAGGGTAAGACATTAATATATTCATGGTTTTGTGTATGTTTATATTATTCTCTAGCGTGGAAAGCATGTGGATACAGAGTTGGGAGAAGATAGCATTTTTCACAGGTTGGGAGAAAGTGGACTGATTTCTTTTTCTGACTACATTTTCCTTCTAACAGTTTTGTCAAGTAAGTTACATGCCAAAGATAGATTCACTGAAATGATTGCAGGCTTTCGAAAAGCATTTAGCCATGAGTTGAAACTTATAAAACAGTAGGTTATCAGATCATCTGTGATGTTAATAGCCTATCAAATGTAAACACTGCTGGTTAAACACTAAAAATTCTACCCTGTCAACAGTCACTGCTGGTTAAACAGTGAAAATGTTGCCCTTTTAGTAGTCAGTTTATTCACTTGATTCAAATATTATTTTTAAGATGACCCCTGTTACATAATATACAAGAAAAGAGGATATTATAATTGTGTAACAGTACCTTTGGATTCTGAAAAATCAATTGTTGACTTGTGAACTAATTTCAATATAAGCAGGATTTTCTAATATATACACAAAAAATAATTTCCTACAGACACTTTAAATTTAAATTCTGAAATTGTGATCCAATAATGAACACTTAGGCAAAATAATACAATGTACTATCAATAGATAACACTTTGTCAGAATGAAGAACACGGACAAAGAACACTATGTCAGAATGAAGAACATAAACAGAGAACACTATGTCAGAATGAAGAACATAAACAGAGAACACTATGTCAGAATGAAGAACATAAATAGAGAACAATATGTCAGAAAGAAGAACACAAATTGAGAACATCATGTGAGAATACATTTCTGGACTACCAATCAAGAACACTATATTAGAAAACATACTACCTATATACAGGATACATACTACCTATATACAGGATACAATGACTTTAAGGAATATTACTACCAATAAAGAATACAATGAATGTAAAAAACACATATTTGCTACCAATATTAAAGAACATAAAGTGGCTAAAAACATATTATATATTCTTTGTCACAGCTCCCCCAAGAAATTTCCAGATTGCTTTTAAGATGTTTGATTTGAATGGAGATGGTGATGTTGATAGAGGGGAATTTGACAAGGTAAATATTGATATGAGTTTGACAAAATACAGAATAGTGGATTGGAACAAATTCCAAACAATACACTTCAGTAGTTTGTATAATTTCAAAAGGAGATAGCAGGAAAAGTCGAGGAAGACATGCTAAAAAATCAATAAAAGGTTTTCTCAACTCTTGGACACACAAGACACCTGACTAGCATCAAAAGCAAGACAGAATAAATTGAAAAGATTTGTTTTATACTTCAAAGTAAATACAAGTAAGTCTTATGTGTAATGCAGTGTGGAAGTGTGATTAATCTATGTTCATGCATTAGAATAAATGTAGACTACTACTTTAACCCAAAGGCCTAGCAAACCAGGCTTTTAAAGTTTCCAGTTGGCATGCAAGAAATTTTACTAGCAGGCCAATGTATTCTATTCAAACAAGTCTTTATTTAAACAATCAATCCACGCTATAGGGCACAAAATTTTTTGTGAAGTAATTGTTTAACAGATATGACATTGATGTTTGTACATATATATAGGTGCAAGAGATAGTTAGAGCACAAACAACCATGGGAAGTCGACACAGAGATCATGCTGTTACAGGCAGTGTAATGAAGGATTACAGCTCAGCATTAATGACTTACTTCTTTGGACAAAACGGAGATAAAAAATTAACAGTCAAAGAGTTCTTAGATTTTCAAGCAGAAGTTTCCAAAGAAGTTTTAAGGATTGAGGTGAGTATAAACAAATTATAGTGTTGTCAGGTCCACACTCATCCCTCCAAGGATTGTGGTGAGTATAAACAAATCATAGTGTTCTCAGGTCCACACTCATCCCTCCAAGGATTGGGGTGAGTATAAACAAATCATAGTGTTGTCAGGTCCACACTCATCCCTCCAAGGATTGTGGTGAGTATAAACAAATCATAGTGTTCTCAGGTCCACACTCAGCCCTCAAAGGATTGAGGAGGTGAGTATAAACAAATCATAGTGTTCTCAGGTCCACACTCATCCCTCAAAGGATTGTGGTGAGTATAAACAAATCATAGTGTTCTCAGGTCCACACTCATAACTTAAAGGATTGAGGAGGTGAGTATAAACAAATCATAGTGTTGTCAGGTCCACACTCATCCCTCAAAGGATTGTGGTGAGTATAAACAAATCATAGTGTTGTGAGGTCCACACCCATCCCTCTAAGGATTGAGGTGAGTATAAACAAATCATAGTAGTGTCAGGTCCACACTCATCCCTCCAAGGATTGAGGTGAGTATAAACAAATCATAGTAGTCTTGTTTTGCCAGTGAATTTTCTTTGCTAAGCATGCAACATTTAGGAAATCGCGCAAAGACTGGTAAGCTTGGAGTCAGAATAATGTGTCCTGGAAGAAAGAAACCATCAGCGTTTCAGTCTAGTACAAAGAAAAAAAAGGGTTCATATTCATATAACATAACATTTCTCATCCTGAAACTTGTGTGATATTTGGCACTGGAACTTTATAGCTTCATCATCATCTTGCCTGTGAGGATATATGATATATGTCATAAGAATGAGTTATGTGTCTCCTCCAATGGCAATGACTTTCTTGAAGTTTTACACGTTATAACCAGTGAAATAAGGACATGTCTACATACAAAACAATGATAAAAACTGTTAATGTACTGATGATCAATTTCAAGTTAGTCCACCATTGCAGGAAATAAAACATTTTACTGTAAGACATAATGATACTAATCCAATGGCTGTGGCACAAAATACTTGTATAAAGCTTTATATATAATAAGTTAGAGTGTGTTCGACTCCAACCTTAATTGACTAGGATTGTCAGTTTTCCTATCTTAAAGACTTTTAAAATAAAATCAATCATGATCAGTATACCAGGCAAGATATTTCAGCATGTGCACTCATGTTTTTATGCCCCTGCCGTAGCGGAGGGGATATTAAGTTTTACCCTTTTCCGTCCGTCTGTCCGAAAGTCCCAAAATTAGTTTCTGTTCTCTAACTTTAGTTTGCCTCAACTAAATGTTATGAAACTTATATACAATGCTTATTACCACAAAACACAGATCAAGTTTGAATTAAGGTGGCATCACTTTTACCTTTCTAGAGTTATGCCCCTTTACAAATGGAAAAATTGCTGAATTTTTCGTTTCTGTTCTCTAACTTAAGTTCGCCTCAACCAAATGTTATGAAACTTATACACAATGCTTATTGCCACAAAACTCAGATCAAGTTTGAATTTTGGTAGCATCACTTGTACAGTTCTTTAGTTATGCCCCTTTATAACATTAAATGCAAGCAGGGGAAACATTCCCCATTTGTTTTAAATTTCGTTAAGTCAACGGAAGAAAAATTTAGGTTAGTTGTAACAAAGTCCTCGAACTTGAACTTAGTCTTTAGAAGAAAGTAGTATGTGAATTAAGGTCACTGACAGAATATCAAAGTTCTGCATGCTCACTCACTTTGAAAGAATGAACACAGGTGTATCATCACATTGAAGACTGCCAGATAGCACTGATTGCTTCTTTTTATAATTTTATTAGGATGTAAAAGTGTTGACCAAAGCACTTTTTGTATGAAGTGTGGTAGAGCTTCATATCAAAAATCTGTGCATAATCAATGCTTTTACAACCATATAAAATTATAAAAAGAAGCATTCAGTTCTTGTAATTACATTTTTATGCTACAACCATGAAATTAAAGTTATATAAAGCTTTTTGTTTGTTTTTCAATGTATTGTTTTAACATTGTCACGGTTAGCACTTGCAGTCATAGCTGTTGTATTTTGATAAGAAAATAAAATATGACATTGTAGTCTCTCGCGATTGTTGTCAGCCAATCAAAATTATCAATTCACATAAAACATACATGTAATGTAATTATCATATATACAATAAATGTATATTGTCAGAAAATATGTAAAGTGTTACAAACAAACAAATAAGTTAGACTTGAAGACATTATATGTATATTATTTCTATCCTGAAATTTTTTAAATATTTGTAGTAAAATTTGTAGTCTTATAGCTCCTAGTAATGCCTTTTTCTTTTTATACAAATTGACATTGCTTTGATGCAGAGAGGATATGAAACGAACTGTTATGTAAACACTAATATTTGAATATTACTTGTTGCTAATAATGAAAGTAGGATACCAGGAGATTTAGTCCTATAACATAAGCCTTCGTAGGTTCATATCGCTTCCTTTGATGATTTATCGGATATTTTTTTTTACTATCAATGCCAAACCACGTGGTTCGGCATTGATAGTAAAAAAATATCTGATAAAAACTGTCGAAAGGATGTGGTTCTTCATTGATAGTAAAAAAAAAATATCTGATAAAAAACGTGGAAAGCAAACGATATGCACCTATGAAGGCTTATTTTATAGGACTACCAGGAGATGATATTGGTATTTTATACAAGTTTAATTTTAATTTTATAGTGAAAAAGTGAATTTCAGGATAAAATCAATTTTCTAAATTTCAGTTTGCAAGATATGATCCGAGATATGAGAAAGATGGTTCTATATCAGAGAAAGATTTTGCCTCCATACTTCTAACCTACGCAGGATATCCAGACAGCAAAAAATCCAGGATGGTTAAAAGGGTTAAAAAGAAGTTCAAGGATGATGGAAAGGTATAAAAATATATATGTTTTATATGTTTATGATATTTATCAGAGGAAATTGTAATATAACTTAAAATGTAAAATACTCGCTTGTTATTTACTTTCAATATTTGTTTCTGTTTTTTTCTTTTCATTAAAAAATAGTCCTTCTTGTATTAACATATGTTCCTCTTGTAGCTTTCATTGATATAATATTTTGTTATATTTTTTCTTATTTTATAGGGAGTTACATTTGAAGAGTATGTGAGTTTTTGGAAGTTCCTTAAGAGTGTAAATGATGTTGATACAGCTTTAAGTTTTTATCATCTGGCAGGTGTATCAATAGATCAAGGTAAAATTAGATTTAAATCATATGGTTAAGAAAGGTATTTTTTGCAGATTCCACTTTTAAATGTATTCACCTGGCTAATGTATTTATGTAAACTATATGCAGTAGATTCACCATTGAAGGAGGAGGTGTGCTAAGATTCTTATTTAGCCAGAATATTTCAAGTATTACAAAATCATCTACATCTACATAGAAGACCAGATTAAGTAGGCACTGGGCAATAGCAGAAATTTTTCAAAAATAGTACCAGTTTAAAAGTTAATCATGAACAAGATCCATTTTATACACATTCAAGCATTGAACACTTCAAACATGTAGTTATGTCTTAAAATGAAGTAGTCTGTAATAAAAATATCATTTTATTTTAGAAACCTTGGTACATGTAGCTAAAACAGTAGCCCATGTTGACTTGTCAGAACATTTAGTAGACCTTGTATTCACATTATTTGATGAAAATAGTAAGTATTTTTATTTCTATAAAAGTGAAAAAAGTACTTCAATTTGTGATGCCACTAAATAAAAATGTAACATTTATGACTCAAAATGGGGGGGGAAGGGGGACAGAATGAAGAATTCTGGGCACATTTGGATGTGAAATGAGAGGGTTATTTTAGCTATAAATGGACCTTACAAATAAACTATAAACTCAACAAGAGAATCAGAGGCTGATTTATGGGGCCTAAGGGGCCCGCCCCCCTAATGGAGCTTCATATATGAGAAATGCATAGACTTTTTACAAGTATCACTCCAAACATTGGCTTGCCAGAGAGCCCCCTATCCCCCCTTTCAAAATCCTGGTTCCGTACATGAGAACATAAATATATATATATATTATAAGCATCTTTCAACAACAGTCAACTTTTCCATCTAGTAATTTGGTAATGTTTTGTTCCATTCTTTTCATTATGTTCCCCTTTAAAAAACAGTACAACATATGAATATTGATAATGACTTTATGAAAAATAATTAAATTTATTTATTTTTTGCAATCAATGTAAGAAATTGGTAAATATAAATTGTATTTGTAATTGGTAGGCCATAGGTTGTATAAAAAATTCTAGTTTACTCTGTAAATTGAAAGGGTTGGCATGTATGGGAAAGAGGTTTACATTGCATAAATTTTGCATATGGCTGGAATGCTTTGCTGCTTACTCATGTATTTTTTTCAAATCCAAACCTTTTGATTTACCACCTGATACTGTTGCAACTTAAAACTTTGGTTATAGGATAAATTACATTATTTTGTAAACCCTTTGGAATTTTTGGTCCTCAATGCTTTTCAACTTTGTACTTTATTTGGCCTTTTAACTTTTTAGCTCACCTGGCCGAAAGGCCAAGTGAGCTTTTCTCATCACTTGGCGTCCATCATTTGTTGTTGTCGTTAACTTTTACAAAAACCTTCCCATCTGAAAATACTGGACCAAATTTAACCAAACTTGGCGACAATCATTATTGGGGTATCTAGTTTAAAACGTGTCCAATGACCCCGCCTGCCAACCAAAATGGCTGATATGGCTAAAAATAGAACATAGGAGTAAAATGCAAGTTTTGACTATTATTTTGAAAACCACTATGAATAGGCGACTTCTGTTGCAGAAAGCTCGGCATAGGGATAGTGATCCGGCGGCGGCAGCAACAGCGGCGTTAACTAACTTCTTAAAGCTTAATATTTCAGAAGGCAGAAGACCTTTTTGCTTCATACTTTGTATACAGATGCCTTATGTTATGAAGTTTCCCTCTGTCATATGACCTTTGTCCTTTACCTCATTTTCATGGTTCAGTGACTACTTGAAAAAAAAAAGTTGAGATTTTTTGTAATGTTAATTTCTCTCTTACTATGAGTAATAGGATAACTATATTTGGTATGCGTGTACCTTGCATCGTCCTCATGCCTGTCAGACAGTTTTCACTTGACCTAGACCTCATTTCATAGATCAGTAAACAAGGTTAAGTTTTCATGGTTAAGTTTGTTTCTTAGATACTATATTTAATACGTCAACTATATTTGATCCATGGAATGATTGTGAAGTGTACATGTCTGTCTGGCAGGGTTCATCTGACCTTGACCTCATATTCATGGTTCATTGGTCAGTATAAAGTTTTCATGGTTTGGTCTGTTTCTTTTATACTATAAGCAATAGGTCCAACTATATTCAATGTATGGAATGATTGTAAGGTGAACATGTATTTCTGGCTTGGTTTATCTGACCTTGACCTCATTTTCTCGGATCATGTTAATTTAATGTGATACTTGTAGTAAAACTTTTTATTTAGGGCTATCGACATAAAATGAATGATAGTAAAGCAGGCGAGATATTTCAGTGTGTTTGCTCTTGTTTTTCATTTTAGCCTACTAAAACTATTATAGATATAGATAAACTTTAATTTTGACAAATGATCAGCAAGACAAGATCTACAAATCAGTCAACATGTCCAAATTGTCAGACGACTCCTTATTGGAGTTATTGCCCTTAAATGATGATTTTTACCATTTTTGCCTTATATCCAACACATTATTTGAACAAACTCAAAATGGATTATTTCCTCAAAATTAAAGATACCCACCAACCTATTGATGCAATAACTATTTTGCTCCACACATTTTTTTTGGAGGGGCTTATAACTGCTGCCATGTTAGTCTATCAGTCAATCTGTATATCCTTTTGAAATAAGCAGTTTCTACATTAAGACCTTATATTTTCAAGACATTGCTATATATTATTATATGCGGTTCAAGTTTGAAATACTGCCATATATACCATTCCAAAGTTATGTCTTTAAAAAGTAAAAGAATTTGTTCTTGAGAAGGACCTTATAACGCCGTAACATTACACATAGACTTAGAAATATCTTAAAAAATACACAATTTTGTATAAATGGCTTTGCTCTTTTTATATCTTTATTTACACTTTCAACAATGAAGTATAAAAACCATCCATTCAAAGTTTATACAAACAATTTTAAAAATAGGAATTTCACAAACTATTATCTCTTTAACCAAGTTACAAATGTACCTGGGAAAGATCATTTGCAAGAACACCATAAGCTTTGTTTTTAATTTACAGATATTGGAATATTAAACTTTGTTTATTAATTTTTAGATGATGGCCAGCTGAGTAATAAAGAATTTATATCTGTGATGAAACAAAGAGTGATGCGAGGACTAGAAAAACCTAAAGATACGGGATTTACTAAACTTATATCTGCAGCATGGAAATGTGCCAAATCTCAAACTTCAGCATTCTTAGAATAATCTCATTTGTATTTACAATATAGCAATTCTTTTTTTAAAACTTTCTTAGAATGTCATAGACTGGATTATATCTATATGTAGGAGGACAAGTTGTGAAATTCTTTGAAAATAGGTATGATTTGAAACATCTTTTTCATGAGGAGAGACATACCGGTCATTAAATAAAGAAAATTATTATCCATACAGCATACTGTTTCCATAGATTTTCTGCAATGTAGAAGTGGCATGATGTATAGTAATGAACTGTTATTGGAACATAGGACACTTCTCCTATTTCGATGCTCCTGGAGAAGAGACAAATAAGCAGCATAAATAGATATTTTTTAACGATAGAATTTGTATTAATTAGTATGGGTCTGTAAATTATTTGTTTTCCCTGACTTGTCAAGCTTATTACATCCTTCCTCCTAAAACTTTCTTCGTTTGGAGATAATGTTTTATATGGTTATAATGTTAGTTGATTTTGTTGGAATAAAGTTTATAACTTAATTTTTCATTTCATTTTGGAAGCATGTACCGGTATATGTTTAGATGTCCAAATGCAGTCATAATTTTGATAAGATTCCTGTTTGACTTACCAGTAACTGTTCCTTAGTGGTGGTTTTCAAAACATTTAAAGACAAAGGAATGAAAAATTAGTAGTATGGCTTCCAGATTATGATTCAGAAATATGTATATTTGGATGACTGATACTATACAAGTGGGTAATCTGACCTATAACCTATGAATTTAAACTGGTTGCCATTTACACACTCGTTTAATAATAGAAGTGTTTTGCTTACTATGTTTATGTATAATGTCTGTTAATATTTAATGTGAATAAAGTATATTGTCCTTTTCATTTTGTACATGTTAAATCTTTTTAGAATAGTTAGAATTATTTTTTTCATACACTCAATATAAGACTAATTTTGATGGGCTACTTTTTGTAATTCCTTCAATTGAATTGTAATCAACTCTTTTGTAATAGTTAAAATTATAATGACTACTATCTTACGCAAGCAACAAAAATTGTTTTCTGATCTTTATGTCTGTCCATCCGTTCTGTATCAGGTTTAAATTTTGTTTTACGATTGTTTATGGTCACATCAACTTGAAACTTAGTACACATGTCCATTATGAAGCGAACTGTTTAATAAACCAGGACATATGCTAAATTAGGGTTAAAACAGGAATTTTGCACTTCACCAAACAAAGAAATGAGAAAAAGTATTTTCAAAAATATTAAACAAAAAATCCAAAGTATTTTTTATAATGGGAATGAGACATGGTGACCAATTAACTTATCTTCTTGTTTTTAGTTTACTTTTTTTTTTACTGTTGCTCGTTAGGAATGTTTTAGATATTATTTATGTATGGTTTGTCCATAATTATTTTCTTTGTACTATTATAAATGTAATTTATTATTTGATAATATTAAAATATTAAAGAATAATTCTGTTAGTTGTTTTTACCATTTTATTGAAGAAGTTGAAGTATCTGACAATTTTAATTATAGTTTTAGTGAACTTGCTGTAGAAAATGTTACATCACACGTAGACATTATGATTAGCCCAAGTTGTTATTTTAATATTCATCTCCACATGAATGCTAGAACCAGTTTCCATGCTGGAGGTATTTGACAATTGAATGTGTAAATCATAAATTTGTCATTTTGTGAGAGACTATAACAAAAACTGGAGGCTTCCTGGTTCCTGAATTGCTCATCTGGCAGAAATATGCATCATTTAAATCTTTAGCAACAGTGGCAGCAATCATACACACACAAAGTATGATTTTGTGTCTCTATAATTCAATAATTACCCTTCTCAATCTGAACTACACTCAAAAATGGGAAAAATTGTCATTTACAGGCAATGATTCTTATAAGGAGTCCATCGAAAATTTTGTTCATCTTAATTATTTGTATATCTTGGCTTGTTGATCATTTTTGTTTGCATGTGCAATTTCTCTCTATTATAGTTTTCAAGATGATACCAATAGCCAAAACCCCAAAAATTGGTATAAATTAGGTGGAGGGTTGAGCATTAAAAAATGTGTGAAACCTGTAAATCAGTGGTTGTTGGTTGCAGTCTGTCGATTGTTTTTTGTTGTTTTATAATAAATCAGGCTGTTAGTTTTCTTGTTTCATTTTTTAAAGGCCTTTTATAGCTGACTAAATGGTATAATCTTTGCTAATTGTTGAAGGCCTTGAGGACTTGTAGCGTCTTGCAACCACAGCATCTGGACTTGAGTAGATAGTTGTCTCATTGGCAATCATAATACATCTCCTTTATTAATATACCAGTATAATCATTTAAGGGCAATACCTCTTTTAGGAGTCCATTGATGATTTCAGTTGTGTAGAGTTAATTGTAGATCTTCTCTTGCTATCATTTTGTTGTTTATACCGTTTCAATACCCCAAAAGTAGGGTAAAACAGTCATGCAAGGAAATTTATTCGAATAAAGAGTCAAATGACTATATTTCTGACAAGAAGAAAGAATGGTAGATCATGATGTGCTGAACTTTTTTCTCTGATAATTTTCAAAATTTAACATGATTTTACCCCGTTCTCATACTTATAGCCACAAATACAGTGTTATTTTTTGCATGGTATGTATACAAGCCACATTTTTTCTAAATAAGATGCATGAAGGATGATTGCGGTCAAGTTTGGTTCAGATTTGCAGTTAGTTTGTTTACAAGGTGATCTCATAATTACCAGAATTTGATATATCAGTGGTTATTAATGAGGGAAAAACTATTTGAAGCCAGTTTTTGTAAACCATGTTAATAGTTTTTAAAGATTTTCTAGAGGGTTCAACTTAAGTAGATTTCAGTAGCATTTTCATTCTAGGGTACCCATTATTGTCGAGCTTGCAAAATTTATTTCGTGAAAGCAAGACATAGCAATCCTAGATTCCGTCAGCGTTGTCAACATTTAGGTTCAGTCTGTGGTTAAACCTACATGGAATTTTATGAAATTTTGAGAGAAGCGGGTTTATTTTTTTATTTACAGTTAACATTCAGATTTAGTCCGAGGTTAAAAGTTTTTCAGTCATCAATAACTTTGTCAAACCTTCATAGAATTTTGTGTTGGACAGAAGCTTTTTTATGACCAAAATACAGCATCCAGAGCGAAATTTTGAAAATATTTATTTTTATTTTTCTGTATTTTTCTGATAAATGGACTTAAGTTTTTTATGCCCCATCTAGGGGTAATTTGTTTTTCGGTCTGTGCATCCCTCCGTTTGTCCGTCTGTCCCGCTTCAGGTTAAAGTTTTTGATGAAGTTGAAGTCCAATTTTACAGTCCACTGAACATAGAAAATGATACTGTCCCGCTTCAGGTTGAAGTTTTTGGTCAAGGTAGTTTTTGATGAAGTTGAAGTCCAATCAACTTGAAACTTAGTACACATGTTCCCTATGCTATAAACTTTCTAATTTTAATGCCAGATCTATAAGAGTTTTGACCCCAATTTCAGTCCACTGAACATATTTTTCACTCTATTCGGCCCTGCCTTTTTTTACATAAATTGTCATACTGCCTTTTTTTTTTCAAAGTTGCTCATCTAGCCTTTTTTTTTATTCAAAACTCCTGTCCTGCCTTTTTTTTCAAATTTCATCCTAGCCCCCCATAAAAATCAAATGGTAGCTTCCTTACTGTTAAGATTCAGATATAGTCTGAGGTTTAAGTTTTTTTTTACATAGATAACTTTGTCAAACCTACATTGAATTAAATGAAATTTGGACAGAAGCTCGTTTATGACCAAAAGACAGTATCTAGAGCAAATTTTTGAAAATATTTATTTTTATTTTCCACTATTTACTGATAAATGCACTTAGTTTTTTACAGTTAACAAGTAGATCCAGTCTGGGGTCAAAGTTTGTTACATATCAATTACTTTGTCAAACCTACAGAGTTTTATGAAACTTTGGCAGAAGCCTTTTAATGATTAAGGGATGTCTGAAGTAAACCTTTGAAAATATTTTTTAATTTTAATATTTTTCTGATAGATGGACTTTGTTTTTTACAGTTTACATTACAGACAATCTGGGATTAAATTTTTTTGACATGATAAATTTATAAACCTTCATGGATTGTTATTAAACTTGGACAGAAGCTCATTTTCATGACCAAGAAAAAGCATCTAAAGAAAAAGTTATTTTTTTTTTAAATTCTGTATTTTACGAATACATGGACTCACTTTTTATGTCAACATTACTTTTACACTGACAGCAGCAATCGCAGGCGAGACAGAGGGTTCCTTGGAACCCCTTACAAATTTTTTTGGGACTATTTTATCTCTCCTGGGAAACCATTTCCATAATAGAAATCTTTCTATCATTCAAATAGGTGCTCTCTACAGCCGTTCAAATACTAGTGAAACTACCATTTAAAATGTCACTTCAAATTGCAAACCATAGGTAGTGCAACCCTAGTCGTTTCAGTCTGTTTCATTTTCACTATATTTAACAAAAGTTGTACCCTTTATAAAGAATGTTGCTACGTAAAGTTTAATTATCTGGTACATTGTCAAAAACTATCCAAATGGGAAAACAAAAGTGAAGCTGCACATCTTCAATGTTTACCATATTCTTGCAAGGCCTGCTGGATTCCCAGAAAAATTTTTGACACTGAAACTGATATTATTCAAAGAAAAAAAATGGGTGCCATTGGGAGTAGAAATTGCTTACCCTTCAGCAACACTGGAGTTAACCCAGTTTTGTTTGTGGGGTTTGTTTTAGTCAATCCTAAATTTTGTTTGGACTGTTGTTTGTCTTTCATTACTTTTTCTATTGGACTGATTGGCTTCCCTTCTTTTTTTTCTATAAAAACTTTAATCAATTTGAACTCTCAAGTTTTATGTCCCATATGTATTAATGTCAAATGGCAGTTCACCAATTTCAGTTCCATATCTAGTGGAATGGCTAAGGAAAAGTGATTTTTTTACACTTTTGTAATGAATTATTGCTTATGTTGGTGAGTTAAACTGTTTGACACACAGCTTTTAAGATATTTTCACATGGAGTTTATTTTGTAATTGGTCTGCTTCCTCAAAATTTATATTAGTACAACATTTGTGCTCCCATTTATTTTAACTAAAATGAGCATGGCAAAATAATATGAAGTCGGAGAGGTTCCAAACCTTACTTTATAGTTGTATTTTTTTCAAACAATATAAATAACAGCATCATACAAATTTTCATTTTGGTGATTTACAGGACAGCATAACACATCAAAATAACTCCTAGGAAAGTCATCTTATAATAATTTTTTGTGGATATGCACATCTACATATCATGTCCTTATTATCTATAAAGTTTCATGAAATTCTGTTATGGTTTCAGAGGAGTTGCGATGACAAGAACAGGACTGACAGACAAGTCAAAAACATCATACCCTACGGAAACAAGTTTCGTGGGGTATAAATAGAAGATGTACGATTGCCAATGAGACAACTCTTCACCAGACATGACAAAAAATTAACAACTATAGTACAGCCTTCAACAATGAGCAAAATCCATACTGCACAGCAAACTATAAAAGGCCCCGAAATGAAGTTGGTCTCTTCCTGTTCATTTAAGTTCCTTATATCATGCAACATGTTAAAAACTTTGGTCTTAACTGGTCTTTTCTTATTCATTGTAATTATTCACTTTCTCGTCAATACCAATATCGTGGACAGCTGGCTAAAGCATCACAGTAAAGACTTGTGGTTGTTTTGAGTAGCATTTAATAAAAAAACAAATAGGCATATCACATAAAAGAAACTATAATGTTGTATATAAAAGATTTAATGATGACATGATGGTTAAATGATATGAAAATGACAACATAAGTCTTCAACGAAAGATAAATCATTAACTAAAGATCACATAATTAACAACACTTTCAGATCATTGTTCACACAAATTTTCTTCAAGATGGGACAAAAACAGACATAGATGAGCAAATTTACTTTAATGACTTAATACCATAGTTTATGAACAAAATTTTCTGAACATGTTTTCATGGTACATGTAGATCACAATAAAGATACAAAATCAAATCTGATGTTACAATCAATATAATGAACAATGTGTTTATGGCATTTGAGACAAACATGTATTCTGTAATGATCAAGGTGGACAATTGATTACAATGTAAAATGAGATGAAATTATAGTCATGGATGTTCTGTTTAGAATGCAGTATAGTTTGGATTTCCTCCACCCATTCCCCCCATTCCTCCTCCCATTGAGCCACCTCCATAGCCACTACCCATCCCAGATCCCATACCACCCCCACCCATGCTGCTTCCGCCCATCATGCCACCACCACCACCACCGCTCATGTTATCTCCGTAACCACCATCATATCCATCTGAAAAATAAATAAATTAATGTATTGGAGCTATATTGTTGTTAACTCTGAACTTTTAACAGATTTCAAGAGTTAAACTGCTCAGCAGAACATGCAAAATTATTTAGTAAAATAAAACCCTGAGGTTTACATAACAACTGCACCTTGAAGACTCATAATTTTCAAGTACTATTCATGTAAAGTATTTATGTGATTTTTTAACTGAATCGGACAGAAAACAGTCTTAGTATTTTATTCCATTTTTGCTATGCAACTAGTGAAACTTCTTTATTTTACATAAAGACAAAAACCATAATAAATGCAGTGTATAATTAAGACCTATAATTGTTAACTTTTTATATATTGTGACTTGGATGGAGAGTTGTAGTCTTAGTATTTTATTCCATTTTTGCAATGCAACTAGTCAAACTTCTTTATTTTACATAAAGACCAAAAACCATAATAAATGCAGTGTATAATTAAGACCTATAATTGTTAACTTTTTATATATTGTGACTTGGATGGAGAGTTGTCTCATTGGCACTCATACCACATCTTCTTATTTATATTGTCCCTTGTTTCTTATACATTACAAATGTCAATTGGTTGGATGTTGCAATGTATTAGTTTAATGAATAGAATATACATGAATAAAACAAACTGTTGGGTAGACATAAATGAGACAGCAGCCAAACACCTGTAGGACAATATAATACATTCAAATAATAATGAATATATACACCATGTCTTACTCATTTTCTGGAAAATAAATAAATTCAAGATTTTTTTTCAAAATAAGTCCCTTTCTATTTCCCCAATCCTCATCCTAAAATTTCTTAAGCTAAAACTCCTAATCTTACCTCCAAATCCACCTCCATTATTGAAACCCCCATCACCAAATCCACCACCGGATGAATTTGATCCACCAAAACCTCCACCACTTCCATAATTTGTCTTTCCTGTTTGCGTGGAATTCAGAAATAATTCTATATATCTATGTTCTGAAAAATAAACATAAATATAATTTGCTTACATCAACACTATCAATCCTTCATGTCTGTGGCATAATCTCAAGCTTTCAAAACTTCAATCCCTTAGATATAATCCCTGAGGTAAAATGTTTAGAAATAATATTTTATCTTTAAACTTGAAATCATAATGACCAATAGTTTATAAATTTTGATTTCCATAAGAACTATATGCTAGTATTTTAAATTAAAAATTGAGTGAGTCCACTGCACTTTAAAACATTATTTTCAATAAAGGGAAAACATGTGAAAAGTGATTGTGTATATGATTAAAATGGTGTTTTATACTTTCTTAGTAATTTAATCTCTTATGGTGTAATTATATGCCTTTACTTCAGAATCCTGCCCCATCTTAAACCCTGGAGTGGTGACATAAGAAATTAACTCTGTTTTGATTTGTTTAATTGATATCTTCTGAGATTCCTGTTTTTACCAAGTTATATATTATCCAAGTAACACAGTTGTGATCGTCAGTTTGCAAAGAAACCCTTTCTAGGGGTCTTCTTAAACTTGCAGTGAAGTGGGAGTTTTTGCTCCGTGTTGAAGGCCTCACTGTGATTTTGAGATGAAGAACAGAATTAAAACCTCGATTCCTTTGCTTATTGTTTTTTGCTGTGCATGTATTGATTTTGTGTCATGGATGGGTACCCCATATCCTTTCTTTTCTATTACAATCATAAGAATGAATTACACTTACGCATATTTTTCTTATGATTTTTCATGGCTTCTACAGCTTCTTGATGACCAGCAAAATCTACATTAGCTTCACCTGTTGGTCGTCCATTTGGACCATATTCAATTTCCACACTAACTGGCTTTATACCCAAGGGTGAAAAAAACTGAAAAATTATACAAATCATTAGCAAAAGGAATGGAAGAAAGATGATTACTTTAGAGGCTTTTATAGGGTAGTCACCAATTCAATTTTCCATATGTCAGTAAGAGTTTCAAGGCACTTGAAGTAAGACTGGTGGCTCATGTAAAACTCCAACTGACTTGACTGACAGCAAAATATCAATTTTTTGAAATTCCTTTTATTTTCCAACATTCAATATATAAGCAAAACAAAACTCAATTCACCAAAGCAATTTTCTGACAAACGACCAGGTAAATAATGAAGGTGATAAAGTCAGGTGAGTTGTTAACTTACCTCAGCTATATCTGTATCTAATGCCTGGAAAGGTAACCCTCTCATATGAACAGAATGACCAGTTTTACTGACATAATGACTACCAGGTGTGGCACCTCTTTGTCTCATAGCTCCAAGGGATCCCAATCCTAGTCCCCCACCCCTTGATGGTCTCATCGATCCACCCATACTGCCCATTCCTCCACGTCGTCCTCGTGAACTGAATCCTCCCATTCCACTACCATAACCACTTCCAAAGTCATCAAAATCTTCTTCAAAAAATCCTATTATACAACATTTTAAATATAATGTACACATAAATGTAAAACATATCTCAACATTTTTATACACAAAAATCAGCAAATTAAAAGTGTATTAACAGGATATGGACAGCAATCTATCAACATGCATTCACTATTTATATTTCATAAAATGCTGTTAGTTTCAGTGAAGTGGACCAGATGTGTAATGAAGTGACTAGAGAGATAAATAGAAATATACAATATAATACAAGTTCTTCATCTGAAAATATAATACAAGCTATATGAAAGTTGTACCAAGTCCTAGCCTTTGGCTGTATTTGTCATTAAAATCTACTTTAATTTAACAATCACAGAGAAGACATTAAAATGAACTATAACATATATAGTATAAATTTAAGTCTTACCATGCTTACCAGTCACTCAAAATAGGATACCAGGAGATGATAATAGCATACTTTATGAATATCCACAATATATATGTTTATTTGTAAAGTAAAATATAATGAATGAAAGTAGTCTAAATTTCATTAACTTTGTAAAAATGTCATACCTTTAACATTACGTCCTCCTCGTCCCATTCCGTATCCCATACTTCCTCCTCCACCACCCATACCCATTCCGGAACCCATTCCAAATCGTCCAGTTCTGTCATAAGGTCCTGGTCTATTCATACCTCCTCCTCCTCCCATACCACTGCCAGACATTAATGGTCGTATCATGGACCGGGAGGGATTTATTTGTCCATAGGCTTCATTTAAACTGCTTTTGAAAATTTCAATGTACCTACAGGAAAAGAACATTGTCTGTCATATAAACATGCAAACAGGATCATAAATATTAATTTAACGAGTCAATTCATTACTTTAAATCATCTATGAATGTGTGACTTACTATAAAATAATTTTACAGCTGTTACTTGATTATAAAAGTAATTATTAAAACTTTTAAGCTGCATGAACTTGAAAACTTTTTTCACTTTACATTTAATTAATAAATTTTTATGTTCTCCACATAGTATTTCAAAATTTAACTTAATATTATAATAACATCTAAATGGTTAAACTGACTTTCATGTCCTCCCTCACATGGGTCCCATGGACCCTTTTCTCATCTACCCTCAGCATACCAACCTCCCATACTGTGGTCCCAATGACCCATCTAGATATATGCCCACTCAACAATGGTACCATGGACCTGTATATATGTATGTGCCCTCTCATCTACTGCTATACACATATATTTACCCTTTTCAGGCCCATTATTACCTTTCTGTCCAGTTATCCATTGTGGACCCTTCTTCCACCCTTACCACACCGGCCCACTCCAACATCCACCCTTACCGTACCGGCCCACTTCAACAGTGTGGACCCATCATCCTCCCTTTACCGTACCAGCCCTTTCAGACACTGCTCACAAAAGTAGAAAAAGCCCGTAAGGCCCTAGCCTCCCACCTGTGCCCAATCCTTTCTTTGTGTTTCAACAACGCTTTTTCACATAAATCTGGTGATGCAAACTGTACATAGGCGTCCCCCGTGCTTCTCCCCTGACGATCCTCCGGTAGCATAATCCCATTAGGTACAATCTCCAACCCTGTACACCCAACCCAACAAAAACATAAAATCAGCATGTCATCACATACAATTACATTTCAATTTTTAAAATATCCATTAACAATGAGAATATTAAAACCTTTTTTTCCTTGCAATATTTTCTTGATATAACACTTTTCATAGATTATCCCCTTATCAAAGATATGATAAGGCCAATTCTTATTTGGCCCAATGAGTTCAAAACATACACATGCAAGTGAAATGTCTTTTGGTTCTGGCTATCATTTGGTTTTTATTTAACCAAAAACTACTTGTGAAATTTCAATTTACAGTCATTGTTTCAATTATGACAAGTTTATTACATCTCAAATGACATCTCTGCACGGTGATGACAAGGCTAAATCATTCTATATATATCTAACAACAATATTGCTTAAATTTTGCAGGATTGAATATTTCTTTTTTATTTTGTAATTTCAGGGGCCAAATAGTGGCACTTATCATATCTCCTTTCAAATATTGCAAAACATTTTGTATTGTACCCACTTTTATTCAATTACAATAAGTGACATTTAATAGTTCTTCAAGCAAGAAATGACAGAAACTGCTGGTTCAAATATGTTGTGTGTGCTTTGCTGTGATAAATATTTAAACTAAAAAGTAGACTGCAACCAAGTTTTTCTCAGTTTCAAAATTAATTTAACTACTTTTGCTATCACTACTATTTTGCTGTTAAATGAAAAAAATATTACTATGAAATTTCAAACTTAAAAGAATTCAGTACATGATTTCTTTTCTTTTTTGGTATCATTCAGAGGATCTCAGTTCAATCTGCCTTACACAGTATCAAGTAAAGACTTATCCAGTTGACATTTTAATTTTGGCATTTAAATAAGACAGATGGCCTTTTCTCAATCTCAATGAGTTACATTAAAAGCAGTTATATTTGTGCTATGTTGAGGAATACAGCATACTTTTACACTTAAACAAAACTTGTTTCCAATTTAAACACACATTTTCAACTTCTTGCTAATGAAAAAAAAATATTTGCATTTGATTAAATATCGACAATTGAAATTATTTCAAATTATTATTTTTCTTAATGCTACAGATACCTTTAAACACTATTAACTATTCATCAAATCATTTTTCATTTGACATTAGTATGTCCCACATTCTGTGACATCATCACAGGCAAGACAAAAAATAAACAAACTATGTCATACAATTTCAACTTGACAACCATGCAAAATTTACCCAGTAGCTAATCCAAAAGCCTACAGTGCTTTGGTACTTGCATGATTTATGATAGATACATTTTGACAGTCAATTTCATGTTATTGTTCTTAAACCAAAGTTTGCAAATCCCTGAGACAAAGCTGACCTGGGACTGTTTTATATTTTCAAATGTTTTTTTGTTTTTTTTTGTTTTTTTTTTCTCATTCAGACTTTTCTTATTGACTTACCTGATAATGGTTAATGCACGGTGTGCAATGAAGTTGGAAGCTAACATGATTTCTTTTTAACTTTTAGAATTCAAGAGGTACCAAGAATTTTTACTCCACAAAGGTAGAACTTTGTTATTGACAAATGAATAAACTGTATCATTCAATTTGATGACAAAACTGGAGTATTACTTTATATATGTATCTGTATATTGATCTACTTTTTGAAAGGTGTCATTCAACTTTCTCTGATTATACAGACCTGTAAAGAACTGTGCTATTTCTTCTTTTGAACAACCAAACGGTAAACCACGTAATCTAACCACAGCATCCTGTGTTCCCTGCATTTGTCCTGGTCCTGCTCTTTTTATTACCCATTCCATTTCACTTTTCTTTGACCTAAATACTAGAATGACAAATATAACAATAATTATCCTTGTGCTTTTAAGGGTAAAACCTTAGGTTGTTTTAACAGGAATCCACAGGTCTCTCTTCCTGGTATAAATCACTATTAAACAAATTATCCCTTGTTTTTTATTTATTACAATTTAATAGAAGTAGTAATATTTAACCCTGATCAAATGTGTTTGTCCCTCTTTTTTCTTTTTCATATCGCCCAGTGATGGAAAGTACCTTCAATATATCTATTTCCCATGTGTTCATTATTTTTCTGTAAAGCCTTCTGTAAATTGGACTCGTCAACTAGTTCTATAAAACATTCCCCACTTGGTCTGCCTTCTCTGGAGTAAGTGAAATGGACACCATTCTCTCCACCAACAACAGCTATATCATCTGCAATTATATAAACACGACAAATCATTCACAAAACTGTCTGCAATGTAACACTTACATGTAGGTGAACTAGAGGCAAGAACAATACTAGTGGGAACTATTAATCATGTTTTTTAATTTAAACCAAGGAAGTGAAACTAACACAAATGCAAATGTAGGACAAAAAGTAATTTTGTTGGAATTTACTTAGTCAAATCTCTCAAAACAAGGAGATAATATAAATAAACACAAGTCTATAATTATCCATCAATACATTTCTTGATATATATGTATACAAACTGCCTACTCACTTTGTACATTAAATAGTTTCTACCTAAAAGTGACAAAAATAGCATACCTTTTTCATTCTGATATTCGCATTTCATTAATGAGGAAAAATTAAGACAAATTCAGGGCCTAATCTAGGATTTTGAAGAAGGAGAAGTGACTTCTCCTTCCAAGAGAGAGAAGGGAGAAGTGGTCAATTTCTTGGAGAAGTGAGATTCCATTACCGTTTCGGTTGCATCATGTTTTCATGCTTATCACTAGGGAAATTGTTTTATATTCAATAAAAGATATACTTGCAGTTTTTTCATATGTTATTGTACACAATGCATATATAGAAAGTTCTTAATAAAAAGGTTTAGACAATATATAGTTGTTATTTATTTATTGATACCATTGTGTTCTAAATAAAATTTGTTGATTGGGACATGAGGGAGTAGCCTTGTAATATTATCATGATTATGATGCATTAAATTCATGTGCATCTGCCTCAATTTATTTTTAAAAGTCCAGAAAAAATATAACTCCCAGTTTTCCTGTTGAATTTCACTTATATCACCACTTGTCATTATTTTGTAAAACATAATTGAATGTCCAGGGCATTATGTTAGTTGTAAATTGAGATTATCGTTAAAGATTGTAAGTCTATAAATGAAAATATTTTTCAATCTCATATTAATTATTCGACAAAGAGCTAATTTCTATCATTTTTTAAAAATATCATCCATATCAAAGAAATGGTCGTGAGAAACAATCCACTGCTGATCACAACCTGGTCGAATGTCGTACGTTTGCCATCACATTATCCATCAGCAGTCTTTCTACCTTTTATATTTCAATTTTTATTCAATCAATATAATAAATCTACCGTTAATTCCAACCTTTTACCTACCGAATAGTAAAATTGATCGACTCGTGTAAGTTGTAAAAATAAAACAAATCAGCTGAGTGATTACGCAACATCCTCAGATGAAAATTATCGTAAAATGATAACTTAAACAGACGGTCAGTTTTCCGTTTGAACAGTTTTAAAAGTTATATCCGAGGATGTTCAAAGTCGCCGTTGTATTTATTTAATTTGATCGTTGACAGTATTAGTCCTGGGTCGTTTCGAAAATCTCGATTTTCCTTGTCAGCCGCCATTTTTTTTACCTGTGAGACTTGTGAATCACAAGTTGTCTCCCTTTTACCGATTTTGATAGCGATTTGACTTCGCTATGAAGTCAGTCGGCCGGCGAGATTTAGCGATTTTCAAAATTCTTTGGCGACTTAAATCGTCATTTCGCCGGCAAGATTATGGCCTGAAATTTTAAAATCAGTTATTGGTCAAATGTGAAGAAAATTAGAATAATTACGTTACACACCATCTCGTTTTGAGAATAAGGCTACTTAACACTTATGTTTAAGAAAAATGGTGCTCGCAAATCAAAATTGAAAAAAAAAATTAAGTCACTAAAATTGTGCATACCTAAAAATTTGAGGACTTCTTCAGCTGTAGCAGACCATGGAAGACCACGTAATCTCACTACACAACCATCATAATCTTCTGATGACATCTGCAACAAAAGTAAAAACAGTTAGAAAGTCACTTAATTCCCAAGGTATCATAATCTAGCATTTGTTGAGATGACATGGCGGCTTTCTGCATATAAAAACTAAAAAAAAAAATAGCAGTCAAATTTGATAGCTAATAATCAAGATCAAAATTTGAAGGTTTCTGCTTCAAAGGTGAATAGGACTGGCATATATACACATCCATTCATTTGAGATGTGCAATGATCTACTTCGTTTTTGTGTCGAGTATAAAATACCAAACTCCGAAAAATTTGATGGACCCAAATTTCCAGAACTTTCAATTTATATTATCCAGAAATTCCAGTCCGCCAACAATTATGGAGTTTGGGTATTTTATACTCTCCAAAAGTGAAGAATCTGAAATGATTGCACATCTCAAATGAAGTTGTAACTAATTTTATCGTTACTTTTGGATATTTGATTATTTCTGTTATCGACAGATCATGTTTTCGTACATCATATGAATTTGTACTATGCATGCTTTTTCAATGGAAATTGTGATGTCACAATGCATTCTAAATAGCACTAACTCATAATACAAGGATAATATTTTACACCAACAAGCACACAAAAGCCTTTTGAAAAGGTAAGATTTTGTATACATTGTATGTGCAAAATTTCTAGTCAAAGTACTGCCGAAAATTCTCTCTCAAAGTTAGATGAAAAAAATGGCTTCAGTGTTAGTACCAGGTAGGAAGGCATCACACTAAAAAAAATTAAAATAGCCTTTCAAGACGTCATAATTATTTGGAAATTATATCGTCTCGTATTGTGTTTTCGACCGTCTTACGTTTTCAACCTAATTCTACATTCACTTCCCGTATGCTGCGCATGTCCGTGTGACGTCATATTTGGCTGCTATAATTAGTAATAATATCAAATAATACCACGTGGTGGTTAAGATGTTCCAAGTAAAGTTAATGTAATTAAGTATTTACGTTTTATTAATTGATATCACATTTATGTACCCTTTTACTAATACTATTTTAACCTTCAAAAAGAATCTATAAAAAAAAATAAACAAATATTCTAGAAATATGGCAGGGGACCTTTTGCACGTGAAGTTTGCATCCAGGTCATTAAGTCACATGACTGTCAGGTGGTTAGTTGTAATACTAAAAGTTATTTTTAACAGTCAGGGGTGCTACTTAAACAAGTGATTTCATCATCACTTATTTCAGTGATTTGATAAATTCAGTTATCACCTATTTAAGTGATTTTAGTGTTTTCTTTGATCTTCAAATGCTAATTTCATTGATTTTCCATATTTTCACTATCTTTTCTAAAATTTTCCTACATAAATCAATTATCCCTTTTTCTTTGTATATTAATTTCACCAGTGCGCTTGGGCAGTAAGTTAGTGCGCTAAAGCTTTTAAAAGTACCCTTGTGAATTTTTCTGTAATCAAAAATTCATTAACTCCTCTTACTATCAGACAAAGATCAACAATATTAGGTAACCTGATTGGTTTTCTTTAGAGTTAGAATGATCTACTTCAAGGTTATGACCTGATCTACAAATTATTCCAGTTTTTGCATATCTTAAAAAAACTGTAAAAGTGTCAGGCTTATCAAGCAAAAGACAATTTCTGCATGTACATAGTTGTTTTTTCAATGGAATTGTTGTCTTTTTACCAATAAAAAAATCAAGCTTGTGGGAAAAATATCAAGAACATGTTATAAACACTTATTAAAGTGATTACATTTTAACTTCTAAAATTACTTGTTTCAGTGATTTTAAAAAGTCTGTGTGAAAATTTTTAATATTTCACAGCCAAAATCACTCGAGGAAGTGATTCTGAAATCACTTGTTTAAGTAGTACCCCTGACTGTTTAATACGGAAATCTGCATGATCCTTACAGCTTTTCACTAAAAAAATAAAATATAGATTAATTCTAATTTACAGAAACAACAGTCTGTCAGTGGAAATTACAGACAATACTCACTCTGCAATGCCTTCACTAAAGTATTGAACAAAAAAATGACTGTATACAAGATCAAACTTGCTTCCAAAGTGCCTCATGTGAAATGTGTACAACTAGTCAAATAAAGATATCAAAATAATATTTTTTATCTTAAAGTTGTATATGTAACCATTTAATTCATTAAGTCCTAAGTTTGATCGCCTCCTAACAATTTAAATAATTTGATATAGACATTGGCATCAAATTTTAACCAATTCCGGATTTGTACGACATGTCATTTCCGACTTTGGACCAGTTTTTTAGATAGGTCGAAAACACAAGACGCTAGTTTTTGTCAACAAACGTGCCATCGATCTAATGAACTCAAATAAAAAAATAATTTAAGATCGAAATATATTTCAGATACAATTATTTTATGCACAAGTATACTAGTGACTCTCAAAATATTAGGCATGTCTATGTTCAAACATATAAAAGGGAAATTCGGAGAAATATGTTAGTAGGTCGAAAATACAATACACGAGGATACATGTACTGAAGTAGCACTCACCCAACAGAAAAATTTCACTAGAAAATAAACAATTGGTAATTTGTGATACATCTGCATCAAGTTCTTACAACCTGATTGAGTTTTATCAGCTCAAAAAATGGGTTGAAATTGAATGCGGCATATACAAATAATTTTTCATGGATAAAACAGTTAAATTAGCATAGCCGAAAACTACTGTCTGATTAGTTTAGATACACAAACTCGTCTCAGGTCTGGGCTATATATGCATATATTCCCCATTTCCATTCTCAATTTTATATGAGAGATTCGTTGATTATATTTGCAACAACCTTAGAATAATGGTGGAGTTTTCTTTCAGCCTTTGGTGGGTTTCTTTCTGACAACAATGGCTGGAGCGTGTTTCAGAAGAAAAGAATGAAAATGAGGCTGGTATCTGTACGGCTCGGGATCGGGCTTTCTAAACCAATAACCGGTGTACAGATACATATACGCGTATAGACCATAACGGACAGGGAAAAAAAACGCAGACGTCCTCCGTAAACATTATTTTATATTAGCGCATGCACATATCAAAAAGGGAGGAAATGTAAGGCTCTAGATTGATGTTGTTGTTTTTTCCGAAGCTTCATCATTTCTTGAACTGGTTCAGACGGCATGGATTGCATATATTTGCGAATGTCATTAATTCAATTCATGAGCAACATGATGGGTGCCACATGAGGCGCAGGATCTGCTTATGCAGCACATCACAGTTAGTTGTGTGGTTTCGTATTTTGGCCCCAGTTGATTTTTTCAAATATAAACGTGAAGTTGGTGTGCAATAAAATTCAATTTTGGATAGCTGATTAAAGATTAATAAATATAGCCTTCAAAGAGGGTTTATATGAACGACAAGATTGTGAAATGTATGTATTATGGGCTGTTTTCTTTATGATAGTGTGTATTTTTATATCCATACCAGACATTGGTCCAAAATTATTGTAAAGTTGTTTCTCACCTTTGGGTTGTCGCACAAACTTGTGACTATTATATTGTACTAATATATTATTTTCAGTTTCTTGTATATTCCTCCATTAATTGTGGAGCACTACCCATAGGGTATAATTGTAGCAACTATATACACCTTAGAACATAAGGAAGCATTTAATTATGTACAGATGACTGAATTTAGGCAATAATAATTACTAAAATTAATATTATAACTAATTCATAGGATTGTCATCATAAAATTTTAAAAATAATATTCATAATGTGCTGAAGTGTAAGAATAAGTTAAGTAAGAACTGGATATATTTACAAATAAGAATTTAGAATTTAAGTGGTCTTAAATTAAACTTTCTTATAATTGTTAGTTAAAGGTGCTATACGTACATCAGAATTTATAATGAGAAGTTATTTTATAGGACTTATGTAAAAGGGTTGGGGTTTAGAACAATTCATCATATATACATAAGTTTACCTTCACAGTTTAAAGTTACCTTATTTCGGATCTTATCATTATTCTTTAAGGTAACTGGATATCTTAAAACTTTGCAAATTTTTTTTATTTAATTTAGGTCCTAATACGTCATAAAATAGTAAGATGGTAAAGTAGGGAACTATTTTATTTTAAAAAAATTTACTTATACTGTACTTGTGTTCAAGTTTTTAATCCTTTTTGTGCGCAGCATGTGCATCTCGTAGCACATATTTCTAGCCAGAGTTTCAATGTTTTCATACACAGTTGAGTAACAGTTTATGTCCTTGCTAGTACAGTCCATTATGAGCTGCAGTAAATTCCCTTCTTGTATGATCTTCTTGTATGTTGAGGTATCGATTTCATCCATTGTCTGTTCTATTTTTGAGCAATATTTAGATCTTATTTGCTCCAATTCTTTACAGCGTAGAATAAAATGTTCCAGATCTTCATTTTCCTGTTCACAGATTGTACATATCGGGTTAACTTTCGGATCGAACTTAGCTCTTTTGGCTTGTAATATGTACGTTTGAGTACTTATTCTTGCTTTTATTTCTCCTGCCTTTACATCTTTACTATTGTTTTTTACGCTTTTCCATATATTGTGTGCTTCATTTAATGGATTGTTCTGTATCTCTATCTATTTAAGTGATGTTTTTTCCATTTTTTCATAGTGACATTCATTTTTCCAGTATTCCTTGATCTTTATTCCTACTAGTCTTTTCCATTCGACTGAGCAATATTATGTCCCAGTGCGAACTGGGTGATTCAACTTTACGAGAGAAAATATGAGGCGAAAGGCACCCAATTTTTATATGATCATTTGATAGATTAATTTCAATAGTTTCAGAAAAGATATCATTCAAAGGGATTGAAATTCAACTTTGAACCAAATTTTAGGGGAACATGTGACATTTTCATGCCCCTTTTTGCAATAGTTTATGGTAAATAAATGCAGAATGTTGCCATGGATAGTCACCATACACAACGAAGAAATTATATTTCACCATTTTAACTGTTGAATATCAAAGTTAAATCTATGGAAGATACTGGTTACATACATGTGCACATGTGTGACACAAACAGTTACCTTAATTTGTAGAAAGCCAGAAATAGGAGATGATTAAACATTTTGCGGATCAATTTTATTTATTTCCTGTGAAACTGTGGAGTGCTACCATATCCTTGAGAGCACTCCCGGTTTTTGGTGGGGTTCATATTGCTCAGTCTTTGGTTTTCTATGTTGTGTTTTGTATACTGTTGTTTGGTTGGTTTTTTTTTTTCGTTTTTTGGCATAGAATTTTTTTTTTTATTATTTACTAAGGGTTTAAAAGCTATTAAACGAAGCTTTCCAATTGGTGAAGTTGAAATCATCCATTTACATCTACATCATACGTTGAACTGTCAATCTTGACCAATACTCAACGCTTCCGGTGGGCGCAAAAAAAAGAGTATTTTTATAAGATAAAACCAAGAATATATAAAGCAAGTATATAAGTATAATAGGAAATAGTAAAGAAAGAGAAGGGGGGTACCCATTTGCATTTCGTCCATCTGGCCTAAACCAATCCGGCTTCCGTTGCGGTTCCAGGGAAATGATCCCCGCCGGCACAGCTCCAGTCTCTCATTTGACTTACTTGGCAAATGGGGGACGGAAAAGACTAGAAAGAGCGTATGAAAAGCTCCCTCTTGAAGGATGCCAAGGAGGGAACCTCATCTACTGTTACTGATAAAGAGTTCCTAGTAGTCACTGTTCTTGGCAAAAAGCTGTATTTGAAGCCATTAATCTTGGTTGAGTATTGCCGAAACTTCTTGGTATGTGATGGTCTTGTTCTTGTTGACTTTTGATGTTATAGGTAATTGTCGCATGGTATATCCACAAGATCATTAACCCACTTTGTAAAATAAGGTTAGCTGTAGTTTCACCCCTCTGTCTTACAATGATTCCCAGCCAAGTTCTTTCAACATGCTTCCTACACTACTGGTGTTCATATAGCGATTTGTGGCGTAAAGGGCTGCACGACGCTGGACCATTTCAACCTTTTTTGCCTGCTCTTTTTGGTAGGAGGTTCCATACTGTTGTACAGTAGTCTAAGTTTGATCATTGCAACCACAGGCACTTGTCCCTGAAATTTGTTTTCCCTATATACCTTATGTTAAAGTATATAGGTATTTTTTCAGAGACAAGTGCCTGTGTAACATATAAAAGAGAGTTTAAATTGTGTGGAATAACTGGTGTTTTGTTACTATTTATATGCAAATACAGTCTTAAGACTGTATGTTTACCCCTAGGTGTCTTTTTAGTGGTTATTTGTTATCTAATTTTTTTTTTTGGGGGGGGGGGGGGGGGGGGGGGGGTTACTCTTTAAGAGTAATTTAAAAAAAAATGTTCGTATATAAATTTTGAAATTATAAAGAAACTAAGGTTTCAACTCCCTCAGGTAAAGTTGACCTCAGATGGATTTGGCTATTTTTTTTCAGGTCCTTTTGTTTACATAGCTTTTCAATTGTTTCGGTTTTTATACATCCTTGGCTTTCAAATATTCGGCTTTGCGAGTTCCTGATGTCTGAAGGTAAATCCAGAAAAGCGCTTCGGACGCATGAAATTTATAACGTGTTGTTTTCATTTTTTAATTTCAATAAGCAACAGGAACTCCTTTTTGACCGTTTGAAGTACCTGTGTTCACCCAAACTGGAAAATGTGGTGCCTTATCTTTTTTTTAACCGAAACTTTTTCTTGCCTTGAGCGACAGTAACTGCTTATAATTAATTAGCCATATGTAACATTTGTGTTTATTCCTATTTTTTACGGTTTCGTGTCGTTATTTCTCATGATCGTTCTTTTTTTACTTATTTAGTCTGATAAACTTTTAACATTCGGCCATGACACATATAGGGTTATAAAGGTATAAGGTAATAGCCTTAGGGTTATGAAAATGTCGTAGAGGTCATATAATATGGTAATGGAGTTCGAGTAATAGAGTTTTAGAATTTACGGTTATCTTCATTGATAGTTAATGATTTTGCAATATCTTAATGTTAAACAAGGGACATGTCTCAGACGGTACGTGACTGTTAGGATGGGATAAAAATTAAATTACAAATGGAAAACGTTCATATGATGGGGTTTTTTTTTATCAGAAGACAAATTTAACCTTGGTTGAACAAGAGCTATTTTGGCACACATGGTTGACTAATCTCTACTTGTATTGCCCTGCGTACATTTATTGCTCCCTCTCTCTTTCTATATAGTAAAAACGGCCGATATGACCCTGTATCCGCGGTGTTGCGTTGCTCGTAACCACACTGCCTGTAACTAACAATAGAGTTGAATATCATAGAGATTTATATATGTATAAAAAGATAACAAATGCGCTTCATATAAGTGAGTATGTCAGTGATATTTTAAAGTATCTCACCGAAACTATTAATCTCTTATACTATATACTAATGGAGACTTGATAACTGCACTTGAATTTTTACAAGATAACATTTTTGTTCGCTATGAAGAGTCCGTATATCGTCAAGTTATCGGAATTCCAAAGGTAAATAACTGCACCACTTATTGCGGAACTGTTTTTGTATTGTTACGAGTAACAATTTATGACTAAAATCAACAAAGACCCATTGAAACAACATCTGATACAAAAGTTGAATAATACTTTTAGATATTTGAATGATATATTGGCTCGTAATAATTACGACTTCAGTATGTACACTAAAAAGATTTATCCTGCTGAACTGACTTTAAATAAAGGTAATACTAACAATGAATACTGCCCTTTCCTTGATCTTGATATTTTTATTTTTAACGGAAAGCTTAATACTAAAATTTATGATAAAAGAGATGATTTTTCATTTCGTATTGTTAAATATCCATTTTTAGATGGTGACATCTTATGGTGTTTACATATGTCAACTTGTTCGATTCGCTCGTGTATGTAACAACGTATTTGATTTTAACGAAAGAAATCTTTATATTACTGAAAAAAATATTACACCAGGGTTTTCGATATCACAAACTTGTCAAAACATTTACTAAATTTTATCATTGGTACAAGGACATCATTCGTAAATATAAATCAACGTGCAGACACCTTATACGTTCTGGTATTTCACCTCCCATCTTTTATGATAAAGTTCTATAAAAAGCACATAAATGTCGTCATTCACCTCAAAAGCTAACCAAACCTTAAAACAGACTTATTCAGAAGGGATATAGGTACGATACTATTGTCAGGTCATTAAAGATGGCAATTTTTGGAATTAATATTGATTCACTCATATAGGGTCTTCGGAAATAAACACATTTATTCTAAAACCAGTTGTTGGCATGATACGGGTTATGTTCTTATATCGTATATTTTATGATGGTATGATACCAAACCCCTAACGGGAGGGATTGTGCTTGATTTTCATATGATAAAGACATAATCTTTCAATCAGTTTAATCAGAGACATATAGTACTATATGTCTCTGGTTTAATTGAGGTCTGGATCGAGCTGGCTAAGATCTGTGAGTAAGTGCTAGTAGTCCTTTGTTAATTTATGTTGATTATTGTCATTTTGCTTAGTTTCTTCTGTTACCTATTCTAACATCGGACTCGGACTTCTTTTAAACTGAATTTTACTGTGCGTATTGCTGTGTATTTGTTTACTCCACATTGGCTAGAGGTATAGGGGAGGGTTGAGATCTCACAAAACATGTTTAACCCGCCGCATTTTCGCGTCTGTGTCAAGTCAGGAATCTCTTGCCTTTGTTAGTCTTGTATGTTTTTTTTAAATTTTGGTTCCTTTATATGTTTCGGAGTTTAGTGTGACGTCCATTTTCGTTAAACTTGTATACATTATTGTTTAGGGGCCAGCTGAAGCCCGTCTCCGGGTGCGGGATTTTCTCGCTATGTTGAAGACCCATTGGTGACCTTGGGCTGTTTTCTGCTCTTTGGTCGGGTTGTTGTCTCTTTGACGCATTCTCCGTTTCCATTCTCAATTTCATTGTGTCTCGACCATAATATATTTTTATGAAGAAAACATTTCATCATTCAGGGATAACATTATGGAACCATTTACCCCCTGCTTTACGTTCTCTCTTGACTGTGATTTTAAAAGAAAGAAGAAATTTAGAAGAAACAAATTATTTGTTCATGATATCAAAATGTAAGCTAGATCAGTAGTTATGAATGCAAATTTATATTTTATTAAATATCTTAATAATTTTCTATTCCAAATTAAGCATGAAGGCTACTTGTATATATATATATACGTACTTGTTAGAGGGGTCAAAATACAGCACAAACAACATTTCCCAAAAGACCAAAAAAGTGAAAAAGTATATTTTAACAAAACGCATTTGACTAACAGGTCGAACAACAAATGTTCTTAAACCCTGCTGACTGCCATTGGCGATTGCCAAATAAACGGATCACAAGGTGTAATAAATGGATCTTAATTAAAAATTTAATACCAAACAGAAAACAATAAACTTGCGGCAAAGATGGTATACCGCAAACAAAGGTGCAAAGATTTTTGTACACCATATCCGGATTTCGACAATTAATGTCTCTTCAGTGATGTTAGGAATCGAAACAGTATTTGGAAGGCCATGTAATTTACCTCAATTTAGGATAGACTCTCGAATTTTGAGGAGTCAAATTAGGATGAACGGATCATATAAACCCGAAGGCAAATATAATACAAGCCCAAACGAAAAAATATAAACAAGTCTAAATTGAAAACAACGTTCAAACCAATGATTGCGTTGGATAAAAACCGCAATTTTTATACGTGTGCATGCAAAAACAAATTTCTTGTTAGAGGGGTCAAAATACAGCACAAACAACATTTCCCAAAAGACCAAAAAAGTGAAAAAGTATATTTTAACAAAACGCATTTGACTAACAGGTCGAACAACAAATGTTCTTAAACCCTGCTGACTGCGGTTTTTATCCAACGCAATCATAGGTTTGAACGTTGTTTTCAATTTAGACTTGTTTATATTTTTTCGTTTGGGCTTGTATTATATTTGCCTTCGGGTTTATATGATCCGTTCATCCTAATTTGACTCCTCAAAATTCGAGAGTCTATCCTAAATTGAGGTAAATTACATGGCCTTCCAAATACTGTTTCGACTCCTAACATCACTGAAGAGACATTAATTGTCGAAATCCGGATATGGTGTACAAAAATCTTTGCACCTTTGTTTGCGGTATACCATCTTTGCCGCAAGTTTATTGTTTTCTGTTTGGTATTAAATTTTTAATTAAGATCCATTTATTACACCTTGTGATCCGTTTATTTGGCAATCGCCATTGGCAGTCAGCAGGGTTTAAGAACATTTGTTGTTCGACCTGTTAGTCAAATGCGTTTTGTTAAAATATACTTTTTCACTTTTTTGGTCTTTTGGGAAATGTTGTTTGTGCTGTATTTTGACCCCTCTAACAAGAAATTTGTTTTTGCATGCACACGTATAAAAATTGCGGTTTTTATCCAACGCAATCATAGGTTTGAACGTTGTTTTCAATTTAGACTTGTATATATACGTACTTATATACATAGTGTGTTTTATATATTTCATTATTATAGTTCACGGTATATATTGTATTTCTTTTTTTTTTGTGTCCGGGAGGGACTCGGGAAAGATTAGTTTTATCATCTATGGTTTTATGGTGTTACCCTTCTAAAAATAACACCATTACTTACCTACTTACTTACAATGACTTTGACTTCGCCGTGATCGATTTTGGATTGAAACGGTTTCATGGCTGCACACGTAGGAAACCTATCACTAACGGGAAATTACATCATATTTCAAATTTACGGTCATGTAGGTTATAGAGCTCGTAAACTAAGATACGATCCTATCGCATGAAAACTTATTAGTACTTTAAATAACTTATTCCTAAAGATTTCAATGTAATCTAAAACAACCAAGTTATTAACACTTCTTTATTGTTTATATGATAGCAGAAGGGTCTGGCCCTGGTATTCATTTAAAATTATTGAATGCTTGTTTGTGTTTTTATGCCTTGCTTGTCGGGTAAAAACTCAAAAGAGAGCCGTGTTATGTCTTTAAAATGGATTTGTAAACCATGCCGACCGCTTTTAATATTTATGTATACAGATACAGATACTTTATTTTGCTAATCAAAGCGCCCACAAGGAGCAGAATAATTACAATGAATTATACATAAATTAATATAATATATCAAATAACTGAGAGATAACAATGATTTTTTTCAAATTTTTCTTCTTATATAGCATCATCGACGTTTTTTAAGTATAACGACAAGTAAAACAAACATGCACAAACCACTTGTTAAAAAACGAATAACATTCGGGCTCATCAGTTTACATCTGCTTCATCTTAAAATCATAATGTTTTGATTTTTGGTCGTTAGAATGCTTAAACAATTTTAACCATGGGTCTACAGGTATACCATTAATTAAAGACTGTGCACGATCATATGCCAATAAATATGCTACCCATGAATACGAAACTATTTAATTTTCATTAAAATTAACGGAATCTGAAAAAGTTCGCATTTTGCAAATTATTTTAAATTTGAACTTATAAAGATATATACATAACTTGTATTCCTATATATTGATAGTTGTAAAAGTTATACAAGTTATACAGCTTTCTTTCTACCAGGAAAATAATATTGTACTTCCGGTTACATTTTTGGGAATTTAGAAAAATCCAAATGAACTTTTCAATCTACAAAAATCCAAGCAATCGATATCTGTAAAAGGATAAACAGCCATATATTTGGTTCTTCGAATGTCTTGTTTCATGTTGCTTGCATTTTGATTACCACTACAGAGAAATGAGCTTCTTTTTGTAAGTTCAATGTTTGTTTACATTTTCGCGGAACTGTCATTATACAGATAACAATTTCTCAAATTTGTTTATTATATATACCATAGATGACAACATAAACAAACAAGCACACTAGTACTGAAACATTAACAGATGTTAATCTGAATGCTTAGTATAAAATATAATTCATGCTTTGTTGCATTTTAAGTGGCTGTCATATGAATATGCTCGAACTCTTCCCCGTTACTTTATTTTATTGCTCAGAACAGCTGCATTCGAAACAACTATTTCACCTTAAAATTCTTTGCTGCTGGACATTAAGCATCAACAATAACTCAACCTTATACTGAAAATGAAATATATTCTTGGGACTTGAATGACTGGTTCCACCCTTCATGCTTACATGTATAACAGGTTGGAGAAGATCCTCATTAATGGGTACTATCTCCATTTATGGGTATTATACCCCAAAACAGGTATCCATTTTCAGTGACAAAAATATAAACTTTTGATCTCAAGATATTTCCTGTCATGGGGCAAACATTCAGGTAAATGACAACACATTGCCCAAAGACACCATGACTAAAATATCACCTGGATGAAAGTGAATAGCCTTGAAAAAGTAGGATTTTTGGAGGCTGTCATCTTTTCATTAACTAACAGGGAAAATTTTGCCAATTATATGAAAATTTGTGCCATTTGTCTGTCCCAAGTCAGGAGCCTCGTGCCTTTGTTAGTCTTGTATGATTTTTAATTTTAGTTCATTTATATTTTTTATACGACCGCAAAAAAATTTTTGTGGTCGTATATTGGTATGACGTTGGCGTCGTCGTCGTCCGGCGTCGTCGTCGTCGTCGTCGGCGTCGTCTGGCGTCGTCCGAAGACACATTGGTTTTCGCACTCTAACTTTAGTTTAAGTGAATGGATCTTTATGAAATTTTACCACAAGGTTCAATACCACAAAAGGAAGGTTGGGATTGATTTTGGGGGTTATGGTAATAACAGTAAAGGAATTAGGGGCCAAAAAGGGGCCAAAAATAAGCATTTTTGTAACTTCCAGACATAACTTGTGTCTTAGTGTATGGATCTCTCTGACATTGTACCACAAGGTTCCATATCACTAAAGGAATGCTGGGATTGATTTTGGGGGTAATTGCCTCCAAATTTTAGGAATTAGGGGCCAAAAAAGGGGCAAAAAACAAGCATTTTTCTAGTTTCATGACAATAACTTGTGTGTAAGTGTATGGATCTTTCTGAAATTGTACTACAAGGTTCCATATCACAAAGGGAAAGCTGGGTTTGAGTTTGGGGGTAATTGCCCTAAACATTTAGGAATTTGGGGCCAAAAAGGGTTCAAAAAACACATTTTTTTCTAGTTTCCAGACAATAACTTGTGTTCAAGTGTATGGATCTCTCTGAAATTGTACTGCAAGGTACCATACCACAAAGGGAAGGTTGGGATTGAGTTTGGGGGTGATGAATCATAATGGGGGTTCAAAAAATTTTGGGGGGGGATTTATTTTTTTTTCCTTTTTTTTCTTTTTTTCCTTTTTTGTTTCTTTTAAAATTTTCCATTTTAAGTTGGTTATTTCTGATTTATATTTAAAATCAATTATTACATTGGTAGCAATGAATTACATTGATTTTCCAGTCAAATAAAAACCGATAATTTCACATGTGAAATAAACGTGGTTATTTCACTCTCTGACGTCATACAACAATAGGCGTTGTCAAGACGTCAATAACGTCGGATCAAAACAAATTGTGAATGCGTAGAAAAAAGATATAGTTCCTTACATTTTCTACATTAATTTCATTAAAAAAAGCCATTTGCCAATGTAATAAAAAGAATAACTAATCAAAGAATTCAAATATCGAAATAATATTCAACTCGTGACCGAACAACACTGATAATTAACTCATGCGCTACGCGCATTCGTGAATTAATGTGTTGTTCGGTCACTCGTTGAATATTTTTCTCTATTTGAATTCTTCGATTAGTTATTCTATAAATAATAATGATATGGTAGGAGATACACACCAAACAGGATGTGTAAATTATTATATAATAAGTATTGTGCAATAGAAAGAAATTTTCAATTGCACAGTATTGCACAATAGCAAGAAATCTTCAATTGCACAGTATTGCGCAATAGCAAGAAATCTTCAATTGCACAGTATTGCGCAATAGCAAGAAATCTTCAATTGCACAGTATTGCGCAATAGCAAGAAATATCCAATAGCACAATATTGCGCAATAGCAAGAAATTGTCAATTGTACAGTATTGCGCAATAGCAAGAAATATTTAATAGCACAGGATTGTGCAAAAGAAGATACTTCCTATAAATTGCTTATTTCTTGACCAATTTCAATGGGGTTTTATTCTTGATTTCATGGGGTTCTTTAATATGCTGAATCTAACCGTGTATTTAGTTTTTGGATTTTTGGCCCCGTTTTTAAATTGGTCCACATTGAGGTCCAAAGGGTCCAAAATTAAACTTTGTTTGATTTCATCAAAAATTGAATTATTGGGGTTCTTTGATATGCCGAATCTAACTGTGTATTTAGATTCTTAAATTTTGGTTCCGTTTTCAAATTGGTCTACATTAAGGTCCAAAGGGTCCAAAATTAAACTTAGTTTGATTTTAACAAAAATTGAATTCTTAGGGTTCTTTGATATGCTGAATCTAAACATGTATTTAGATTTTTGATTATGGGCCCAGTTTTCAAGTTGGTCCAAATCGGGGTCCAAAATTAAACTTTGTTTGATTTCAACAAAAATTGAATATATGGGGTTCTTTGATATGCTGAATCTAACCATGTATTTAGATTTTTGATTTTTGGGCCCCGTTATCAACTTTGTCCACATTGAGGTCAAAAGGGTCCAAAATTAAACTTTGTTTGATTTCATCAAAAATTGAATTATTGGGGTTCTTTGATATGCCGAATCTAACCGTGTATTTAGATTCTTAATTTTTGGTTCCGTTTTCAAATTGGTCTACATTAAGGTCCAAAGGGTCCAAAATTAAACTTAGTTTGATTTTAACAAAAATTGAATTCTTAGGGTTCTTTGATATGCTGAATCTAAACATGTATTTAGATTTTTGATTATGGGCCCAGTTTTCAAGTTGGTCCAAATCAGGGTCCAAAATTAAACTTTGTTTGATTTCAACAAAAATTGAATATATGGGGTTCTTTGATATGCTGAATCTAACCATGTATTTAGATTTTTGATTTTTGGGCCCCGTTATCAACTTTGTCCACATTGAGGTCAAAAGGGTCCAAAATTAAACTTTGTTTGATTTCATCAAAAATTGAATTCTTGGGGTTCTTTGATATGCTGAATCTAACCATGTATTTAGATTTTGGATATTGGACCATAATAGGTGAATGTCCAATTTAAAATTTTTAAGTTCTTAGACCACATTCAATCTGTGTTAGAAACCTATGCTGTGTCAAATATTTAATCACAATCCAAATCCAAAGCTGTATCAAGCTTGAATGTTGTGTCCATACTTCCCCCAACTGTTCAGGGTTCGACCTCTGCGGTCGTATCAAGCTGCGCCCTGCGGAGCATTTTATTGGAGTTTAGTATGACATCCATTTTCACTGAAATAGTACACATTTTTGTTTAGGGGCCAGCTGAAGCCCACCTCCGGGTGCGGGATATTCTCGCTGCGTAGAAGACCCATTGGTGGCCTTCGGCTGTTTTTCGCTCTTTGGTCGGATTGTTGTCTCTTTGACACATTCCTTATTTCCATTCTCAATTTTATTCTCTAATGATTATCAAGGACATTTTCTTTTTTGATAAACGAAAATCCCCTTCCACATTTTACACAGTTTCAATTTCTCTAAAGCATGTTAGCACATTTTGATCCATCCAGTGAGCTGATAAAGGTTATGACCCTTAAACTCAGCCAATCATCTTGTGAGATCATCCACAACCACTATTTGATTAAATTTTTTTATACAATGGGTTTAGAAAGGGTTGAATTGCCAAAGAATTAGAGAAACATATATATATACAATTCAGGTTATTATTTTTGCTTTTATAGATTTTGGGTTGTGGTGTCCAATCAGTAGTCATCATCACAGAAATCTCTCAAGATTATGTTATTGACCTTATATGAAGAATTTTGCCATTTGTTTTCATTTTTGCCAATTATCTTGAAAACTATAATAGAAAGAGAGAAACACTAAATAGCAAAAAGATCTCCAAATAAGTCTCATGGCTAAAATCGTCAGACGACTCCTAAGAGTTATTGCCCTTTAATGACAATTTTGACCAATTTTTTGCATTTTGTCTATTATCTTGAAAAGTATAATAGATGGATAGACACTTTTGAATGCAAAAATGATCAGCAAGACAAGATCTAAAATTAAGTCAACTTGGTCGAAATCTTTAGTGGACTCTTTAGTGGAGTTCTCTTTAATGACGGTAATTACCAATTTTTTGCATTTTTGCCTATTATCTTGAAAACTATAAAAACATAGATAGAAACTTTAAAGAACAAAAAGATCAGAAAGACAAGATCTACAAAAAAGTTAAATATTGCCGATATAGTTAGTAGACTCTTTATAGGAGTGATTGCCCTTAAATGATGATTATTTCTACCCTCTTATGTGTCTTGGACAAAAACTAAAGAAGATAGAGAGAAACTGTAAAACAGAAAAAATTTACAGCAATACAAGATCAACAAAAAGAGATTTTTGTCATGAATTTCATTCTAGTCTACAATGTTTGAAAGTGTCCATTGTTGCATATGCACATAAACCTACGTGAGCTACATGTACACAGGCTCTTAAGAGCCTCTAGTTTACAGGTTTCATGGACAAAGTATAGACTCAAACATGCCGGATTGTAATAGGTGTATCTAGCTTACTCCTTAACAATTACGTTTTTAAACTTTTTAGGACTTTTTAAAATAGACCCTGACAAAGAAAGAAATTAAAAAAAATCATAAAATATAAGGCTTCACTAAATTTGTGGATCCAGGAAACCATTGTAAAGAATTAAAATATGCCGTTTTGATCACTGTTACCTCTTGTAGTAGAGACCTCCATGTCAAATGTGTAAATTAAACTGGATATCTGTCCGACATAAGGATCATAAATTTAAAACAAAAGATTACAGATGATGAAATATATTTTAATTGATTTGTTATTTGCAGTGGAGGAAGAAACAATAAAACCTTCAAACCAAAGAAGAATATTCCTGAGGGAAGTCATCAGTATGACTTGATGAAACATGCTGCTGCCACATTGGGAAGTGGTAATCTTAGGCAGGCTGTGGTATTACCTGAAGGAGAAGATCTAAATGAATGGGTGGCTGTAAACAGTGAGTATTTAGTGGAAAAACACAATTTATCAGTCAATGTTAACCTCTGAAAATGTGTCGGGAAAGACGTAAATATTTGGAGGCAGTAAATGTACATATATTTTTATTTGATTTGAGGTATATCATGTAAGCGTATGAACGAATGGCTATTTTCATCTTCATTGCTAATATGTACAGAAACATTTTTTGTTACCAAAGAGGGGACAGAGAGAATTTCTATTGAGTTGATGCATGCTAGTATTAACAGTAAGTTTTGATGGTTTTAGTCCCCTACCGACGAAGTCGAAGGGGACTTTAGGTTTGCACTCCGTCAGTCCGGCAAATCAGTTTTCCACACTTTTTTTCTTCGTGCTTGAAGAAATTGATTTGATATTTGGTGTTTTGTTTTATCATGACAAGTTACAGATCAAGTTCAAATTTTGTTCTGGTCTGATGATTTTGTGCAGAGTTATGGTCCTTGGACTTAGAAAATTCACTCAAATAATCAGTTTTCCACATTTTTTTTCGTCTGACATGCTTGAAAATGTTGACTTGATATTTGTTATATAGTTTACACCATGACAAGTTATAGATCTAGTTAGCATTTTGTTCAAGTACAATGAATTTTTAACTAGTAGGGGAATATGTATTGCCAGGTAATACTCACAGAATGCTTGTTTTATTGAGATTTTTGGTAAATTATTTTAAGTTATGATATATATATAGGTGTATGGTAACATTAATAAACTATAAAAGCCTTTTTTATGTTAACATGTTTAAACAACAAAAAGTACATGTATTTCCGTTGTATGTGTCATATGACTCATTGGTTTGGGAAGGATTTATATACTTATTAACAGGAAATTACAATGAATTTATAATAAATATAGATTTAAACTTAGTACAATACTATATTTATTCTCGTTTACAAATAATTGTATCTACTTACATTGACTTAGCTTTAAATGGCTTGTCCAATCAGAAATGTCCACTATGCGACAGCCTTAATACGACTTTTTTAGTTAAACAATTAGACTTGTTTTCCTATAACTTCTTCAGTAATTGCTAGATATTGAAAGTACATTTTGATATCTAACAACATTACTTTAAAGGAGGAATTTGTTATTAATTGGTCTGGGTGTTGTAGAAAAGAAACTATTGCAATGTTTCTTGGTCCATATGTACATCTCTGTCCCTGTTCAAATGATATTTTTAGAACCATTATTCAGATATGTTTTAGTAAACTAAATGCAAAATTGTATGGTAAAACCAGGAGTGTGGATATTTCAAAGTTCTTCACCTATCCAATGACAAATACTATACAAACATGTAGTTGAATGGACATTTTTTTAAATGCCTTCGGTACTGGTTGTGCTTTAACAGAATTTACTTGTCCATGACAGGTAATTGGAACATATTTTGAACATGTAAATTTTACTTGTCTGTCAGATTTGGTACAAGCCATTCAAGTTTGGCATGGTATTTTATCATCCCTGAAAGCATAAAGGAAGTAGATTCATCATTGATATGCTATCCAACATTGATCCCAGTGACCTACTTTTTTCACCTGAACTAATAGATTAGATTTGAACCGACAGCTCTTGGACAATACATTACTTAAATCAATTAACATAAATAGGACATGGTGTAAATGAATACAGTATGTCAGCCTCCTTCCCAAATAGATATAAGAAGATGTGGTATGAGTGCCGATGAGACAACTCTCCATCCAAGTCAAAATTTATAAAAGTAAACCATTATAGGTCACAGTACGGTCTTCAACACGGAGCCTTGGCTCACACCGAACAGTAAGCTATAAAGGGCCCCAAAAAATTACTAGTGTAAAACCATTCTAACGGGAAAACCAACGGTCTAATCTATATAAAAAACGAAAAGTTCTCTTATCTGTTCATGTTTTCTATTTGCTTAAACCGAGATTGTTGTTAAAATATTAAATAAAGTGTGACAAATGTATCTGTTACAATCCTGGAAATGTGAGAACATGCTTCTAAATAAAGTGTGACAAATGTATCTGTTACAATCCTGGTAATGTGAGAACATGCTTCTAAATAAAGTGTGACAAATGTATCTGTTACAATCCTGGTAATGTGAGAACATGCTTCTAAATAAAGTGTGACAAATGTATCTGTTACAATCCTGGAAATGTGAGAACATGCTTCTAAATAAAGTGTGACAAATGTATCTGTTACAATCCTGGAAATGTGTGAACATGCTTCTAAATAAAGTGTGACAAATGTATCTGTTACAATCCTGGAAATGTGTGAACATGCTTCTAAATAAAGTGTGACAAATGTATCTGTTACAATCCTGGAAATGTGTGAACATGCTTCTAAATAAAGTGTGACAAATGTATCTGTTACAATCCTGGAAATGTGTGAACATGCTTCTAAATAAAGTGTGACAAATGTATCTGTTACAATCCTGGAAATGTGAGAACATGCTTCTAAATAAAGTGTGACAAATGTATCTGTTACAATCCTGGAAATGTGAGAACATGCTTCTAAATAAAGTGTGACAAATGTATCTGTTACAATCCTGGAAATGTGTGAACATGCTTCTAAATAAAGTGTGACAAATGTATCTGTTACAATCCTGGAAATGTGTGAACATGCTTCTAAATAAAGTGTGACAAATGTATCTGTTACAATCCTGGAAATGTGAGAACATGCTTCTAAATAAAGTGTGACAAATGTATCTGTTACAATCCTGGAAATGTGTGAACATGCTTCTAAATAAAGTGTGACAAATGTATCTGTTACAATCCTGGAAATGTGAGAACATGCTTCTAAATAAAGTGTGACAAATGTATCTGTTACAATCCTGGAAATGTGAGAACATGCTTCTAAATAAAGTGTGACAAATGTATCTGTTACAATCCTGGAAATGTGAGAACATGCTTCTAAATAAAGTGTGACAAATGTATCTGTTACAATCCTGGAAATGTGTGAACATGCTTCTAAATAAAGTGTGACAAGTGTATCTGTTACAATCCTGGAAATGTGAGAACATGCTTCTAAATAAAGTGTGACAAATGTATCTGTTACAATCCTGGAAATGTGTGAACATGCTTCTAAATAAAGTGTGACAAGTGTATCTGTTACAATCCTGGAAATGTGAGAACATGCTTCTAAATAAAGTGTGACAAATGTATCTGTTACAATCCTGGAAATGTGTGAACATGCTTCTAAATAAAGTGTGACAAATGTATCTGTTACAATCCTGGAAATGTGAGAACATGCTTCTAAATAAAGTGTGACAAATGTATCTGTTACAATCCTGGAAATGTGTGAACATGCTTCTAAATAAAGTGTGACAAATGTATCTGTTACAATCCTGGAAATGTGTGAACATGCTTCTAAATAAAGTGTGACAAATGTATCTGTTACAATCCTGGAAATGTGAGAACATGCTTCTAAATAAAGTGTGACAAATGTATCTGTTACAATCCTGGAAATGTGTGAACATGCTTCTAAATAAAGTGTGACAAATGTATCTGTTACAATCCTGGAAATGTGAGAACATGCTTCTAAATAAAGTGTGACAAATGTATCTGTTACAATCCTGGAAATGTGAGAACATGCTTCTAAATAAAGTGTGACAAATGTATCTGTTACAATCCTGGAAATGTGAGAACATGCTTCTAAATAAAGTGTGACAAATGTATCTGTTACAATCCTGGAAATGTGTGAACATGCTTCTAAATAAAGTGTGACAAGTGTATCTGTTACAATCCTGGAAATGTGAGAACATGCTTCTAAATAAAGTGTGACAAATGTATCTGTTACAATCCTGGAAATGTGTGAACATGCTTCTAAATAAAGTGTGACAAGTGTATCTGTTACAATCCTGGAAATGTGAGAACATGCTTCTAAATAAAGTGTGACAAATGTATCTGTTACAATCCTGGAAATGTGTGAACATGCTTCTAAAACAGTTTATATTGTTGTAGAATTGGCCATGTTGGCTACTGGGATATATAAATAAACCTGTAATCTTCAATTCATTTTGCAATTATTATTTCGATTTAATAAAGCTCCAAAGCTTTTGTTAGGACAGTACTTTGATTGCTGTATAAATTATAAAAAATTTAATAAGACATCGACAGTTTATAATTTAACTGTTTTATGATATTTGTTTTATATTTTTAGCTGTGGACTTCTTTAACCAGATAAATATGTTATATGGTACTATAACAGAGTTCTGTACAGAAGAGACCTGTCCTGTAATGTCGGCTGGACCAAAATATGAGTACCACTGGGCAGATGGTCAGACTGTAAAGAAGCCTATAAAATGTTCAGCACCAAAGTATATAGACTATCTCATGTCATGGGTACAAGATCAGTTAGACGAAGAATCCCTCTTTCCTTCCAAAATTGGTATGTTGCTCTTGCTTCAGGGAGATCTAAGATTACATGTAGTTAAATTTAATATAACACTGGTTATTTGATATTGCAGTACCCACAAAGTGATGCAATTAAAGATCCCACAGTAAATGTTTGTGATTCACTCTGAAATATCTTTGTGTGAATTCAATAGATAATGATATATTACAAGTGTATTACATTACCCACAGTGAATGGTTGTGATTCACTCTGAAATATTTATGTGTGAATTCAATAGATAATGATACGACAAGTAGTAAATCATGGGTTACATGTATCTCCAAAACCATCAGCAATCACCCTGCTTCACTGTTATCCACTAAACACCAGCAAGATCTTAAACTTAATCACCATATGTTAATTGTATACATGGTCCTGGTACTATTTTCAATGATTTTTCTTCTGCTATAAAGTGCCATTTTACTTCCTGTTTCCAAAAAAATAAGCATTTCCCTCAAAATGTTTTGTGAATATCTGAAGAATATTATTTGAAAGATTTATAATACTGAAGAAGTAGCCTTATCATACCTTCTCCTTACCCCAAATGAATAATTGCCCTTTCCCCTTAAGATAATTTGAAAAATTCCAGCAATTATTTCAAAATCTCTTATACATTGTTTCAATAAATTCAGGATTGTTTAATTTTAATACGACCGCGGTCGTATATTGGTATGATGTTGGCGTCGTCGTCGTCCGAAGACACATTGGTTTTCGCACAATAACTTTAGTTTAAGTGAATGGATCTCTATGAAAATTTACCATAAGGTTCAATACCACAAAAAGGAAGGCAGAGATTGATTTTGGGGGTTATGGTACAAACAGTTAAGGAATTAGGGGCCAAAAATAAGCATTTTTGTAACTTCCAGACAATAACTTGTGTGTAAGTGTATGAATCTCTCTGACGTTGTACCACAAGGTTCCATATCACAAAGGGAATGCTGGGATTGATTTTGGGGGTCATTGCCTCAAAATTTTAGGAATTAGGGGCCAAAAAGGGGCAAAAAACAAGCATTTTTCTAGTTTCCAGACAATAACTTGTGTTCAAGTGTATGGATTTCTCTGAAATTGTACTGCAAGATACCATACCACAAAGGGAAGGCTGGGATTGAGTTTGGGGGTGATCAATCATAAGGGGGTTCAAAAAATTTGGGGGGGATTTTTTTTCTTTTTTTTTTCTTTAAAATTTTCCATTTTAAGTTGGTTATTTCTGATTTATATATAAAAGCAAATAATAATGTTAAAACATTTTAAGTTCTTAGAATACATTCATTCTGTGTCAGAAACCTATGCTGTGTCAAATATTTAATCACAATCCAAATTCAGAGCTGTATCAAGCTTGAATGTTGTGTCCATACTTGCCCCAACTGTTCAGGGTTCGACCTCTGCGGTCGTATCAAGCTGCGCCCAGCAGAACATTTTATTTTGTTCTTAAACAAAGTTTTATGTTCTGATATCAAAGTCTTCCATTCACAATTTTATTGTTTGCATTTTACTCCATACAGTTTATACTCTCAAATTCATTCAAAGTATACTTAAGTGTTGTTCTCTTTCGCCTCATCACACGAAAGAAAATGTTATTCCTAGAGGTATGCAGAGATTGATTTAGTTGATTTTTAGAAGAAGAAAAAACATTTTTTTAACTACAAGTCTGTGTCAAATTTACAGTTGGAACAGCTGTCTTTACAAAGAATGTTAAAACAGATTCGTCTTGTTTCATATAACTTAAGAACATTTATTGATTGAAATATAGATCCTGTGTTGTGTGCTCACTGTCCACGCATGTGAAAATTCTCTCTTTAAATTTCTGTTTAAAAAATCTTTTGGGATCCACTGGTTTTTGTCAAGCCTGCGACTTTTGTTGCAGAAAGCTCGACATAGGGATAGTGATCCGGCGGCGGCTACGGCGGCGGCGGCGTTAGCTAACTTCTTAAAAGCTTTATATTTTAGAGGGTGGAAGACCTGGATGCTTCATACTTTGTATATGGATGCCTCATGTTACGAAGTTTCCGTCAGTCACATGTCCAATGTCCTTGACCTCATTTTCATGGTTCAGTGACTACTTGAAAAAAAAGTTAAGATTTTTTGTAATGTTAAATTCTCTCTTATTATAAGTAATAGGATAACTGTATTTGGTATGTGCGTATCTTGCAAGGTCCTCATGCCCGTCAGACAGTTTTCACTTGACCTCGACCTCATTTCATGGATCAGTGAACAAGGTTAAGTTTTCGTGGTCAAGTCCATATCTCAGATACTATAAGCAATAGGTCTAGTATATTCGGTGTATGGAAGGACTGTAAGGTGTACATGTCCAACTGGCAGGTGTCATCTGACCTTGACCTCATTTTCATGGTTCAGTGGTTATAGTTAAGTTTTTGTGTTTTGGTCTGTTTTTTATATACTGTATGCAATAGGTCTACTATATTTGGTGTATGGAAGGATTGTAAGGTGTACATGTCTAGCTGGCAGGTGTCATCTGACCTTGACCTCATTTTCATGGTTCAGTGGTTATAGTTGAGTTTTTGTGTTTTGGTCTGTTTTTCTTATACTGTATGCAATAGGTCTACAATATTTGGTGCATGGAATGATTGTAAGGTGTACATGTCTAGCTGGCAGGTGTCATCTAACCTTGACCTCATTTTCATGGTTCAGTGGTTATAGTTAAGTTTTTGTGTTTTGGTCTGTTTTTCTTATATTGTATGCAATAGGTCTACAATATTTGGTGTATGGAAGGATTGTAAGGTGTACATGTCTAGCTGGCAGGTGTCATCTGACCTTGACCTCATTTTCATGGTTCAGTGGTCAAAGTTAAGTTTTTGAGTTTTGGTCTTTTTTTCTAATACTGCATGCAATAGGTCTACTATATTTGGTGTATGGAATGATTGTAAGGTGTACATGTCTAGCTGGCAGGTGTCATCTGACCTTGACCTCATTTTCATGGTTCAGTGATCAAAGTTAAGTTTTTGAGATTTGATCTTTTTTTCTAATACTATATGCAATAGTTCAACTACATTTGGTGTATGGAAATATTTTATGATCTATATGTCAGTCAAGCAGGTTTTATTTGACCTTGACCTCATTTTCAAGGTTCATTGCTCAGTGTTAAGTTTTTGTGTTTTGGTCTGTTTTTCTTAAACTATAAGCAATAGGTCAACCATATTTGTTGTATGGAAGAATTGTTAGCTGTACATGCCTGCCTAGCATGGTTCATCTGACCTTGACCTCATTTTCATGGTTCATTGGTCAATGTTTAGTTTACTTGGTTAATGTTAAGTTTATGTGACAGTTGTAATAAAGCTTTATATTTAGGACTATCAACATAATATCAATGATTAGTAAAGAAGGCGAGACATTTCAGCGTGTGCACTCTTGTTTGTAATGATACAGACCTTCAAAAAAAAATTGTTCTACATGTAAAGGGAATTCACCAAAGAGTTCAGGGGAAGCCATGAATTTGTATTAATAACAGGGTTTTCAAAGAATATGGAGTACGCATAATCATTACTAGTATGTACTTTGCAAAATGTGTAGATTGCAAAATTTAATATGTTTGTATATTTATAGGTGTGCCCTTTCCGAAGAATTTTCTAGCTATAGCCAAGACAATATTAAAAAGACTATTCAGAGTTTATGCACATATATATCATCAACACTTTAAAGAAGTGGTACAACTAAGTGAAGAAGCTCATCTTAACACGTCCTTCAAACATTTCATTTTCTTTGTCCAAGAGTTTAACTTGATTGAGAAGAGAGAGTTAGCTCCTCTACAAGAGCTAATTGACAAGCTCACAAGCAAGGACAGATAAAGGTCATAGTAAAAAGAAATACCAAAAACTAGTCTTACTGTATAAAATTTCTGTCATTTATATATATCTACACATTTGTTTTAAAGTAGCATTTCAGTCTTTTGTGTAAAAATATGCAGAATTGTGAGTTTTAAATAGCACAATCAAAATATAACTAGTTATACGTTGAAAGATAAGATTATTTGTCTTTGAATATGGATAGATTCTGTAAGGCTAAAATGCTGAGGTTTTAATACATTTTTACAAATACACAAAATGTACCCTGATTGTAAGAACATTACACCTTCATTATTTTGTAGATGTATATAATTACTAATATAAGAAGAAATGCTGTTTTAAAATGGCTAAGTTCTGTCTCTGTTTTGTTATGTTTTTTTTTCTATAAAACTGATCTAAGCCTTCAGTTTCAACATGTTTTGTTATATGTATTTAAAGTATAGTGGTTAAAATATTTATAAGATATAATTTAATAAAAATGTATTTCTAAGATACCATGTAATTCATATAAACACAGCATTTTCCCTGTTCTCAGAGAAAATACTTTCCATAAAACAAATTTCTTAATTTCAGTGGTTAAATGTTTAGTAAAGACTAGAGTAATTGGATGAAACAATGAGCTTTTGAACCCAGCTTTACAAAGTTCAGATAGAGGCAGATAAAAAAAATGTTTTTAAGCAAAGTAAAGACTATTTTTAGAGGAATTTCTCCTTCGATATCAAAGGGGTCTAAATGATTGTCATAGATATGTAATCTGCACACTAATTTGTATAAAGTGCTTTTTGCTTGAATAATAAATCATGAACTAAAAGTGTGAGGGATACATTTCCAAATGAAGTCCCGAGCATATGTTGCCATTATTGTAGTTTATTTTTTGTGGTGCAAAATAATTTATTTTAAGGAGTACTTTGTGTATAATTATGTGCCTACAAGCTCACATATCTACACTGTAAATTCAGATTATTTTACATGCATTTATCATTGCGGTTATTGCCCAACAGACGTAAATGGGAGGCTGAATTATTGCAATTTCAGGAAATGCTACATACAAGTGATGCTACCAAAATTCAAAATAAGAATTTTTATTTTTTGTGAAACATATCCTGTCACAATTTTCTTTTCGCAACAATAAAAACATTACAAAAATTTCTGAATTTACAATATGTCAACACCTATAATATAAACACCTTATCAATATGAATAAAAAGGTACATGTATAGTTATAGCATCATTTCAGCTGTGCTCAATTGTAAGATTGTACGAGGGTCTAAATGGGGTTTACAGAACAGATAAATGGGCCAATACTGCAGAAAAATGGGCCTAAAATTATAGGATAGAGAAAAATAGGCCCTAAAAATAAAGAATAGATAATAATGGGATGTTAAAATATAAAAGAGAATAATGGGCTAAAAATAAATAGAATAGAGAAAAATGACCCAAAAAAATAAAGAATACAGAAATGAAGGACACCTGATCCAGACCCTCTTGTATTATTTCAATTGTAACACTTATCTCCTCAGTTGTGCTCAATTGTGATAACATTTGTTTATACCATATTTTTTTTTTATATTTCTTCATGATTTTCTCTTATCTCTTGTTCAGAATAACTTCAATAAAGTAGGATAGTTATATCGCTTACATGTACATTTTATTACAGTGAACAATTCTGACTGGTGTATACAGAGGGTAAATATAAGGGACCACTGGGTATATTTTATTATAGCCTTAAAATATAATGATATAAGTAACAAATGTACTACCTCGTGATCATTTATAAAATCTGTTTAAAAGTGGCAAAAAAGATATCGACAAGTGGTGAAAAAATGATGCTTGTCACATATCAGAGATGGGACATTCGTTTATGTATTAAATAAAGTTTTATGGTGCCAAGCTTCCCACTTGAGTGTGAGTCTCTCAAAATTTCATTGGCTGAACAAGGTTAGACCAATAAACTGTACTTAATAAGAAATATCTGTTAATTAATGAAGTTGAAACATCATAGGGGACTGTTTGATATTTAATAATCAGTCAGATACGAGTAATTTTTCTAAAGAGAATTATTTACGAGGCTTTTGTGAGAAGAAATAACTCGAAAATGAATTGTCTCAAATATATCAAAAGTTGGATTACCGGTACATAATTTTTTAGAATATTGCCAAAGTAAATTGCGACGAAGAAAGAGCCAAACCTGAGAAGAAAAAATTCTCTGCAAATAATAAGTTGATTTTATAGAAATGGAAATCTTTAAATCAAACAGTTAATGCTACACCTACATTTTATTGGATAATTTTACTAAATTTATGAAATGCAATGTAATAAACTTGATTTATGGTGGTTATATAGTTTAAAGATTGTTGAATCAATCTTTAATAACTCTGTAGAACAGAGGGTTTTGTCAAGATGATACAACACAGAATAAGTTTGTCAAAAGAATGTATGTAGATAATGAATAATGGATTTCTCTAATAAAACATGAAAATTAATTATTTAGGACAGTTTTAATGTCCGTTTCTGCATATGGAACAAAAAATTCATAGGGGAAAATCAAACATACATAATTAAATTGTTAAAAGATTGTTTATTCATTTTAACCATTCCATGTTTATTTCATTATGTTTTATTTTACTTCTGAAGAGTGTTACACAATCTTAATAACATAGGGAAGCTTTAACTGTGGTTATTATATTTTTCAGGTTTTTATACGACTGTAAAAAAATTTTGTGGTCATATATTGGTATGACGTTGGCGTCGTCGTCGTCCAAAGACACATTGGTTTTCGCACTCTAACTTTAGTATAAAGTGAATGGATCTCTATGAAATTTTACCATAAGGTTCAATACCACAAAAGGAAGGTTGAGATTGATTTTGGGGGTTATGGTACCAACAGTTAAGGAATTAGGGGCCAAAAATAAGCATTTTTGTAACTTCCAGACATAACTTGTATGTTAGTGTATGGATCTCTCTGACATTGTACCACAAGGTTCCATATCACAAAGGGAATGCTTGGATTGATTTAGGGGCTAATTGCCTCAAAATTTTAGGAATTAGGGGCTAAAAAAGGGTAAAAAACAAGCATTTTTCTAATTTCATGACAATAACTTGTGTGTAAGTCTATGGATCTTTCTGAAATTGTACTACAAGGTTCCATATCACAAAGGGAAAGCTGGAATTGAGTTTGGGGGTAATTGCCCAAAATGTTTAGGAAAAAGGGGCCAAAAAGAAGCATTTTTCTAGTTTCCAGACAATAACTTGTGTTCAAGTGTATGGATCTCTCTGAAATTATACTGCAAGGTACCATACCACAAAGGGAAGGCTGGGATTGATTTTGGGGGTAATTGCCTCAAAATTTTAGGAATTAGGGGCCAAAAAACAAGCATTTTTCTAGTTTCCAGACAATAACTTGTGTTCAAGTGTATGGATCTCTATGAAATTGTACTGCAAGGTACCATACCACAAAGGGAAGGCTGGGATTGAGTTTGGGGGTGGAGAATCATAAGGGGGTTCAAAAAATTTCGGGGGGATTTTTTTTTCCTTTTTTTTTCTTAAAAATTTTCCATTTTAAATTGGTTATTTCTGATTTATATATAAAAGCAAATAATAATGATATGGTTTGAATAGGTAAATTAAATTTTTTTAAGTTCTTAGACCACATTCATTCTGTGTCAGAAACCTATGCTGTGTCAAATATTTAATCACAATCCAAATTCAGAGCTGTATCAAGCTTGAATGTTGTGTCCATACTTGCCCCAACTGTTCAGGGTTCGACCTCTGCGGTCGTATCAAGCTGCGCCCAGCGGAGCATTTTATTATTTCCAGGTATAAAATGAACAAAGCAAAAATGTATATTCTTTATCAGATTGTTTATTTTTTATATTTTTAGTCTATTTGCTCGGCTTTTTTTTAAACTGACCATCCATCAGCCATATATATTTTATTTTGAATGATTTGTTTTTGCTTGACAATTGAGTGCAAATTTCAGCACAAAATTACTTGTTGCTTAAAACAGTATATTAAATCACTTTCTTATCTTTTCAAACTTTAATCTTATATATATATTCATATATATGAGCAGTAAATATATATAAATAACATCTGAATATGATAACTTTGATTTATAACCTATAGTAATGATTTAAATTTTTATAGAATTTACCTCTTGTTGACAATGTTTCTATGGTGGCACTGGCTTCTAAACAGTAACTGTGAACAGTGAAAGAACATCACAATTCTCTGTGGCATACGTCTAAGCCAATGGGAAAAAACTTATTATTTATAAAAAGTATATACCTTCTGTTAATTTAGAATGAAAAAAGATTATAGGCTTGTGACAATTCTAATTTAAATGTTAGTATTTTTTTTATGGGATCTTCATTGTTTGAAGCAGCCACAAATTTGTCCTTGTGTGATATTGCTTTCTATATGATCTTACTGGATCAAGGTCAAGAGCTTGTTACCCTCAGATATCATTTTAAGCGTGTCTGAAGTATTGATGGATTTATTATATGAGAAATGGGGCAATCACAGAAAAAATTTTACTGATAAAGGAAATGAAGGCCCATTGAAACTTTAGGGTTGAAATGAAAACATGGAGAACTGGCCTGCCTTTCACAAAAGGTTGTACAACTTACGACCAGTCATTAAACAAACTATTCAAAATACTACTAGTCATTTATTGAACTTGCGTTTATGTAATGCAGGCCTGGGCCTATGGTTATAAAAATTTACTCAGTAATCGGGAGTAAAAAGTTTGTGCTGTAAACACCAAATCCATCTGAGCATTTTGATTGGTTGAATTCTGAAGACCATTATATGATGTATAAATTTAAATCCAATATAAATTAGCATGTGTTTGTATGTGTGTGTGATTATTGATAAAGATGTATAATATTATGTTATATGATTTGTTATGATTTAAGTAAAGGTACAACCTTCATCAATGTCATTTATTTCATTTTATAGCATAGACACAAGTTTTACCACGTTATTATGAATAAACATTCATTTATAGTTGTATTGTTTCATTTGTCACCTTTAATAAACACATTTAAAATCTAAATAATTCTGGGTGGATTAAATAAGGGCTAAAACACATGGTAACTTCAGGAAGGCACATTGAAAACACTTCTACCGAATATAATAAAAGGACTTGTGGAGTATATATGTAAAATGAGACAGCAAATAAAACAACTTCAGAAGTCATAATACATTCTTAACTGATAGACAAGCAATCTGATTTGAATACAGATCTGTGTCCACGCTTTATTTACAAGGATCTGACAATGCTCCATTCTACTTTCTGTTTTGAAGACCTTTTTGTATCCTCTAGTTTTGTCGTAATGATACACACTTTCAAAAATTTGTAGACTGGAATTTCATTGGCTGATGTAATAACTACAGGAACAGAAAGTAGAATTGAGTAAGCGAAGCAGGTATAATCCCATAGGTTTAATTGTACAATTCTGAATGGCTAAGAAATACCTAGCTCCTTGCTTAAATTCTATTACACCATCCCTTTGGAATAGCCTCGCTATTTTACTTCATATATCAAATTTGTATTCTATCAGAAAGCACTATACCTTTCTCCACTATTTATCTTATTCAAATCATGATTATTTTAAAGCCCTCTATCAGATATGTGAGTCTCCGGATGATACCAGAGTAAATGCCATGTAATAATCTATTATAGTGAAGTCACACAAAAAAATTTCCTAGATTTAGTGTGCCACAGGTGGCTGTCAAAAGGTCATTCACGAAGAGTAAAGGAAATTTATGTCAGATTTGTAATATGATATCTCATGTTAGTTATTTAACCAAGTCAGGCCAAATTATTAGTGGTAGCTATTGCCATCAAGTTGTGTCTGAAATCGTCTGTACAATTTGCTAGACCTTAAAGAATGACACAACTTGTGTTGTACTATATTGGTGCTACTCTACTTCCTTCAAAATTTTGATCCGCATGTTGCCAAACATTGAAAAACAAGCTCTGAAGAGCTTTTCACCAAATATAAAGACATATACAATAACAATAAAATGCTCCGCTGGGCACAGCTGGATATGACCGCAGAGGTCGAACCCTGAATAGTTGGGGCAAATGTGAACACTACATTCAATCTTGAGACAGCTCTGAATTTGAATTGTGATTAAATTTTTAACACAGCATAGGTTTCTGACACAGATTGAATGTGGTCAAAGAACTGAAAAAAATGAAATTGGACTTTTACCTATTATGGTCCAATATCCGAAATCTAAATACATGGTTAGATTCAACATATCCAAGTTCACCAAGGAATGGTTAGAATCAAAGAACCTCAAGAATTCAATGTTTGATGAGATCAAAGTTTAATTTTAGACTATTTGGACCTCATTGTGGACCAATTTGATAACATGGCCCAATATCCAAAATCTAAATACACGGTTAGATTCAGCATATCGAAGAACCCTATATATTAATTTTTTGTTGAAATGAAATAAAGTTTTATTTTGGACCAACTTGAAAACTGGACCCAAAATAAAAAAAATCTAAATACATGTTTAGAATCAGCATATCAAAGAACCCCAATAATTCAATTTTTGATGAAATCAAACAAAGTTTAATTTTGGACCTCAATGTGAACCAATAAAAAAACGGGGCCCAAAATCTAAAATCTAAATTCACAGTTAGATTCAGTATGTTAAAGAACCCCAAGAATTCAAAACTTTGAATTAACTACATTGAAATTGGTCTAGAAATAAGCAATTTATACAAAGTATTGGAAAAGTATTGTTTTTAGCCCCTTTTCCTAAACGGTCAAGGCAAAAAAAAAAAAATGAATCCCAACCCTCCTTTTTGGAATGGAACCTAAGTCCTTGTGGTACAATTCCATAGAGATCCATAGACTTATACTCAAGATATTGTCCGGATACCAGAAAATCATAGTTTCTTGGCTGCTTTTTGGCACCCTAATTCCTAAACGGTTTGGGCCATAACCCTACAAAATCAATCCCAACCTTCCTTTTGAGGTATGGAACCTTGTGGTGCAATTCCATAGAGATCCATACACTTATACACAAGTTATTGTCCTAAAACAAGAAAAATTCTTGTTTTTTATCCCTTTTTATACCCTAATTCATAAACAGTAAGGACAATAACCCTCAAAATAACGTTATAACATTGTGCGATCGTATGAAATTGTTATAGATACTATTGTTATTTGCCAGTCTTGAGTTTTACAACCGGAAAGCACCGTAAGATTGAATTAAAAACAAATATCAAGCTCATATAGTCTTAAAAAAAGAGTGCACTTACTGTTAAAAGAGATATTGTGTACTTCCCAATAAGACAGAAACCAAACAACACCAGCACACCCAAACGATATCTAGATTGCATTTGTTTTGGTGGCCAGGTAAAAAATAGTGTCTTGTTCCTGTTCGATCAATATTTTCTTTAAAACGCAATTCTCGAGGTGGTTTTGTGGCACATTTTATGGTTGAGAATCAAACATTTAAACATGGCGGTCATTATACTTGTCCGGACTTATTTGTACTGCCTGCAGATCTTGGACTGGTCCTTGGTAAATTATTATATAATGATGACTTGGACTGGTCCTTGGTAAATTATTATATAATGATGACTTATAGTTCAAGTTTGCAGTTCGTTCTGTTTGACCGTCTTTAAAGTGTGTTTGAATTTTATTTCTGGTGAGTAACATTTCTCGGACATTCTTTTTTTGATAGTCTGAAATGGAGTGAAGAAAGAAAAATAACAATTGGAGAACAGCATAATTAACCTTTAAAATTAGGATTTCCGTGATCTTCGAAACTCATGACCTCTCTTCTAGTCTTAACCACTGCGAAATTGTTTATCTGCCCCTGGTTATTCCAAGTCAGATATTTATCTGTTCTAATAACCTCTTTCTTGTCCCTGAGGTTTATATATTTCACATATTAGTATGTTGTTTATATGTTGGTTGTCTATTGAAGGAAATAATCAACAGAATTTTGCTGTCGGACAAAAGTATTTAGGATTGAAATGTAAAAAAAAAAAATGACACAAAACAAGTGATCAAATTCGTTGAGGTCCTCATTTGTGATGAGTTCACAACAAAACTAGAACAGTGACAGATAAACATAAATAAATAAAGATTATCACATTAATATAGTGTAAATTTAGTGATATCAAAGTTTAACAGACAATATGAAGCTTTTGTTGTGGTCATTATTAGCAACTTTAATTAAGATATCCAATGGATTCTTACCTCTGAACTCTAAACACTTACAAAAGGGACATGATGTTTCTCCTGAAGTTTTTATGAACTCGGTATGTAAATTCTATAGATACAATATGAAACCAAAAGTGTGGTGAGGAGAAAAGATGGATGGACAGTTTATCTATTCATGTATTAATATTACACATGTTAATCAGATCAAGTTCAAATAGTGTTTGCTTTGTTTGAATCAAAGTAAAAATAACCTCGGTCAATACTACAGCACCTTTTTGTTGGCGTCATCGTTATATTTATTTGTATTTTTGTTTGAATTTTTTAGTCAGTTGTGTTGTATGTCTGTAATGTATGTTTACACAGTTTGGCTTCTGGATCCCAATTATTGTCACATTACTCCTGTTATGTCTGTTTGGGTTTCTCACCCAATTACGTCAATATAACGGAACTATAAACAACTGTTATACAATTGTGATGTTTAGATACCTATAAAACCAGGTTTAACCCACAATTTTCTTCGGAAAATGCCTGTACCAAGTCAGTAATAGGACAGTTGTTTTTCACCTATAGTATATTTTCAGATGATGTGCTAATTATATAATAGATACTATCTCAACACTATTCCAGGTCCAGCTTATAGCGTACAATGGGTACAAACCAGAAACTCACTCCGTACCAACTGAGGATGGGTTTATCTTGGGATTACACAGAACACCGTACGGACGACATGATAAACCAGGAGGTAATGAATAAGGAAAAAATCTCTTCATATTCATAACCAAAGATACCAGGTATGAGTTCTTTCAAATAAAATGTATCGGTATTTAGACCAATGCAACTGTAAGTGCAGAATTTCACCTGTCATATCTGAAGCTACATTCATGCCCATATCATACGAGAGATAAGATGTAAAGAAAGCACTCTATATATAGCTTCAACTGTTTGTAATATCCAACCAGGATATATTTGCCTTTGCGAAACACTTATAATGTCAGTTCCTGCCTTTTTTTCAGTTTATTCGATATCCAAACTTCACGATCAGATTCAACTTATTAAAGGACCTTATACATTTTTATTTGCATCTCTATATCCAAAATACCTTTGACTTTGCACTAAAAATAAACATTTAACTTTGAGTATGTAAGTCACGCTTTTTATAGATATAAGAGACGTAAGTCAATAGGGAAACACAAAAAGTCTGCATGCAGTAAAACAAGGCCTACGGACTACTGAAGGCACATTTAAATAATATATCTATTGGTTTCAATTCGTTTCGTTTTTTTTTATTGAAAGGTTCTAGGCCAGTTGTGCTACTACAGCATGGATTATTAGCAGATTCGTCTTGTTATCTGTTTAATGGCTATAACGGAAGTTTAGGGTTTATTCTAGCAGATGCTGGATACGATGTCTGGCTTGGAAACTCACGCGGGAATACTTATTCAATGAAACATACGAAATACAACTCAACACAAGAGGAGTTCTGGGATTTTAGGTTAGTTGGTAATTTTTTCAATAATGTTATAAGTGTTAAAAATATATAGGCACTGTTTTTGGTATTTACCAACATTGCATCTTCATGTAAAACTTATTTTTGTGTCAATAACAAGATCATTTGATATAAGCCATCTAGTTCACTTTTATCTCACTGAAATTTATTCCCTTTAATCAGGCCATATTTTACGAGACAAATTAAACAAGCAACTAAAGAGAAATATAATGAAAATCACTTTTGCTTACTAAGCAATCTAGACATGAGGGATTGAAAACAGAGATTTTACTAGCCGATGTGTAACCGTGATAGCTAGGAGGTTTAGTATAGTTTATGCTATGCATTTACTTGAATAGGAACACAGGAATAACCAAAAATATCAGAACAGTACACCAGATCCGACCAAACACAAACAATCGACTCCTCCGAGAAAATAGACATGCAATCAAAGACAAACAGCCTTTGTCCTCGTAGACTACATTTCGTGAGAGTAAAAAAACATAATGAACACCTTTATAGTACAGTTACCAATATACAACATGATTTAAACGATAATACATATTTATAGGACCAGTATCATTGTTTAATTTTATATATATTTAATTGCGGATACTGATAACTGTAAAAAATAATATTTTATACAGTTGGCAGGATATGGCAGACAAAGATCTACCAGCCATGGTCGATTATATACTGAAAACTACAAACCAAACCAATCTAGTGTACATAGGTCATTCCCAGGGCACGATTATTGGATTTACTGGGTTTAGCAGAAACAAACAATTGGCAAGGAAAATCAGGCTCTTCATTGCACTAGCACCTATTGCAAAATTGGCAGATGTCAGAGGACTTACATCTTTACTTGTCAAAGCATTAAAACCTAATATAGATGTGAGATTTTCGTTTCGTTTTTTCCTCTTTTCTTGCCTGCTTTTAAACAATAAGAATTTGATTATACAGATAATTTCAATCAATGTATGTTCCAAAATTTCCTTTGCATGTGTTTTATGATTATTACTGGCTGTCCTGTAATGTTTATTATGCCATTGATTCATACTCCTAAGAATAATATCAGTTCGAATATGTTTTTGAATTAAACTCTATATGTAAAAGGAAATTGAAAGTAACTTTTTTTCAAATTGATTTCGTTATTTGGCATACAAGATTTATTCACATTTTTATAAGTTTTATTGAAGTCAACAATTTACATATTTCAGGAGGTGTTTACTATATTTGGCAGGAAAGGCTTCCTGTTAAACAATTCTGTTAACATGGACATAGCAGATAAGATTTGTGATACTGATGCATCAGCATATGTTTGCTCAGAATTAACAGATCTAATATATGGACATGGTCTGCCTAATATTGATTTGGTAATAAGTAGTTCAGTTAAGTTAAGTTAAGTTAAGTTTAGTCTAAGTTTAGTTAAGTCTTAGTTTAGTTAAGTCTTAGTTAAGTTTAGTCTAAGTTTAGTTAAGTCTTAGTTAAGTTAAGTTAAGTTAGGTTAGGTTAGGTAAGGTTTGGTTTAGTTTAGTTTAGTTTAGTTTAGTTTAGTTTAGTTTATATAAATAAGAAGATGTGGTATGAGTGCCAATGAGACAACTCTCCGTCCAAGTCCAATGTATAAAAAATAAACAATTATAGGTCAAAATACGGCCTTCAACACGGAGCCTTGGCTCAAACCGAACAGCAAGCTATAAAGGGCCCCAAAATGACTTGTGTAAAACAATTCAAACAGGAAAACCAACGGTCTAATCTATATAAAAAACGAGAAACACTTATGAACCACACAACGGCAACCACTGAACAACAGGCTTCAGACCTAGGACAGGTGCATACAAATGTATTGGGCTTAAACTTTTCAACAGGCGCAAACCCTCATCCTAACCTGTAAAATTACAACATAAAAAGACACACTATAAAATATCAATTGAAATGGCTTAACTCGATCAAAAAGACATATAAACAAAAACAAGTAAACATACACTGAACAAATAAGTTTGATCTATGACACTATTTTAGTTTAGTTTAGTTTAGTTTAGTTTAGTTTAGTTTAGTTTAGTTTAGTTTAGTTTAGTTTAGTTTAGTTTAGTTTAGTTTAGTTTAGTTTAGTTTAGTTTTCGTCGCATGAGCTTCGGAAATGTTAATCGTATAATTTTTGTATGGCATTTAACTGCAAAAAAAAACCCAACAAAAACAAGAAAAGAGTAAATGCCAAATTTAAGGAAAGATAACATGAAATCTCAAGGAGGCAGAACTCCACATAGATATCTGAATTTGACCATTACTATAAACCGTTGCATGTCCTATATATATATATATAAATCTCAAGCATATTAATTTGAATATATAACTTTTTACCTGTTATATATATATATATATATATATATAAATCTCAAGCATATTAATTTGAATATATAACTTTTTACCTGTTATACATAGATATAAGAAGATGTGGTATGAGTGCCAATGAGACAACTCTCAATCCAAGTTACAATTTATAAAAGTAAACCATTTTAGGTCAAAATACGGCCTTTAACACGGAGCATTGGCTCACACCGAACAGCAAGCTATAAAGGGCCCCAAAAATTACTTGTGTAAAACCATTCAAACGGAAAAACCAACGGTCTAATCTATATAAAAACGAGATACGAGAAACACGTATGAACTACATAAACAGACGACAACTACTGTAATCAGATTCCTGACTTAGGACAGGTGCAAACATTTGCAGCGGGATTAAACGTTTTAATGGTACCAAACCTTCTCCCTTTTCTAAAACAATAGTATAACATCACAACATAGAAAAACAAACTATACGTTTGCTTTAAACATTATTGTTTGTTTAAAACGTATGATATGATTTTTATTTGTAGCGAAATTTCCGTTACATTGATTTTAAAGGCATATTTCCCTGTTTAGAAATTCGACACACTTGGATTAAAATATACTTATGGGTCAGATACACACGTGCATTTGGCCATGATAGTATACTTAAAAAGAGGCTGTCAGATTGACAGCAAATCGGATTTTCCTGCATAAAAATGATATTTGCAAATCTGGACCCCAAACAGGAGCAAGTAAAACAATAAATGAATTTTTGTAGGGTTCAGAAATGGAAAGGCAAAAATCAATCGAAGTATCACTTTTCGCTACTTAAAGATCTATAACTCAAAAAGCTAAAATCGTCACAGGAAACAACATATATATCTAAATTTGAAAAGATTTCGTCAAAGCGTTTTCAAGTTATTGCACGGACAATGTTTGGCAGCCCACCGACCGCCGCCCGCCCGATCGGGTTAAAAAGAATGAAAATTACTTGAAAACAATGGTCAAATTCTGATTTTACAAAATAAATCACAAGTTTGATGTGACGATGATATTATCACAAAACTTGCCATTATTATATCTATCAGATATAATTATACCTTTTAGCCTGTGGAAATGAATTGACTTTAATTCAAAAGAATCGGAGGACCATGATTAACCTTATTCCTTTTAAATGTAGTTTTATTTAAGTATTTGTTATTGCAGAGAAGAGTACCTGTATATATGTCTCATACCCCATCTGGTACCTCTGTGCAAAACATGGTACATTTTGGACAGGTATGTATTTTTTTTTAACTATTTACTAAATAGTTCATTTCAAGTTTCCGAAGTGTTTGTTTTTCTGTAAGTAACAAGAATACAAGAATGCAAATGCACCAGATTAGTTTTCAACACTTTAACTTTCACTAAAGATTGTTTTTAAATCTTTAACTTCAGTATAATAAGAATAATTTGAACGCCAATGGCATGAAATAAGTAGAAAATATGTATTGCTTACAGGGGGTTATCAGTGGTCAGTTCCAGTTGTATGACTTTGGAACGGCAATTGAAAATATGGCTCGATATAATCAGGTAACTACTTAAAATATGAAGAAAAGAACATACCAAATGACAAAAACATTGGGATATAAGACATAAAGCAGAGAACACCCATCCCTTCTTATCTCGATCAGTTGAGATACAGAAGGTGCATAAAGCCCTGTTGTCACTTTTAAAGTTTTTTTTATCAAAAACTTTGAACAAGAGAACTTGGCACTATCAAACTTTTTCTGTTAATTGGTCAATAAAAAAAGGCGGGAATTTTAGGTATACAAAAAGTAAAGCGGCTGTAAAAAGACTTCTCACAGAACGATTGCATTTGCTTTATTACTTTATCTTCTAAGTAATACTATGTATATGTAAGAGAATGATAATCCCTTTCTTCATGAATAAGTACGAGCGTTAGCGAGTACTTATCATGAAGTAAGAGATTATCATTCTCTTACAAACTTATAGAATATTGTAAAGTGCTCAAGGCTCAAATGATCTATTCAAGAATTAGTTTCATTATCAGTGCAATGTTTATAATTGATGCATGACTTCCTTTTTCGACATGTCATTTATGGATAAGTTTTAGTGATGTGAGGACTTTCTTATCATTTGGGAAATATTTTAAAAAAAATGCGTTATAGATATTAGGTGACACAACAGTAGAAAGAAAAGGTAGAAATTGTATGTTTCCTGATTGTGAGTATGAATGTAAATCGTGTAATATTTTAGTGAGGAATTATCCTTTTTTATTTACAGTTTAAATCAATTAATACATTTGAGTTACAACTAAATTTTATTTCACAGCCAATAAGATTTAGGTTATTTTTTATCTGAAAGAATTTTTTTCTTTTTTTTTGCATTGCTTTGGTATTGTTTAATTTTATAGTAATATTTTCATAATAAAATTCACGGTACCAATTTTACTGCACCAGTAAACTTCAACTTATTTTGAGATTTTTGTTTGTTTCACAATTCAACTTTTAGTCAGTTTCAATCACTGTGTGATAAATCCTTTCAATCTGATAAATGTGCTTCGGGGCAGTTGTAACTCATTTATAGAAACTCTTTGTTTTGAACTGTAAATAGACCCAAATAATAGGATAATCCCTTACTAAGAACATGATTTACATTCATTCTTCACAATTAAGAGGCATCCAATTCTACAATTTCATTGGTGGAGAGTACTTTGCTATATTCTAATTTTAGTTAGAATATAGCAAAGTACTCTCGACCAATGAAATTGTAGGATTGGATGCCTCTTAATTGTGAAGAATGAATGTAAATCATGTTCTTAGTAAGGGATTATCCTATTATTTGGGTCTATTTACAGTTTAAAACAAAGAGTTTCTATAAATGAGTTACAACTGCCCTGAAGCACATTTATCAGATTGAAAGAATTTATCACAGAGTGATTGAAACTGACTAAAAGTTGAATTGTGAAACAAACAAAAATCTCAAAATAAGTTGAAGTTCACTGGTGCAGTAAAATTGGAACCGTGATTGTTATTATGAAAATATTAATAACTTCAAATTACTATAAAATTAAACAATACCAAAGCAATGCAAAAAAAAAGGAAAAAAATCTTTCAGATAAAAAATAACCTAAATCTTTAGCTTTCCAAAACTTTGATTACTTGATCAGCGGTTGGGGAGAATAGTTATTTCCAATACATGTGTTCCGATAAAAAAAACAGGAATTTAGTTTTGAACATATTAAAAACTCTTTTAAGGGATTATTTTTGAACATTTCCCTGACATAATGAAACAGTATTTGATGTAAAAAGCCGGACCAAATTATTGGCTGTGAAATAAAATTTAGTTGTAACTCAAATGTATTAATTGATTTAAACTGTAAATAAAAAAGGATAATTCCTCACTAAAATATTACATGATTTACATTCATACTCACAGTCAGGAAACATACAATTCCTACCTTTTCTTTCTACTGTTGTGTCACCTAATATCTATAACGCATTTTTTTTAAAATATTTCCCAAATGATAAGAAAGTCCTCACATCACTAAAACTAATCCATAAATGACATGCCGAAAAAGGAAGTCATGCATCAATTATAAACATTGCACTGACAATGAAACTAATTGATAGATCATTTGAGCCTTGAGCACTTTACAATATTCTAAGTTTGTAAGAGAATGATAATCCCTTACTTCATGATAAGTACTCGCTAACGCTCGTACTTATTCATGAAGAAAGGGATTATCATTCTCTTACATATACGAGGCAAATTCACTCATGTTTTGTTACGGCAGATTAATTTTACACTTCTTTGTTCAATTACAATTTTTATTTTACACTTCTTTGTTCAATTACAATTTTTATTTTACACTTCTTTGTTCAATAACAATTCACTGTCATTCCATTTGTCAATAACAAAATTTCTTTTATTTTTACTGGAAGTCTTATCATTATTTACAACGTTTTTACTTTGTGCTTTTGTTTTGTTAAGCAAAATTGCATCATTCCTAAATTCAACTCTGGTTGGTAAATTCCCATCAAATTTTCCAGAAAAGTAGGTTTATATTCTATTCCATCAAAATCCTTCAAAGTTTTTTATCAAAATTTTGTTTGACAGTTGTCACTGTCAAAATTCCTTTGAAAAGTTTTGAAAGAAAGAAAACTTTGATAGTGACAACTGGGCTTAAAAGAAAGAACAATAAAAATCAGTACAGGAAAGACACTTAACTCTATCATAACGGTATAACAGATAACAAAGTTCCGGCAGGACAATGATAAACAATATACCATATCAAAATTCGCAGCTACTGACAACAAAATCAAGCTAAAAGTCCTTATAAGCTGCTGACATGAAATCATGCATTCCTATACACTCTTATTTCAGAATTGATTTTAAAAGTACAAGAAGACGAGATCTTGTGTAAAGCGTATACTAAATTTGCATATAACTTAAATGCAGAAAATATGAAAGAAATAGTTTAGTTTACTTTATACTATATATTTGCGAATTGATGTTCATCCGCCCAAACAAATAAAATACTAGAACAAATGAATGAACAACCACATTATTATTATAACCAATGTCATTATCAATAAGTCAATTAAGCCAAAAAGAATAATTAAAGCAAACTGCTTAAACTTTTTAGCTTTTTGGACAATATTATCGTAATCAACTTGGTGTGAAATACCACGTCTTACTAAAATCATGCAAGTGGATTCATACTTCCACAATTTTGACCTCTATTTTAGACGACACCGCCGTTTGTGAATTTATCACAAGTAGACGTTCCAGTGGCTTTATACTCTGGTGGCAACGATTATCTAGCTGATCCAACGGACGTTAAGTTTATCAGTGCTAATCTGAAGCATATAGTAGAAAATAAGGAATATCCTAAATGGAATCATGCAGACTTTGTTGTTGGGAATACACCACCAAAGACATTATACAAAGATATGTTAAAATTGATGGGAAAACTGAATTGACATAATTGTAATCAACACTTATATATTCTTGCGAATAACCATGTTTATACTAATATATACGAAAATACCTATCAATGTACTTCCAGTCAGTTTGTCTAAACAGCGACTTTTTTTGGTATAAAGTGATAGATATAGGAGGCTGTATAACCGATTTCATAACTTCGGTCCTATTCGTGACGTAATTTTGTTCGATCGTGTTGGATTACATTTGATCTCCGCTCTTTTACCTTCCAACTTTTGATTTCCACACTGGTGATCAAACCGTTAAATAAGCATGAACCGATAACAAAAACGTTAAATTAACATTCCAGTAATCAAATCGTGTGATAAGCATCCCGGTAATCAAATCATTAGATACTCATTCCAGGAACAAAACAATCGTGAGATAAGCATCCCTGTAATCAACCCGTTAGATAAGCATACCGATAAATAAATCGGTAGATAAGCTCGGTAGATAAGCATATCGATCGATAAATAAATCGTTAGATAAGCATACCGATAATTAAATCGTGAGATAAGCATACCGATAAATATTTTTTTTAGATAAGCATACCGATAAAAAAAATCGTTAGATAAGCATACCGATAAATAAATCGTTAGATAAGCATACCGCTAATCAACCCGTTAGATGAGCATACCAATAAATAAATCGTTAGATAAGCATACCTCTAATCAAACCGTTAGACAACATAATGCACATTTCTATATATATAGAATCTCATTAATGCTCACTGTGAACCCTTGCATTAAAATACTAGTATATAAATAGTGACAAGTAAACATCCATCTTCAAAATAACCTGAGGCCTAAAGGATCTAGAATTACTGTATGGCTTATATGATCGAACATTTTGAAACTACACATCGTAACAATGATCACGGGAAATTTTGTTTCCGGATGGTGCGGTGATTTCAGAGAAGAAGATTCTTTATGAAAAAAACAGTTAATGCACATCACAGAAGCAAAGTGTTGACATGACCTGAAACACATAGGCAAAATAAACGGTATCTGTTTTACACCAACTAAGTGTATGCTAGAAAATATATGTAGATCTAATCAAATTCTCTTTGGCCGTATTTATATAAACGAGTTTAAAGACTATTTAAAGAGTCAAAAAAGGACGGGAGAACAAAAATGTTTGATGTATCTTTACCTTAACATGTGTCTTTTGTTCTGGAATAAATGAAAATTAATTGTACTTTCTACTAAGATGAGAGACTATAGACGTCTTAATCGAATATTAGATACCATAGATTGAGGATCATTTAATTGAAAGCACAAATAAACAGACAACGCACAAGCAGTAAACCATAATAAAAAAAATGACCAACATTAAGGATCGGATAACGCTACCGCTAGCATCTTTTATCAAATTTATTTAGTGAACTCAGGTTCATTCGAAGGGAAAGCAAATGTTATTCTACATGTATCACAATCAACTCGATGGCAGTCTAGTTTGACAAGGACAACAACTTGAAACTAAAACAATTGCAAATGACGAGGATTTAAGATTTTCTCTATTTAACTTTCTATTCCTAAGTATACCACCTGTCACATCCTATTGCGTTTCCTTATTTCAGTTGATAAGATATGCTAGATGTTGTTATCGTTGTGACGATTTTACTTACATATTTAGTAGTTGTATACTCCTTACTTTTCATGCTCTTTTCTCATGAGGCAGACTTCATACTTCTCAACAAAAATTAAAAGAAGCTGGTATTAACCATTAACTCCAAGTTCCGCTATATAGACGGTGTCCTTTCACTGAATAATTCAAAGTTTGGTGACAATGCTGATCGGATCTACCCAATTCAATTCTAATAAAGAAAAAGAAAACAGATACAGTTTCCTATCTACATCTAGAAATTGATAATAATAGTAAATTTGAAGACATCCCTTTGAAAGTTTCACGGACGCCACCATGATTTGGTTGACCGTTATCAAATAAATGTGTTACAGAAGACCACGGATGTGTTCAACTTGTCGTAGTTCTAATTTTCTTGATTGTGACATCACGTTTCTAATATTATTAAATGAATAACATGACTGGTGACCACTATTGGAGCAAGAGTTCACCCTTGTTTTTGATGCTCATTCATGTTTTCATTTTAGTTTTATTTGGACCGTTGTTTGCCCTTTCGTCTTTTCATTTTAGCATGGAGTTGTCTGTATTTATTCATTCTGTCGTTTTGATTACCCTTTGGTATCTTCTCACTCTTCATAACCTACTCAAACTTGTTATAAGGAAAATATATCGTAATTATCACTTCAATTATTCTTCATGCAATCGACATCATAGTTCATCGATAACATTGTGTCGGTTTCTCAACCCATTTATATGACATGGTAACTTTGACCTTGATCCCACATGTCCATTGATGTCAACCTGACCTGGTATCCTTCCCAACCTCCTCTTCGCGTCAGTCTACTGTCGATCAGTGAGCTAGGACTAGGCTAACATGCTTACCCTGTCGACGCCGCACCCGTTCTCTCCATTATGGAGTTCAATCGACTTCTATTGTTTTCGATCCATCTCTGTCTGTTTTAGAATAGAAAACGCGAAACACACTTCTTGTGTGAATATCTTTTTGGGCGAGAGTAGTTATCCATATATTATATCGAAATGCATTAATCAAACAGTGAAAAATGTATGTAATTTCGATATTTTACTGCATTTACTATCATTTTATTGTTACATAAAAACTAACCAAAGATATCAAGCTTGTAATATACAGTTATTAAAACTAACCCAAGATATTAGGCTTGTAATATACAGTTATAAAAACTAACCAAAGATATCAGGATTGTAATATACAGTTATTAAAACTAACCAAAGATATCAGGCTTGTAATATGCAGTTATAAAAAACTAACCAAAGATATCAGGCTTGTTGTATACAGTTATAAAAACTAACCAAAGATATCAGGATTGTAATATACTGTTATAAAAACTAACCAAAGATATCAGGATTGTAATATGCTGTTATAAAAAACTTACCAAAGATATCAGGCTTGTAATATACAGTTATAAAAACTTACCAAAGACATCAGGATTGTAATATACAGTTATAAAAACTAACCAAAGATATCAGGATTGTAATATACAGTTATAAAAACTAACCAAAGATATCAGGATTGTAATATACAGTTATAAAAACTAACTAAAGATATCAGGCTTGTAATATACAGTTATAAAAACTAACAAAAGATATCAGGCTTGTAATATACAGTTATAAAAACTAACCAAAGATATCAGGCTTGTAATATACAGTTATAAAAACTAACCAAAGATATCAGGCTTGTAATATACAGTTATAAAAACTAACCAAAGATATCAGGCTTGTAATATACAGTTATAAAAACTAACCATTAATCTTTAAGCATTATTCTAGTGGTAGTAAAATCTTACCAAAGATACCGGGCTTATAATTAATCACTCCAAACGTACATTTCGTCTACTTAAGACTCATCAGTTGCTCAAAACTGTCAATAATAAACTTGAAGAGCATTGGAAACCAACAAAATTCAAAAAGTGGTAATCTTGCTATGGTATAACACGTGTCATAACACACGAAGGGTAAATAGTCTACACCAAAACTGGAACGATAAATTCTTCAAACTATAGAATTTAATCCCAATTTTACCTTAAATTTTACCTTCTCCTCCGTTTGTTTGATTAAAAGTACAATGTATGTCGCACCATTACTAGTACAAGGCAAACTGTTGTAAGTACATAGATAAGACCAATGTACTAACAGAAAACTAATATTATTTGTTGATATGACCGTATGTAATATTGATGAACTTCAATATATATGTCTAATCTTCCTATAGTGTCCATCCGTATATATAGTAAAAACGTCGTATGTATACTAACAGATTTTGTATAAAATACTAATATGATCAACAACAAAAAATAATTTTAAAATCATATCCTTAATTACCACAAAGATGAAAACATGGTTTCAAGTAAGTAAGTAAGTAAGTAAATTTTATTTAGAGTCGGCATATGTATACATAATAACAGACAAAACATGAGCTCTGGTGAGCTCTTTAACCTACTACCACATACAAAAACATGCAGCATCATGCAAATACTAATAAATAAAAATGAAAAAGCATGCAAATATAATGAAAGCAAATTGATTTTGATTTCTGAGCCTCCAGAGTCAATGCTCATGCGACAAGCACCTCTATGTGCATTGAATGGGGGAACCAGCAAATCACTTGAATATCATAACAATACTAACAGACTAAAAAGCATAAAATCAATAAATAAATAAATTATTAAGCACTGGCATTTAATAGCAGGTATATATAATAAATGCATAAAAAGAGCAAAAGGCCATAATAAAAAGAAAAAAAAAAATATCAGCTATGAGACAGCACTGGATGGAAACGGCATAAACTGCAGTTACATTTTTGACCCCCACACCAGGAATTTATATAATTCCTAAATTAGTCAAAAGAGGTCATAATTCTAGTCTCATTGGGAAGGGAGTTCCATACTTGTGCTGCCTCAAATCTAAAAGATCTTTTACCATAACTTGAGGTTCTAGGTCTAGGTACCTCAGCAGTGTTCACATACCTGCAATTATATGAATTGTTTTTATAACAACTAGATCTTGAATAAATAAGTGACATTTTTTATTAATTATTTTAAAGGTATCCAAGGCAATTGAGCGCATTCTACGAGTTTTTAGTGATGGAAGGTTTGAAATCTGCAGGAGTGTTTCGTATGAGTTCTGATGGTCTTCATAAATAAAGCGAAGCGCTCATTGAATAGACATGACAATGCGGACACGGTGTATTACTATGACATTATTTTGTAAGGTGAAACCATTTTGGACATTTCCATTCTCGTGTTAATGCATTGGGAAAAGTATGAAAATCATACAAACTGACGTAACCGCACGGAACAATGTTTGCTTACCACATAAAATTGTATAATATACAGTTTTTATTATTATTTTATAACAACAAGTGTTATAATTAAATCAAAGGTTTGTTTTCACTCTCAATCGCGAAATCAATAACTTATTAATTAAACTGGTCATTACTGTGTGGTGCCAATATGCAGACAAATTCCTCGTTTACGACTTCTAATGTCAAAGTTTAAAAGATTAGTATAATGAAATGGACAGAAGTTATTACACAGTTCGGCTATCTCTGATGTCTCATGTTAGTAGGTGGACAATCGCAAGTCACAAGTCACAATGAGAATGGGCTGGTTTTTGGGCAATACTTATGTCATATATATTTTTTTTTATAAATGTAAGCATTGCGAATACTTTCATAAAAAGGCACAATTGCATTTTTCTTGATACATTGGAAATCTATCAATTGTTTTTATCAGTACTTGATAGATACTGGGGGGAAAATTGCCATTACTACATTGTTGCTAATAAATCCATGCTTTGGTGTAAGAATTTGTAGACATTAGTTAAATTCGACATCAAGCATGAATTTACTTTAAAGGCACTATAGGGGCATCGATTTACCCTTTTTGTTTAAGATTTTTAGTAAATAATCTTAAATATTTTAATTTTGCGAGAAAGATAGCTTACAAAGTTATTTTGATTGTATTCTCCAAATTTGAATGTAACATATTTATATCATTTTATATTTAGTATCTTATTTCACATCAAAGTGGGGTGATGTTGAGTAATCTATTAATTGTTTATTTCCGTTTATAGGGATAATATGGTGTTTTTGATAAAGGGGGCATTAAATGTGACAAGATAATTTTATGGTATAACATTATCAAAGGACGATTTTCTCATTGTTGTGTCGGTGTTAATCTGAAAGATGAATGCGCTACGTGTTGGAGATATTGTAGTTTTAGTTTGTACTCTCGTTAGTGCATCACCCGTATCAAAAAATGATTTAAATTTCATGAAGAAGGTAGATCCAGATGCCTATAGAAATGTTGTAAGTATCCAATCATTTTATGATATGGTTTTTAATACTGATTTATTGCAAACAAATGGGTTTTTTTTGTAGAGAAGGTAAAAAAATTATTCTACAGCATATGAAATGTTGGGCAATTAAAAAAGATTGTATGTGATATAATAGTATATTTGTCATCGATTGAATCGCATTTCGTACTGATCGAGACAAATGTAAAGAAATGGACATGAAATGAAATGCCATTTCAAGGGCATGGAAACATTTCTTTTTTAATTTTTATTAACTCAGCTGCTTCACTAAGTTATTAAAAATATCTGGAAGGATCTTGTGTCGGTTTCTGTCAGATTCGCTTCCATACAAAAAGTGAAATCGGATGCCGAACGAAGTACGCGTAAACCATGTCAAATCACGAACTTTTAGGGAAAACTTAATCTTTCATGATGAAAAACTACATCTTAATAACTCGATTCTGTGCAAATATCTTACTTGACATCGAAAGAGTTTGTTACACTATTATACGGTTTTGATAAATAATCAGAACTTTTCCCACCTTATTTTGTTATTACTTCTAATCTAAAACTTCCATTTTGTTTGTTTTAGTCACAGTTAATAACAAGTAAGGGGTATCCTTTCGAAGAACATTCAGTGGTGACAGCAGATGGTTACATTCTTGGTTTACACAGAATTCCTCCAAAGCATAGCTCAGTTGTCGGTAGTAACTTTTCTCAGTGTTTTTCTCTGTAACATATGTAATGCTCTCTATGAGTTAGTCTATCATTAATTAGAAAGGAGACGGTTTTATCATTGAAGGCATAAAACACAAAGACAATTTTGATTTATCTGTTTTATAAAAAAATCTGTTATTTTAAATGAGACATACATGTACAAGAAATTGAAAATATGTGAGTCCATATAGTTCAGCTATTTGTTTCAGGAACTAATGGCAGCAATCCTGTCGTTTTGCTTCAACATGGACTGTTGTCATGTTCTGCGTGCTGGGTGGAAAATCTTGCCAGTCAGAGCCTCGGTTTTATGTTGGCTGACAGAGGCATCGATGTCTGGATGGGAAACAGTAGAGGAAACACATACTCAAAACGACATAAAACATTAAAACCTGCAGATGAAAAATTCTGGAACTTTACGTAAGATAAAACTCTTACAGTATATCAACTGTGTATTTTTTCCGAAGTAATGTGAAATCAGTCCTGTCTTTTTAGTAAATATCAATTACATAAGTCACGTAGCCATCTAGCAATTGGTAATTTTAGTAATAATGATTTGTGCATATTGTTCGTGTTCCTCAGTCTTCAATATTTGGCTTAAACCGTTTTTGATGAAAGTTTATCCAGAAAAGCGCTAAGGACTCATATAATTTATACAGTGTTATTTCCTTCGTTTGGTATCTTCCGCCTCTTTTTTTAAAATCAATTAAAGTTGCAATGTCAAAAAAATCAGTTTTCTCCGCCTACATACATTGTCTCTCTGAAGTAATCATCTGCATGTTAAATGCTTATCCGTATCATACGTTAAAGAACAGAACAATTTATTAATATCAATAGCCAAAATGTTAGAATGATGATTTTTATAATTTGTGTCCCCATCTCCTTCTCTGACTATCGCCAAAATTTGAATAAAGTCTAATTTTCGACGTTTAAATCTAGCAAATTTTAATTATAAAAAGTTGAAATTTCGAGATTTAAAAAGTCAAATTTCAAGATTTAAAATGTCAAATTTTAGATTTAAAATGTCAAATTTTAAGATATAAAATGTCAAATTCTAAGATTTAAAATGTCAAATTTTAAGATTTAAAATGTCAAATTTTAAGATTTAAAATGTCAAATTTTAAGTTTCAAAATGTCGAAATTTATAGTTTAAAATTTCGAGTTTGAAAAAATGAAATTTTTTGAGCTTTTAAAGCAGAAATTTCGAAATTTGAAAGTCAAGACTTCGAAGTCATGACTTTTAAGATGTTGAAAATGAAATATCGAGTAAAGTCGAATTTATAGATTTTAAAATATCATCGTGAAAAGGTTACTTTCTAATTTTAATTTCGCAAAGTCCTTAAATCTCTTCTGTTATATTAATGAAAGTATCTCCAACAAAACTTGAACGCTTGAAGCCGAAAATCTGGTCATCTAACAATGTGTTAGTATAAACACGCTGGGGTCTCAAACCAAAATGTACCTCAGGATGCCACAAACCTCTAATGAAGTCAATACTGCTAGAAAGAGTTGGATTCCATTTGAATCTATTAATTTTGTAGATGGGACGAAATGGCAAAATACGATCTTCCTGCCACAGTAGACTACATAGTGAATACAACCAATAGCAGTCAGATATATTATGCCGGTCATTCTCAAGGCACAATGATTATATTCGCTGAATTAGGACGAAATCCAACACTAGCTTCTAAAATAAAACATTTCTTTGCTCTTGCACCTGTGGCTACTCTTGGGGACGTCGGAGGACCTTTTAAGGCAGTGGCTCCGTTGGCAAAAGACCTTGATGTAAGTTTCTTGTCCAGTCGAAAGTTAATGTGCTATGATACAAAATGCAAAAAAGGTGTGTGTTGTGTCTCTAACTATTTTATGTTTGCATGTCATAAATATAAAGTAAAAATTTTTTATTATAAATAATTGTTATTATTAGCATGAAAAAGAGTTATGACAAATTTCCCCTGTTCTTGTTTTACTCAGAGCATTATAATTAGATGAAACCATGCAAGGGTTGACTAGAGTATAGAGATGAGGTCATTCCTGGACCTCTCCCTTTCTGGTAGTAAAACCCTTGCTTAAAAAGGCGTCCGTTTTTGTGCTTGATGATAAGTACGCGCCCATGTCCGGTCATAATAAAGACGTTTAGTCCGACGCCTCATGTAGAGAGAGTATCATCGTTTAACAAAATGTAATTATTCATATCTGAAAGACAAAACATGACTTTATACCCGACATATATGTTTGTTTAGTTTCTGAGTGATCTTGTAAATTTATTTGAGAAAAAAAAAATGAAAATTTGTCCTAATCAATCACGATTGCAGTATTGAGCCATCTTAAGAGTTTAGTGAATGGGAAAGTGTTCATAAAATACGCTGTTATGTTGTTTAAAGCCCTTAAGTATTTGATAATGTGAATTTTAGTAAAGATTGAATACTTTTAAAAATGTCCCTGCTGTCATATAAACTCAGGGTAATTAGACATACTTCTTCCAAAAATAAAAACAGGTACATGCTAAACACTATGTATATATTTTTCTTACCACAAAACGAAATTTTGCAATTACTTACCATTTTAGAATATGAATAAACCTGTTTATTATTTCATTCTGCAAAAAAAAAAAAAATTACAAAAATACCGAACTGCATGATAATTTCAAAACGGGGGAAGTCCATAAAACCTGACAAAATCAAACACACAATTGTATCAACCAACAGAACGAATGGAAAACAACTGTCAGATTCCTGACTTGGTACCGGCATAAGGGCTAATTTCTTGCCTCTTGTTTTGGTTTCAGGCTTGATGATTATCTCTCTGTTGTTAACCGTTTTTTACAAATTTATCGAAATTGCTTTATAGTAGCACCAACACGAAAACAGTTGCAATTTTATACAATGCTAACCATGTATGGAAAGTTGTGGGTTTCATTTTTATTCTTTTTTTTTTGTAAAGGCATTTGACAATAATAACCTTGTAATACACTGTTTCAGATATTATTTAATCTGCTCGGGAAAGGAGAATTGTTACCAACATCTGACTTCATTCGTTTAATTGGACATGATTTCTGTGGAAACAACCTCGGAAGTATTGTTTGTGAAAATTTTCTTTTCTTTCTTGCTGGCTATGACTCAAAACAGATGAATCGGGTGAGTCAAGATAGAAAATAACCATGGAAGCTGTCACCGACTTAAAAGATGTAAATAGAAATAAATGGAAGACATAATTAGTTACTAAATAACATGTTTTATTCAAAACAATTCTGATATATTGCATTTTTCATATCATAACATTCTGATATTTGGATTTAGAAGTAACACAATAAAAAAACAATGAAGCATTAACTGGAACAAAGAATTCAGAACATCAAACCGACATATACTCACGATATAAATTTTCCATAATTTCAATATAAATATACAGTATTTAATGTCTAATATCTAGCAATTCACTTTTTTGTCAGACAAGGATACCAGTCTATGTCGAAGAACATCCAGCAGGAACATCGGTTAAAAATCTTCTTCACTATGGCCAGGTAAACCTTCATTATGCTCACGTTAACCCTCTTAACTATGCTCAGATTAACCTTTGTCACTATGCTCAGGTAAAAAAAATCACTATGCAAAGGTAAACATTTTCCACTAAACTTAGGTAAACCTTCTTTACTTTGCTCAGATCAATGTTCGTCACTACGCTCAGGTTAATCTTCTTCACGATGCACAGGTAAATCTTTATCACAATACTTAAATAACCTTCTTCACTATGATCAGGTACTGCTTCTTCAGTCAGCCTTTTTCACTATTAGCAGGTAAACCTTCTTCACTATGCTCAAGTAAATCTTATTCACTATGCTTAGGTAAACATTTCTAACTATGCTCATGTAAACCTTCTTCATTATGCTCAGGTTAACCTTCTTCACTTTGTCCAATTAACCTTCTTCACTATTCTCGAGTAACTCTTCTTCATTATGCGCAGGGGGCCTCGGTGGCGTATTGGTCTAAGAAGTCGAACTACTGTATCACTCCAAAAGTGCTATCATTTCAGTTGAAGTATGCATAATACTTTCGAGAACTTATAGTCCAATGAAGTGATTTAATATCAGTTGGTGTGTAGATGATAAATTCTTGGACTAAAAGTCCACTACCAGTGGTACAAGTTCAGTGCAAGAATGCATGATACTTTCGGGGAATATGAGTCAATGAAAAATTAATATATGGGAGAGGTAATATCAAAACAAGCCTTAAAAAGAAGCCAAACCAAAGGAGCTGGAACCATAGTTTTGAGAGAAAATAAGTTTAAAGCATTCATCAGCTGAGAAAGGTGCTTATCAATTAATAATTATAAAAAAGCAGTGATTACTTGACGTGTTTATCCAGGTTGCACTTACATTCCACTTTTCTCGTTGTTTCGACCTAATTATAGTAAAACATACTAACTATACTTAGCTGGTTTTAACCAAAAAAATGTTTAATGTTCCATGATTAAAACGAACGTTATTTTATTAGTACATCACCTTTTTTGTAAACCATCTTTTTCAGAGCGTTTTGAGTGGAAAATTTCAAATGTTTGATTACGGTTCTTCCAAGGCCAATATGGAACACTATAATCAGGTAAATAAAGTTATATATTATTTTAAAAATGAAAATAACCTTGATAAATTGTATGCATCTTAATTGCTCTTCTGGATTTATCTTCATAAGGAACGCTAAAAGCCATATTTAAAAGCCAAAGGTGTATACGTACCTTAACACATGAAGAGCTTTATGACCAAAAGGGACCTAAGAATAATAGCGAAATCCATTTAAGGTCAACTTTGATTTGAGGGAGTCGAAACTTGGAAAAGGTATGTAATAAATCATGTCAGTACAAAAACACTGGCTACTTAGGGGATGATTGTTCCTCTTTTCCTTGATTCTTGTTTTTTTTCTGTGGTGTTTGTCAGTTCTTCTTCGACTTATTACATTTGAATGTCCCCTTGGTATCTTCCGCCTCTTTTTTAAAAACTCATAACAGTTTTGTTATTTTTGTAAACTTGGAAACTATAAGAAAAAAATCGACAATAGTGATAAAACAGCAAATCAAAAACAAAAAACTGAAAAAATATATATACAAACAAAATCAAAACAGTACTGCAAACAAAGATGTCAAAAAAGTATCTAAAAATCTAAAAGATGATAATCAATGAGAAGCCATTTATGAAATTACATACAAGAATTTTTTTGTAAATCTTACGTTTGGAGGACGTGTTTTTCAAGATACAATCGGGAACAAACTGTGCCCCTCTTCTTGTCGACTTGTTCCTTTATTCATATGAGGCTAACTTCATACAGGAACTTCTTAGGAAGAAAGAAAAGAAGTTAGCAGTATCCTTTAACTTTACTTTCCGCTAAATAGATGATGTTCTCTCACTAAATAATTCAAAATTTGGTGATTATGTTGAACGCATCTATCCCATCGAACTTGAGATAAAGGATACAACAGATGCAGTTAAGTCTACTTCATATCTTGACTTGCATCTAGAAATAAACAATGAGCGTTGGTTGAAAACAAAACTTTACGAGAACAGAGATGATTTCAGCTTCTCAATTGTGAACTTTCCATTTCTATGTAGCAACATTCTAGCAGCGCCTGCACACGGAGTATATATCTCCCTGTTGATACGATATTCCAGGGCGTGCATTTCCTATCATGATTTCCTTGATAGAGGGTTGCTGCTCACAAGGAAGCTATTAAACCAAGAGTTCCAAGTGGTGAAGTTGAAATCAGCCCATCGTAAGTTTTACGGACGCCATCAAGAGTTGGTTGACCGTTATGGAATATCCGTTTTACAGATGATAGCGGATATGTCCATAATGTCGTAGCTACAATCCTTCCCCTTTTCGTGAATGTGACCTACCGAATTAGACTTATTACCGGGTTGTACTAACATGAGCAACACGGCGGGTGCCACATGTGGAGCAGGATCTGCTTACCCTTCCGGAGCACCTGAGATCACCCCCAATTTTTAGTAGGGTTCGTGTTGCTCAATCTTGAGTTTTCTATGTTGTGTTTTGAGTACTATAGTTTGTCTGTTTGTCTTTTTCGTTTTTAGCCATGGCGTTGTCAGTTTATTTTCGACTTATGAGTTTGAATATCACTCTGGTATCTTTCGCCTCTCTTTTTTATCCCATCAAACATATATAATTCCACCCAAAATTAAGAATGCTATTTTAGCTTAAATCTTTCACTAATTTTTTAGTCTTTTAGTTTTAACTTTACAAATACATCTCGCAATTTATCTACAACAGGTTATCTCCATTCTACAAATTGTTAAATTGATCCATCTACGTTTGTGCGTTTGATGGTTAGGTCAGAATCGACAAGAATGGTTGAAAGGTAAAACGTATGTACCATTTTTACTTTTTAATTTCAGACCACAGCTCCGTTATATGACGCCAGTTTAATGAAGAACAATGTATCCCTATACACGGGTGGACATGACATCCTAGCGGACCCCAAAGACGTCAAACAGCTGATAAAAAAGCTTCCGAACGTTTACCGTCATACAGATATCACCACTTACGAACATCTGGACTTTATCTGGGCCATAGAAGCCAATAGGCAATGCTATGATGATATCATTATGACAATTTTATCACATGAAAATCACTGAATGTACAACTTTCCATGTGTGCGTTTTGTGTTTATTTTGCGTTGCGCAAACCTAATGATTATTGAATCGGAAAAAAATCCTTTATAAGTAATGTACAAGTAGCCTTAGAATCTAATTCCTGATTCCTAATTCCTAATTCGTTTCAGTACATTTTCATAGCATATAGAATCATATAATTTCAAATCAATAAGTGAAATCACAAACATTACAATTCATATTCCACAGTGTGGGAACGGAACTGTACGGTTTTGTAATGTTTTGGTCATTCGGGAGACTGTCAATCGGGGCCCCGCCATTCGAAACAATAACAAGTTGCTTGATGGAAAGTTTGATGAACTCAAATGTTACTATATAACGTTTCTGCTGCAAGTTTTGGTAATCAAAACATTCTATATGTAAATATGAACCAATAAAATAATAAAAATGACATATGCATCCAAACGTTTTCCTTAGAATGGTGGAGCTCCCAGTAAGTCGATCAAAACTGTCACGGAGCAGCGATCAAAAATGTTAAATAAACATCGAAAAACCCATCGTTACTACCAGAATTTTCACATGTACCTTTTCTGATATATAGTCTTACCTGTCTGAAAGTTTAAAAGCCATTGTCCCAGTAGAAATCCAAATATATTCATTTTCTAAATGTCGGATATTTTAATTGACTGTACAATCGCTTGCAAGTTTACTGTACAATCACTTGGAGCTATCCTGTACAATCGCTTGGCCAACTTTGGTTAACAAAAATTGAAAGGAAGTAGAAATATCTTAATTGGCTTGATTTGTTTGACTCGTAATTAAATGTTCTATATAAAAACTGGCTTAGCACTGATATTTTCGATTGCAGGTTAAATTAAAGCACAAATGTCATTACAATTATTTTGTATCATCATATTTTCGTGATACATAGCTTTAAAAACATATTTTATTTGAAATATATGAAACACAAAATATGATTGCAGTTATACACAAAGAGATTGAGAACAATGTTGCTCTTATATCAATCTCCCTGTTAAAAGATAAAAGGAAATGACTGCTTTTTAAATGGTTAAAACGTGACATTAGGATATGTGTTTCAATGCTGTTCCAAATCGGAGATAAAGTCTATTAAAGAGGAATTCATTATAGGCCAAAAAGTAAATTGATATTTTAATGGAACATAATAGTTTCTAGTGTTTACGTTTTGGGCATATGAATAATTATGACACTCAAGTAGGAAATGCTTACTGTTATCTATTCTGCAACATTCATGAACAGTTTTTTCTTTCAATGAGATTTATGTCATATAAATGTTCATTAAAAACTACTGCAATCCAATGCAACATAATATATATGTCTGGCATGAGTTTGTTTTCCTTGTTCTGTAATGATTTAATAACAGTTATTTGGTATTGTTATCAATTTTTTTTTATTTAAGCCTCAATAACACATTCGAAAGTCTCACTAATGTGTGAAGGTTTTATTTTTAATTAATGGATGCAGTCTGCATTAGCGGATCCGGTGTGCGGGGGAGGGTGTTCTGGTGGTTGAAACCCCATTTTTTTCGATTTTATTTATTTTGTGAAAGTTTCATGATGTTCTATGGTTTGGATCACCCTTTGTTCAGAAAGGATGGATCCACGTCTCGTATGCTATCGTCAATGATAGTTTTACGTGATGAAATGATCATTCAATTGATTTTTTTATAGTTTGGTCTTGTGTGCTGTAACACCAGTTTTGGGGAGGACTGAGCGCACACAAAAATATTTAACCCGCCACTATCTTTATGTGCCTGTCCCAAGTCAGGAGCCTGTAGTTCAGTGGTTGTCGTTGGTTCATGTCTGTCTTTTTTTGGGGGGGGGGGGGGGGGGGTTACATCTTATTAAGAGAGCTTTATACCACCAGTAGCAAAGATAGGTTTAATCCACCATTTTCTACATAGGAAAATGCCAGTACGAAGTCAGGAATATGACAGTTGTTGTCCATTCGTTTGATGTATTTGAGCTTTTGACTCGTTTTGCCATTTGATTTCCGTTTTGAATTTTCTTCGGATTTCAGTATTTTTGTGATTTTACTTTTTTTTTGTATTAAACAGAATATCTTATTGACAATTATACCACATCTTCTTATTTTTATTTTATGTTCATTGCCATATACGTGTATTTTCTTTGTTCCGCGAAAAGCTACCACCATTCCACATTCGAATGCATTTATCAAGTTAGAATATCCCGGTCCTCTGATGAAACATTCTTTGTTGTATTGTTAATATACGTATATATTATTTTTTAAACTGTTGGGATTAATAAATTAAGTGAACATCGGCGGATCCAGGGGGGCTGGGGGGCGCGGGCTCCCCCTTTTGTGGGAAAAATTTGGTTGATTATATAGGGAATCACTGAAGCATGACTGGAGCGGGCCCCCCCCCTCCCCCCCCCCCTTAGGTAAGTCAGCGTCCCCCCCCCCCCCCCCCCTTATGAAAAGTTCTGGATCCGCCACTGGTGAACTACAAAATATGATTACCCTTCCAGAGCACCTACTCACCTTTTCATTTATTTATGTTTGTACGAGCACTATTTTCTTTAAAATGGTTTCTTTACATTTGTACTACCCTTTTATTTTGTCTTGTATGCTTATTGTTCGAATGTTGAGTTTCTCTCTGATATAGACACCTTAAAAAGTTTCCTTGATATAATCTTAATCGGCAAAATGACTGAATTCGTACTCATTTTTATTTCAAATACTATAGATGAATATAATAGGACAGATGAGGAACAACCAATGAAACGCGTATGTAATGTATTTAATGATATGGCCAAGCGATTGTACAGGATAGCTCCAAGTGATTATACAGGAACTTTGCAAGCGATTGTACAGTCAACTAAAATATCAGACATTTAGAAAATGAATATATTTGGGTTTCTACTGGGACAATGGCTTTTAAACTTTCAGACAGGTAAGACTATATATCAGAAAAGGTACATGTGAAAATTCTGGTAGTAACGATGGGTTTTTCGATGTTTATTTAACACTTTTGATCGCTGCTCCGTGACAGTTTTGATCGACTTACTGGGAGCTCCACCATTCTAAGGAAAACGTTTGGATGCATATGTCATTTTTATTATTTTATTGGTTCATATTTACATATAAAATGTTTTGATTACCAAAACTTGCAGCAGAAACGTTATATAGTAACATTTGAGTTCATCAAACTTTCCATCAAGCAATTGTTATTGTTTCGAATAACGGAGCCCCGCTTGACAGTCTCCCGAATGACCAAAACATTACAAAACTGCACAGTTCCATTCCCACACTGTGTATTCTAATTAAAGAAATATGTTGGTTTTTATAGAATATATATGTAGGACTCAAATCTATGGTGGGTTCCAGATCCATGGCAGATCCCTGATCTATGGTAAATATGACGTCCTGCCATTCCAAATCTATGGCAGATTTTTTAGAATCCTAATATATGGCAAATTTTAGTTTCCTAATCTATGGCAGATTTCTAGTTTTCAAATCTATGGCAGATTTTCTGCAAATGGAGGAACAGTCAATATATGTCTGACCAATGATTTCAAAGTTGCCTTCAACATGTGGAAGTATCCTAAGGTATAACGAAAAAGCCAGTATAAGAATAACGGATAAGATGTACGACAACGGAAGCATATCCATAACCATTTGTGAAATAGACCTTCCATAATGATCGACCAAATCGTGATGACAACCATAAAATTTTCTTAGTAGGAAGTGATATATACTCATACAGACTTTGAAATGATGTGCTCCGGGAGAATAAGCATTTACTACTCTGTGCATGATACCTTGTTGACCCTGTCATTTAACCAAGTCCCTTAAAACGCCCAAAAAGCAGTTTTTATTAAAAAGTTTGACTTTTAACCTAATATTTATTTGAGCGTTAAAAAACTGATGACAATTGAAGTCAAAGTCTTGTAATGACCAATGGCTTGTCTCAAAGAAGTGGCTTTCTTCAAAAATCCAAATTTCTCCAACAGTACAATTATTCGACATAAATAAAGCTGAACATAATGTGAATAGTTATTAGGAATGTATGACAGATTTTTTTTTTAGTTTTCAAATGTCAAGAGGGATAATTTGCTACAATATAACAGTCGCTGTAATAAAGCTGATAAGTGCTAAAGATTATGTTTAAAGCAAATTTGAAGAGTACCATATGAATGAAAAGGCAACAAGAAACAGCCTTTGCATAAAAAAAAATTATTAAAAAAAAACATACCAAATTCACAGTAAAAACTCGTAAAATCAAGAAACAATGTAACACTAGGAACACAGACGAGGATAATAAAAGAAGGAGCGAAAACAAACACGAAACATAAACACAGAAAACACCAAAAACACAAAAAACATATTCATTTGCGCGAAACTGCCTGCACTAGCGATTTTGCTGCTACGAATGACTATGGGTTTGTTTGCTAGTATCATCCGAATCAAATGAGTACATCTTCTCATTTGCAGGGATTTCTGTCACCGTAGACTAGAATTCTGAAATATAATCTAATTTATGGATTAGGTTCCTTGAAAACTGGCCTTTTCTTTTCCTTCTATAGAACAAAACCGTCAGAGTTAGCGGCAGCGTGAACATTATGCATGTTATAGTTTACTCCTCTTCCCGGAAAATTACGTAATATCAAAATCTGCCATAGATTTGGAGAAAACATAAAACTGCAATAGATTTATGATTTGTTTGGCGTTTGTGACGTCACATTTACCATAGATTAGGAATCTGCCATAGATATGGAACCCACCATAGATTTGAGTCCTACATATATGTTTATATTGCGGAGATATAACGTTGTACTCTGTTTACACAAGGTTAAAAACATAATATATGACATAAACAATTTATGGAGTAATGTTCTTATCTAAACAATTGTCATTTCTGTGTTTTTACTTACCACCTTTATTAATTGGCTTTTTTTCTGTTTTTGTGTTGATATATATCTTGCCTTACTTGATATTTTGAATTTGCGTGAACGGGTAGATTCCGAATTTTTCTTTTAAAATATTTGGATCTTACTTTACTAATATATAGCATGTGTCGTAGCATTTGGTTTTTGGATCTCAACTTGCTCCGGGATAATATTTTCTGACTTTTGTACAATATATCCTTGTTGCTGCTATCGTATGATTTCTCCTCAGGACTTAGTCATCCCTTCCTCAATAATGCGCCATTTTGAGCGATTTGAATTCCTTAGCTCAATTTTAAGAACCAAGGCAGAAGCTGGTCGTATGTTAATTAGGAAAAGCACTAAAAACGAACAAAGATCACATGTGACCACACTGACATGGACACATCATTCCGACTAGGAGAAAATCACACCTTCATCGGCATTCTTGCTATCAATGACCTTTTCACTTGAAGCAAACAAGATACCTCGAGACCTCATGTTGTATTTCATAATTAAAGTACAGGTTTAATGATGGGATAGCAAAGGCATATATAGACTCCAACGTATTTGTGTGTACTATACCTGGGAACAGTATATCAATATATATGTTCCTGACTATACTTAGTAGTATGTATTTCTTTAGTTTTTTGGAAGATGTTGTGACGTCTTGTTTTTTTTAACTTGTGACTTTTTTTAATGTTTGCTTTTTGCGTTTTTGCTACTCGAAGCCATTCGCTTTATTAAATATTCCCTAATATTTATTGACAGTTTCATACGATATTCCCGCCATCTTTAAATTATTACGTAACAAACATCAGTTCTCATTGGTTGCCTAATGATGTGGGAAAGATTCTATTGGCTGGAATGAGATATAGAATTGGGAACATGTCCTGGAGAGGAGAAGATATTAAATACGGACAAAATTACAGTATGAGTACCCGACCAATGATTAATTTTGCCTTTACTGGTTTACCTTGCTATATAATGTCGAGTCAATTCGTGTTGATAAATTAAAAGAGGGGCAAAGATAAACAAGTTTCTGAGTGCTCATCTGATTATGTTTTAGATACACCATAAGGGCATAATCCCGAATGGGTGTATCTAATTAATATTAAGGCATTATTGTTAATGCAGAATGATAGTTTTCAATAATTTAGGAGGGGTGTCTTTCAGCGATTTGACCATATGTTATTGAAAAGCATGATAATTGCAGTGTATCTAATTTCATTTAACGACATCTTGGTGTAAATATGCATATACACCAATACTTAAAATACACATAACTGCCAGTGATCTTCAAGAAAATTGTCAGAATACGTGTATTCCATGTTATAAAACAAAACAAAAATTGATATAAAAACACAGCTACGTCAAGACCATATGATACACTCGAATTGTGCATTAGAATTATGGTGAGAAGATCTGAAATAGTTATGCATCTAATAACAACTTAGTAACATTGCTGTGTAAGAAAACATGCATTAGGATATCCATATGCAAATAGATATTGCGACAAAATTGACTGTTGAAAGTCCCATAACTTTATGGAACGACGAACTATAAAATGTTTAAATCCAAAGTGAGGTTAGATTCGCCAATATTAACAACAACGTAAAGTAAATAGTTAATCCAAACATGAGGGTGTGGATGGGGGTTTACAGAATAGAAAATAATAGGCAAAAAATATAAAGAATAGAAAAAATGGATAAAAAAAATAATGAATAGAGAATAATGCGGTGCTAAAAGAAAAGAGACTGATGGGCAAAAAGTATAAAGAATAGAGAAAATGGCATAAAAAATTAAAGAATACAGAAATGAAGGACTTCCCCCCCCCCCCTCAGGCCCTCAACCATTTTAGATCTAGAGTATGCCATGTAGAATATTACCATAAGTCCGATAACTGTGGAATGACAAATAATAAATTTTCAAAAATCAAACTGTATCTTATGTACTGTATGACGACACATAAGAATTTTAAAATCAAAAGAAAGTTTTCGTCTTTCAATCCTAATGTTCCGTTTTAGTTTCGTGTGAATTGCTAAAAGCAAATTTAAGTTATGTAGGAAGTATTCATGAACGAACTACAGTATACCACAATGCACCCATCTAAGACGGGCTGATAAGACCACACTTGTGAGTATATGGGGGTATGGATGGGGTTTACAGAATAGAGAACAATGAGCAAAACGCGCAGAATAAAAGACCAGAAAAATAAAGAATTAGAGAAAAATAGGCCAAAAAATTAAAGCATAGAGAATTATGGAGGGTTAAAATATAAAGAATGGAGATTAATGGACAAAATTTATAAAGAATAGAGAAAAATGGCCTAAAAAAATAAAGAAAACAAAAATGAAGGACCCCCATCCAGACCCTCGAATATGCACATAGGGGATAAATAAACTTTTCTCGTACTTAAACAACCATATAAACCACACTTTACTTTATTATGATACAGCGAAGCACTCCAAAGCTTTTTAGAAAGCTGAAACTTGTAAAGACTTAGGTTAAACTGTTTTTGATATGCATAACTCAAGATTTATAAATCCAAAGGCACTGTTATTGCGAGGTAGAATGATTATTTTCACACCGGTGATGATGTCTATGACGATGTTGTAGTTTCCAGATGATCAGTGCTATATTAGGTTAGTTTTATTAGAGGTGTATCAATTTATATCTGATATGTATCATTGGTAATTTTTATATTTTAAATGACGGATATCAATTTGCTTATCAATAGCTTGAAGCTAGACTAAAATGTTGCAGATCTTTTTTAATATCATTATTTTTTCACAATAATTTTGGTCAGAGGCGATTTAGGACTTAAAATTTTGTAAAAAAAAACCTCCACCGTTCGTCATAAACGAATTCTATTTTCTTATATCAGTATAAAAAGAAATACATGCACAAAAATTTGTTTGGGGTTCTTAATGCTTCATCTGACTGGACCTATAGGAAAGAGCTTTTGTTCGTAAGGATCAGCATAATATCATAGGATTCATCAAATTTGCCTTGTGAGAAAATTGATAAGCATCTGAACTTAACAACTTTAGGTTGAATTATCTCTGCGGTCGACAAATAGTTTTATCTTGTATATAGATAAGATTAAATAATTTTCTTCTTTAATATGAATAATACCATGACATCTGATTTTGTTTTTAATTAGTCATTAGCTCTATAGTTGATGTCATCAACTTCAAATTCTTTAATTTTCCATTAATAATTTGATAAATTATTGGAAATATATAGGATTCAACCCCAAAAACATATCTTAGATAGTTTTGGCTACTTTCTTTAGACCCCTTTCGGGGATATAGCTCCTAAAATATTTGTATATCTTTGCCTTTCAAATATTTGATTTGAGCCTTCCTGATAAAAGTAAATCCAGAAAAGTGCTTCGGACGCACCAAATTATTGTTTATAATACTTATTTGTCAAACATTTTTTTAAATCTTAACATTTTCATGTACTTCGATTTATTTTCATTTCATTTTTTTCGTTTTGCAAAAAAAAGTTCATTGAATAGTCCATACAGGCCGATATTGAAATACAACCGCTGATTAAGTGTATTCAGTCTCGTGTAAGACAAGATAAGTTCACTCTTTGATAGCTGGAGGTCATTGTTATTATGTAAGATTATGGTAACTGTCATCCAATGAAAATCTACACTATTGGTTATTCTCAAATTAAAATGGTAAAAGTTGCAACATAAGAGATTTTAAAACTTCTTTTATCATTTTGACTTCTAAAGATAATGTCTGTGCATATTAGAAACATTTTAGCTTGTACCTTTTATTTGACTATTGCAACACCGCTTTTCACAAATGGAATAATCTCGGGACAGAAGATAGACCCAGATGCATATAAAAACGTGGTAAGTGCTTCAACATCAGTGGCGGATCCAGAAGGGGGGGGGGGGGGGGGGGTCCGGGGGTTGGAACTCCCCCTTTTTTTGACGATCAATGCATTTGAATGGGGACATATAGTTGGAACCCCCCCTTTTTATCCTGGGTTGGGAATCCCCCTTTTTAAAATGGCTGGATCCGCCCCTGAACATTTTAGAAAAAAACAGTGAGATATAGAAAATGCAAAGTACAAGAAATTATTTCCAAATAGAATGCACGTAATGTTATATAAGAACCCTGGGGTATCTTAACGAAGGAAGCTTACTTCAAAAGAGCACTTCAATAAGTTGAATTTCTGATATACTTTTAGGACGAATGTTTCTCAAAAGAAATGATACCATATCAATGTGAACAAACCGTGTTACTGAAATGGCTTTATCATGTACCCTCGTGACAAAATGATAAAATCTAATGAAAACATGCACACTCTCTTGTGGAGAGTGGTCTCATTGGCAATCATACCACATCTTCTTTTTTATATTATACATGCATCTCTTTCGGTTATAATTAATAAATGATCAAAAATACGGCGTCTAATAAAATGTTAAAATATTTTGTAATTTTCACGTATTTTTATTTTCTTGAGTGTCATTAATATTCTTTGTATATAAGACTCTCAATTCGTTTTCTGTCTGTTCCACTTCAAGGTTATCATTTGATGATGTCTTATTTTAGTCACAGCTGATTACCAGCAAAGGATATCCTTTCGAAGAACATTTAGTCGAGACAGCAGATGGATACATACTTGGTTTACACAGGATACCTCCAAAACATAAACAAGGTATATCGTTGCAGCTCGGGTAGATTGTCAAGCATGCATGTCATACATATATGTTTTTCTCTCTCTCTCTCTCATTTGTTATGGCTATTTCAAAATTTAGTTTAAATTAATATTAGAAAAAAAGCATCACGGTAAGGGCTAAAGTAACGTATATCTATAATATAATAACAGCCGGCATCGATTTTCCTTATTTCATGTACTAGTACTATTATATATCATACCGACGATGTCTGCTCTTGTTTGTGTTTATACACACAAAACAAATTAATCCATAGACTGTTTATTATTACATTGAAATTCTATCGTTGAAGGAAATAACCAGAGTATACCTGTAATATTGCTCCAACATGGATTGTTGTCATGTTCAGCATGCTGGGTAGAAAATCTAGCCAACCAGAGCCTCGGTTTCATCTTGGCTGACAGAGGGATGGATGTCTGGATGGGAAACAGTAGAGGAAACACATACTCTAAACGACATAAAACATTAAAACCTACAGATGAAAAGTTCTGGGATTTTACGTAAGTTTAGGAAAAAATCAACAAACAAATGTATTTGACAAAGATTAGTTTTGAGACTATCTGGACCTATCAGCCCTGGTTGATTCTTTTTTTAAAAGTTCAAACAGTGCACGGTGAAAATTCCATTAAAATGTCCTTATAGAACATATATATTCAAATGATTCTTTTCCTCACTATTAATCCTGTTGTTAAAGTATACTTTTGTTTGCTCCATTTTAAAATGATGTCTTACAGTTTAATATTGTTTGAGAGCCCATTTAATGGAAATAAAACGTCTTCTTCTTCTATACAGTCTAGATTTTCATCGGACAATGCATGGTTTTCTTTTTCTTTATGAAATTTTAAACTAAAATATTGATAACAAATTCCACTAATGTTCCGATAAGGGTTGCAAAATCAAGAATTTGAAGAAAAAAATATTCTAACTTCATTTATGTTTTCATTTTCATACAAATTATATGATTGGAATTTTGTAGATGGGACGAAATGGCAAAATACGATCTTCCTTCCACAGTAGACTACATAGTGAAAACAACCAATGTCAGTCAGATATATTATGCCGGTCATTCCCAAGGAACAGAGATTGTATTTGCTGAATTAGGGCGAAATCAAACATTGGCTGCTAAAATAAAACATTTCTTTGCTCTTGCACCGGTAGCTACAATGGGAAATGCTACTGGACCCTTCAAGGCAGTGGCTCCATATGCTCAAGACATAGATGCAAGTTTCTTGTAAACTATCATCATGAATTGCAAACCCTGGAGAAAAGATTGACAATTAAACATTTTTGTATACTTAAATCACAATTGACAAGCAACATCACATAACTAAAAAAAATCACCTAACAGCTCAGACATGAAAATAATTTCAAGAAAAACAAACATAAAACAGTTACACTTGAGACCATGTATACTATCTGTATAAATGACTGCTTGCTTCTGTATTCAATACAATTATACGGGGACTTTCTATTATAATTTTGCAATGTACATTCTCATTTTGACGACTGACTTTTAGCAAAGTATTAATTTCTACTAAGGAATTGTTTATTATGAATAAAAAGAAGATTCATGGTATTCGTCAGTGACTTAGGAATCGATCGACAGATATAACAAACATTAAAAGGAACATTTCTCAATGACACAGGAATCGATCGACAGATATAACAAACATTAAAAGGAACATTTCTCAATGACACAGGAATCGATCGACAGATATAACAAACATTAAAAGGAACATTTCTCAATGACACAGGAATCGATCGACAGATATAACAAACATTAAAAGGAACATTTCTCAATGACTCAGGAATTGATCGACAGATGTAACAAACATTAAGAGGAAAATTTTTCAATGACACAGGAGTTGATCGAAAGATATAACAAACATTAAAAGGAACATTTCTCATTTTTTCTTAATCCTTGAAATACTGTTTTAAAATTCATACAGAGCTTATGATATATGTTTATTATGCACCGACTTTGTGAATAAAACTTTTATCTTTTATACACTTTTGTAGACACTTTTCCAGCTGCTAGGCAAAGGTGAATTTCTGCCATCCTCCGACTTTATTAGCTCGAATGCGCGTGAGTTCTGTGGAAATGATTATGGCAGTATTGTTTGTGAAAACTTAATTTTCTTACTTGCTGGGTATGACTCAAAAGAAATTAATCGGGTAAGCCAGATATACGGCATTTTTGTATTTCTCCCTATTTTTAGTATGAATAAAGGAGATGTTTATTTTTTTCATTGAAATAACACAAGTTTTATAACAAAATGATGTATCTTAATTGATTCCTGACTTATAATTATTATCGTTTTTTATATAGATTAGACCATTGGTTTTCCTGTTTGAATGGTTTTACACTAGTCATTTTTGGGGCCCTTTATAGCTTGCTGTTCGGTGTGAGCCAAGGCTCCGTGTTGAAGGTCGTACTTTGACCTATCATGAATGTATGACCGGACAATTTGGACTGTGCAATGAAATTAGTTTTTAAACAACATTTTATGAATTCAATTGTTTTAATGTATATTCTTGTTTTGCATTTATTTTATTATTCTGAACTTTGTCGTAAATTTAGGCATAAGTGTTTTACACGGATTATGTGTCATAATCTTGGACAAAGGACTTAAATTCATTTACTCTATTCATTTAATTATGTTTTCTCTGTAACAGTTTAGACAATAATTTACTTATACGTGTCGGACATTAATTACTCTTCTAATCTATTGTTATTTCTATTTGGCATATGTTAATCTTCTTAATCCTTTAATTGCTTGTGCTTATATATATTGTTATTGTTTGTATGTAACATTACATTTGGTTCGGAGTTTGTTGTTCGGTCTTGCCGGACTGCTTAAAATAAAGTTTAAGGAGCGGAATATTCCTTCTTGATTTCCATTTAGCCGGAACGCCATTTTACCCGGCTATATCTGGTGTTAGAACATCCGGGCAACGCATCTATCGGATACCTTGTTCTACCTGTGAAGCTGATCCCCCAGCAAACAGAAAAATGGATACGCGGAGAACCAGAAATTTTGACCGAGACTGGAGATACCAGATGGCTGATCATGGAACTACCTTTCAGACAAGAAATTTTCACCATATGGACAACTACCTATGTAAGTTTTGTGGAAAGACTGTGAACAATCAATTTCATTTTAGACAATGTATAGCAAAAACGTCATTTTGCTATAAGTGCAGAAGTTTTGGACATTACGCCAGAATGTGTAATTTTCACAGACAACCGGACGTGAAAGTTGTTAAGGTTAAATATCGAAATCCAAGTTACGTCGTGACGCAGAAAGAATGATAAAATTCAAAGATCAGAAAGCTATGTCAATTTTTCCTTGTTCGGAACTCAATACTATAGAACTGATGGACTTCTTTCCAACCTTAGAATATAACAAGGAATTCATAGATAACGTAAGACTCAGGCACGACCGAGTGAATTCCGAGAGAGTTAAATTCAAAATTAAAAGTGTACACTATGAAAAGAAATTTAAAGAATTAAATCAAAAGCATACCAGTGTTGTTAGCAATCTAGAAAAACTTCAAAAACAAGGTGCAGATGATAAAAAAGATATGGAAAAATTACGGGAACGCATTACTGATCTTGAAGAAGCTAATTTTCGGATTTACGATCAAAGATGTGAAGCAATTGACCAGCAATACCAATTACAACGCGACAAAGAACATATGCGGGATCGAATCACCAAACTAGAAGACGAATTGGACAATTTTCGGAAAAATACAAGAGAAGATAACTATTCAAACCAAAACTATCGTTACAGAGGACGCCACAACCACAGAAGAAACTTTCGGAACAATTTCAGATGAACAGTAAGACCCGGGTCGTGTCTTCAAGGGCCGCGGGAATATATGACCGGACAATTTGGACTGTGCAATGAAATTAGTTTTTAAACAACATTTTATGAATTCAATTGTTTTAATGTATATTCTTGTTTTGCATTTATTTTATTATTCTGAACTTTGTCGTAAATTTAGGCATAAGTGTTTTACACGGATTATGTGTCATAATCTTGGACAAAGGACTTAAATTCATTTACTCTATTCATTTAATTATGTTTTCTCTGTAACAGTTTAGACAATAATTTACTTATACGTGTCGGACATTAATTACTCTTCTAATCTATTGTTATTTCTATTTGGCATATGTTAATCTTCTTAATCCTTTAATTGCTTGTGCTTATATATATTGTTATTGTTTGTATGTTACATTACATTTGGTTTGGAGTTTGTTGTTCGGTCTTGCCGGACTGCTTAAATAAATTAAAGTTTAAGGAGCGAAATATTCCTTCTTGATTTCCATTTAGCCGGAACGCCATTTGACCCGGCTATATGAATGGTTTACTTTTACAAATTGTGACTTGGATGGAGAGTTGTCTCATTGGGACGCATACCACATCTTCTTATATCTATTATAATTATTATTGTGGCTTTTGAAGTTATAAAGATATCGCAAATAAAAAATGTAATAATGCATTCATTGATTAATTGCTCTGCTTTTTGTTATACCTTTTTCCAGACAAGAATTCCTGTCTATGTAGAAGAACACCCAGCTGGGACATCAGTTAAAAATTTTCTACATTATGCTCAGGTAAATGTTCTTCATTATTCACAGGTCAACTTTCTTCTTGATGCTCAGGTAAATTTTCTTCATTATGCTGAAGGTAATTTTTTCTAAATTACGCTCAGGGAAATTTTCTGCATAATGCTGAGGTAAATTTTCTTCTTGATGCCGAGGTAAATTTTTCTTCATTATGCTCATGTAAATTTTCTATATTATGCTAAGGTAAAACTTTCTTCTTGATGCTTTAAAGATAACTTTTGTTTATGATTATTTTGCTTTATTATAGCTAAGTAAAATATCTTTACTGTGTTAATAAAAATGTCATTTACTATGCTCGAGTAATTTTTCAAAGTAGCATTTTCATAGTCCATTGTGAGCTTTTGCTATCACTTGGCGTCCGTCGACTGTCGACAAGCGCCGGGTGTCCGCGGTCCTACATATACTTTTTTCAAAATTCTTCCTTGAGCCAATTTAAACTTTTGGCCTGAATCATCCTTAGGTAGTGAACTTTTTAAAAAGTTCTTTTATCAAGATAATCCTGTAAACGAACCATCATGACGACTGTGACTAAACAGCATATATGCGTAACGTGTAAGTAGAGCATAATATATTGAAAAAAAAACATTATACAAATGTAATACTATATAGAAACTGGCATCGATAAAACACTCAAAAGACCTATAACCGTCTTGTACGAAAATTGTCAGATGACCCCTTATAAAAGATTTTGCCCTGAATGACGATTTTTCTCCAATTGAACGTTTTGGCTCATTATTTTGAAAACTTTAGCTCTTCAACCTTGTACTTTATTTGTCCTTTTTAAAAACTTTTTTGATTCCAGCGTCATTGATGATTCTTTTGTAGACGAAAAGCGCGTCTGGCGTACAAAATTATAATCCTGGTATCTTTGATGAGTTTTTTAGTAGACGGATAGAAACTGAAAATACATTTGTAAGCAGCTATACAATGTCTACCTAATGCTTACATGATAGAAACCATCAATTGCCCCATTAAAGGAGTTATTGTTCTTTCGCGACAATTTTTAATAAATTCAAGCGTTTTTTTTTGTTGTCTTTTTTAGTGAACACAAACTGTAAATAAACAAAAATAGTCCGCAATACAAGATCTGAAATTGAATTAGTTTTTCCTAAAGGGTTAGCTTAGTTCATTATCTAGCTGCAATAATGCATGTTGGAATTGTTAAATGATGATATCAAATATGTCTTTTTACAGATTTTCATTGTCAATCATAGATAAGTTTTAGATTTCAACAAATTTTCAGGCTGTTTTGAGTGGAAAATTTCAGATGTTTGATTACGGTTCACCAACAGCCAACATGGGACATTATAATCAGGTAGGTCGAGATTGACATTTGTTTTAACCTGAAAGTATCTTGAATCTCCATGCAACAGCGGGATATAGCTATAGGTCTATTCTATGTCAAAAATACATGTTACTGAGGATATGGATTTTTCAATTATCACAATAAATGGAAAGTTCGGGTATACTGAGTGCCGCAACTGTTCATCCCTACCACAAAAAGTTCTGGTACTGCTGCTAATGGACTGCCAGCCGACGAATGTTCAACTAGCCAAGTAACCAGTTATTCGGTTCTGCTACAGCTGCTATTGGACTACCACTTGATTATAAGTAGCAAGCATTCGTAATATGCGTCTCTAGTAAAAACAATGAGATCTAGTTCCATATATTTTGATATACTACTTAACTACCAGCAAACAAAGTTAAATTCCGATGCATCATTTCCAGCTTATATACATGTAATTTTCAAAATCTCTTGTTTCGTGTTTGAATAAATCATAATGGTGTATATTCCTTAATAAGGCATCAACACAGCGACACAGAAAAACAATTAAGACATCGTGAGGTCAAAAGACGGTGTGTGTTTTTTATTCATTGTACATGTATATCATTATTTAATACCTTTTCTGTCGGTGATTGAAACATAGTGACTAAATTGTATATTCCGATGTAAATTTTTTGTGGAAAAGATAAAGGCTGCTAAGTGAGCTTTTATCATCTGAAGAATCTAGCTTTGAAATTTGTTATTTCAGACTACTCCTCCTTTGTATGATTTCAGACTACTCCTCCTTTGTATGATGCGAGTTTAATGAAGAATAGCGTATCGCTATATTCTGGTGGAAATGATATAATCGCTGATCCTACCGACGTCAAGCTCTTACTACAACAGCTCCCAAACATTTATCGTCACGTTAACATTACCACTTATGAGCATCTAGACTTCATTTGGGCCACAGAAGCCAAAAGACAATGCTATGATGACATCATTTTAACAATTGTATCTCGCGAAAACCTTTAACTTGCTATAGGTATATGAAAGGGATCATGGCAAGCTGAGTGAAAACCTTTTCCGTGTACGTGTTCAGTTATTCTTATATGTGTTAATATATGTCTAATAATACTCTCTTTCTTCGGCGGTTATATATATTTGAATACACTGAATAAAAAAACGTCCATCTACGTCGAATATCTTAAACTTAAACTATTGAAAGTGATAAATTGTATTTGAACGCTACAGTTCAGAGGGAACAACTCGCAAAGGAAAGCCAAGCGTTTACGATGAATGTTAATAAACTCCATTGTTAGGTGAGGACTATTGGATTTTCTGGAGATCAGCCGGGAAGATTTTGGAAATCTATAAAAATAGTCATATAGTACGGAAGCCGATAAGGGCCATTCAAAATTAAAAAATTATGTCGTAATTACGACATAGCATGTCGTAATAACGACATAACTATGTCGTAATTTCGACATAGCATGTCGTAATAACGACATCACTATGTCGTAATTACGACATCGCTATGTCGTAATAACGACATCCTTATGTCGTTATAACGACATCGCTATATATATATATAAAATAGTATGTATAATGATTGCCAAGAGACTATATGACACAGAAATTAACAACTATAGGTCATCATAATGCCTTCAAAAATGAGAAAAGCCCCCACATAGTCAGCTATTAAAGGCCCCGAAATGTCAAATGTTAAATAATTTCATTCAAACGAGAAAACTAACGGCTTTATTAATGTACGAAAAATGAAAAAAAAACCAAATATGTTACACAGCAACAAACGACAACCACTGAATTACAGGCTCCTGATCGCTATGTCATAATTTCAACAACCTTAGCGTTGTCACTTTTTGAGGCGATAGAAAATTCAAAATGGTCGTCAGTGAGGGAAAAGTTTGAAGCGTAAACATATTCATCTTTTTTTGGAGAATAATGAACACTAAATGCAATCAAGCTTAATTAAAGTTATTTACTTGCACATATACTAGAACTTTATTTTATAATCAAGTCAAATGAGACCCAGTTGCACAGGGGAGCGATTCGGGCTTCTTGGAGCCTCTAGTTATGTTTGGCATGTACAGATTCGTGTAAAATAATGACTGCATTTCCATTGCAGATTCTGAAGAAGATGAATTTTAAGCTTTTCCAAATAAAGACTGTTAAACTTTGGACTCCTAGTCCTCAGACCCATGGACCTCTGTACCTTCATTTGTACACAATGGCCTACTGATGCTTGATGCAAATTATAACTGCATTGCTACTGTTGGTTCTTTATGAGATTCTTACAGAGTCCTCCCCATTGAAGCCTGTATTAAACGTTGGACCCCAAGTTCTTTAAACCAATGTTCCCCAGGACAACTATTCCTACAAACTTAGTGGAGGGTTGGGATCCCGTTAACATGTTTGACCCCGCCACATTCTGTATGTATGTGCCTGTCCCAAGTCAGGAGCCTGTAATTCAGTAGTTGTTGCTTGTTGATGTGTTACATATTTGTTTTTCGTTTATTTTTTATACATAAATTAGGCCGTTAGTTTTCTCGTTTGAACTGTTTTACATTTCTTATTTTGGAGCCTTTTATAGCTGACTATGTGGCATGGGCTTTGCTCATTGTTGAAGGCTGTACGGTGACCTATAGTTGTTAATTTCTGTGGCATTTGGTTTCTTGTGGCAATCATACCACATCTTCTTTTTTTATATTTAATCCTCATCATTTAAGGATCATCCATTCTCTAAGATTGATCCAATATGTCCTGTAGTTCTTAATGAGCAGATTTTCAAATCTTTTTCCATTGGAGCCTATGTTAAACTTTAGACCCCTAATAATCGAGCCTAATGGGTCCCCTGATCTTCACCTATCACCTAAGGAACTTGTGTCTCGTACTCGAAGTGGTATGCGAGCGATTGCGATCGTTTGTTGTCCGTCGTCGTCTGTCGTAAGCGTGTTTTAAAAATCTCCTTTGAAACTACTGTACAAAATTCTTTAAAAGTTAGTTTGATTTTTCCTTGTTAAATGTTTCCTTCACAAAAGGCATGCTTTGATTTTTGACTCCTTAAAAACACAGCCGCTGTTATTAACTTGAAAATATAGGACATAATGGTCACACATTAGTTTTTTCATAATGTCTCGAATATCGTTACATTTATCTCAAATCTGTTGAGGGTTCATCATGACAAAATGGACCTATGCCGAAAATTTCATTTATCATTTTCAAAAATGAATATGTTTACGATAGGGTTTTGATACAAACTTTGCCCTCACTGGCGGCCATTTTTAACTTCGGATCAGCTCAAACGTAAAAACTCTTTTTAAGGACCTGGATACTATTTACATATTGTATATTTATACTAAGTTATTTATACTCAGTCATTTCAGCGATCGTGAGAAGCAGATTTTGAACATTGATTTTTTCAAAGTCCCTTCGCGGTCATATTATGTGGAAATAACGACATCGCTATGTCGTAATAACGACATATAGTGTTTCGATGCTCACAAAGTAGCAATGTTAAGGTTGTTGTTATAGATGATATGTCGTAATTACGATATAGCGATGTCGTTATTTCCACATAATATGTCGTTATTACGACATAGCGATGTTGTTATTTTCCCATAATATGTCGTTATTACGACATAGCGATGTCGTTAATACGACATACTATGTCGTAAATACGACATAATTTTTTTTTTGAATTACCCTTATCGGCTTCCGTAATATAGTCATAATGGTATGAACTGAAAATAGATAATCTTGCCCAATTAAGGATCAAAATAAAATGTTCTGCTCCATAAAAAAACAGGATATAATTGTGTACAAAATTGAAAATACATTTTCGCGCTGTATTTAATAAGCCTGCCTTGCAACCGGTTAATTGAATAGTTTTATCTTTTCTTCTTGACATTTCTGGAGTTTAGTATCCTTTTTGGTATTTCTTTTCTTGTTGGTGATGGGTTTTCATTCCTTCTATGAGCCCATGGAGTTCTTTTGGTTTGTGTAATATATTTCCATACAACTACAAACAAAAATAAATGGGGAATGTGTCCATGGGACACAGATGATGCCCCCGCTTGCATATAAAGTGATAAAGAGACATAACTAAAGAACGGTAAAATTGACGCTACCCAAATTTGGACTTGATTTGAGTTTTGTGGTAATAAGCATTGCGTACAAGTTTCATAACATTTGATTGAGGCAAACTTAAGTTAGAGAACGGATACGAAGAACGGTAAAAGTGACGCTACCCAAATTTTGACTTGATTTGAGTTTTGTGGTAATAAGCATTGCGTATAAGTTTCATAACATTTGATTGAGGCAAACTTAAGTTAGAGAACGGATACGAAAAATTCAGCAATTTTACCATTTGTAAAGGGGCATAACTCTAGAACGGTAAAAGTGACGCCACCAAATTTCAAATCTGATCTGTATTTTGTGGTAATAAGCATTGTGTATAAGTTTCATAACATTTGGTTGAGGCAAACTAAAGTTAGAGAACGGAAACCTTTGGGACGTACGGACAGACGGACAAGGGTAAAACTTTACATATTTTCTTTTGCAAGGCGCGCCATTGGCCAGATCCATGGACGATTAAATTAATTTCACATTCAAGCTCACTTGGCCCTTTAACGTGAGTTTTTATCATCACTTGGCGTCCGTCGTCCATTACAAAAATAATCTCTGAAAATCCTGGTCGATTAGGCCGATATGGCTAAAAATTGAATATACATTTTCATGAATTATTTTAGGATCTGTAGAGATAACTATACAGAATGGGTTTTGCTCATTATTAAAACCCTTACGATGACCTATAGTTGCTTAAATCCTGGTTCTTTGGTCTCTGGTGTATAGTTGTGTCATTGCCAATATACCTCGTCTATTTTTTTTTTATATTCACTATATTCATAAGCACGATCGATCATTAATAGTATCTGTTTATCTTTAAAGTAAATTGTTAGTTAAAAGTGACATTGGTATTGCTGGTAATTTTAACTCTTCCACTTCTAATTTTTAGTATATCCGTTTTTTTTTTTTTTACTTATCTGAACAGAAGTGACCAGATTATGTTACCCTTTTCATTTATCAGTACAACAATAATAATTTTGAAAGAATTGAAGAACTTAACAATTTTTGTAATTTAAGGTGACAAATGGTTCTAATCCTCCTCTTTCGGTTAACTTCAACTTAAATTGATACATGGGTTTCAAAGCAGAAAAAAATGTGAAAAATTACACAAACTGAAGCCAAGTAATGTTTAAAGATAATACCTATAGTATAGTATTTGAGATAATAAAAAAAGTTCTCTAAAAATTACTTAATAATCATTACTTCACAATAACTCTTATAAAGAGTCATCCAATGGTCTTTTCATATCAGTATGTTGCTGATTTTAATATTGCTGTTCATTTTTGCTGTTTGTACCTAGCTTCCCATCATAGTTTTCATGATAAGACAAATAAATGGGGAATGTATGTTCGGGTTAATACCTCTGATATTCGGAGCTCCCCTCGAAAGCTGAGAGGGTACAGTGGTATTCATGAACACTCCCTAACAGGATTAATGGAGATGGGTCACTAACATATGTACAAACCACAACCAAGGGCAAATCCCCAACCCAACACCACGGGAGTGCTAGGACACCGGGAAGTCTGTTGTTATGGTGGAGGAATGTGTCCATGGAACAGTCACACAGACGATGCCCCCGCTTGCTTAAAATATTATAAAGGGACATAACTCGAGAACGGTAAAAGTGACGCAACCCAAGATCTGAGCATTGTGTAAAAGTTTCATAACATTTGGTTAAGGCAAACTTAAGTTAGAGAAAGGAAACTAAAAATTCAGCAATTTTTCCATTTGTAAAGGGGCATAACTCTAGAAAGGTAAAAGTGACGCCACCAAAATTCAAACTTGATCTGTGTTTTGTGGTAATAATCATTGTGTATAAGATTCATAACATTTGGTGGAGGCAAACTAAAGTAAGAGAACGGAAACCAATTTTGGGATGTACGGACGGAAGAGACAGCCGTATAGACGGACAAGGGTAAAACTTAATGCCCCCTCTGCAAAGGGGGGGGGGGGACATAAAAACACAAAAATGTGTTACATTTCATCTTTCAAGGACATTAACTCCTATAAGGAGTCGTTTCCAATAGTTTTAATTAATTGAAGGTCAAGAATTGCTGATAAATTTTGCTGTGTTCAGTTAATTTTAGTTTTTAGAATAGACAAAAACTTGAAAAATTCGTAAAAATTAGTCATTTCAGGGCAATAACTCTCAGAAAGAAACATCTAATAATTTTAGTTGAAATGGACATTCTGAGCATTTTTGCCCCTGGAGGATTTTCTTTATTATGGTTGTCAAGATATTTGACAAGTAAGCATTTCAACCTTATGTTCTTTATGTAGAGGGCCTCAGTGTCCAAGTGGTTTAGCTACAGTTATCACTAGCTTGTCAAAACTCAGGTTATGAGTTCCAACCCCGCTTGTGACAGGTGAGTGCGTCCCATCTTAATTGCTAGTTTTCTACCTAAGGTTCGTATTTCACTCCAAGTTCTCCATCTTCCTCCACCAATAAAAACTGACCATGATATAGCCAAAAGTGCTGAAAGTGGTGTTAAATACTAACAATCAATCAATCATCTATTTGTAGCATGATGACCATGTAAATTGTTGGCAGGAACCAATGGTTGAACTTGGTCCAGATTTTTGAAACTTTAAAAGTTTACTGAGACAGAAGCCATGTGGTGACAATGAAAATAAAAAGATAAATAAGTTTTGGCCTGGAAACGGTTATAAAAGAACCAAAACTACTACTAATACTTAATGTCTCCCTTCATCAAAGAGACATAATAAAACAATAATACAAATAACTTCTCTTACAAGTTTATTTACAACACTAACTTTTGTATTATTGTGAGCTATAATTCCTTTCATATTTGCTTCACAGGTTAAAAACATAAACATTTACACAGACATTGAACTAACACCTGTTCTCCATTTATTAACTTAATGAGTCTGAGATGAATGCTAAAAATGTATCCAAACATGAATATGGGAAAATTAAAACCAAAATAAAACAATTTTTCTCAAAATATGAACTGTAAAATGGATCTTCCACTAACAGTGATAATGAATATATGCTGTCAAACATAAAAATGTTCTAAGAATACACTAACATTTAAAGAGATTAAAAGATCTGGTTAACGAAGAGTCTATGTCTTCTGTGATCCCTTTTTGCCGATGAGTGATTTGTGAATATGTGGAATGACACCTGCAAAGAAAGAAAAAATAATAGATTATAACATCAACTCAAATGAAAAAGGGGGCAGGAAGATCACTAGCAAATATAAATCTTATCAACAATAGAACTCTGAATTGATGTCGAACATCCATTTAATAATAATTCAATCATTTTTATGACAAGAACATATTGATCAATCCTGCTGACTTAAGATTAAGTTCCACTCTGGAAGACAATATTCACAAGTACACATTTTTATTATTTTAAATGGACAAATTTTTGCTCTAGTTCCTAAATGCTGCATAGTTAGCAGAAATTGAGAAGCTGCAAATAACAATTTCTAAAGTCTTTGATTTGACCAAGCTAGAGATCAAATTCACAACACTGTACTATTCATGAGCTTCTCTACCTGGTGAAGGGGAGACAAATCCTACTCTAATATATTACTGGATAAAATCTAAAGTCATGCACTTATTTGTTCAATTCTTTCTGTCACTTTTTAAACTTAAAACATACAACATAATTTCAATATTATATTTTTTATTTATACTTCATTACTTATAACCACATGAATTTAATAGTGAACCAATGATAAAACTTTTAATAATAATTACAGAAAAAATAATGTAATCATTTCTCACATTGTAAACTTGAGGTCATGGAAACTCTTAAATTAGAAATGAAACAACACTTTACTTTTATTCCAATGACTTCGTGTTTTGTGCAAATGACCTATTGATGTTTGCAAATCAACTGCTTTTGGTTTATGATGTCATTTTATTTTCAATGTTAAAAGTTGCATGGATATTTATTACCTTCATTGGAAGACTTACTTGAAATTTGCATAAAAAGAGAAAAATTAGTCCATTTACCAAAATATTCATGAGCGTCAAATTACAAACGTCAAATGTAGGTTTTTATGTGTACAAAGGGAGACAATTCAACTTATTTTTATGATTATCTTTGACAAAATGCTGCTAATTGTTTCTGACTGATATATAATCTACAGAATGCTTACCACCACCAGCGATCGTAGCTTTGATTAGAGAATCCAATTCTTCATCTCCACGGATGGCAAGCTGTAAATGACGAGGTGTGATACGCTTTACCTTCAAGTCCTTACTAGCATTACCTGCCAACTCAAGTACCTAAAATAAGAAAATACAAGTGTTATAAAATTGTATACAAAATACATATCATATGGGACAAAACTAATTTAATCTATTGAGTTCCATTCAAAAGTAGTCACTTACACAAGTAACAGGTAAAGATCCCTCGTAAAGGTAAAGAACAATACCTCCTAAAAAGCAGAATTTTATGCTTTTTTCTATCAACAAGTGTGACAAAATATTAATAGCTAAAGTGTATTGTGGTTTTTATAAATTTTATTGTAAAAACAGACCAATTTCCAACTTCCAATAATTAGAAGTTTGCAATACTGAATAGTGTATTTGGAATAATTGTAACCCATTTTAGAAGTTAGTTATCTAATATAACATGTAAATGCATGTGATGTGTTAATCCACATCTATAGCATTCTTGAGGAGGTATTTACTCTTTGAGGGAAGTCCCAATGAAGATAATCTATATAGATGAGAAAATAAACATTATAGGTTCCAAATTTAATGGTCTTGTTTATGATGATGTTGTAAATACAAAATCTTATTTACTTATCTGAAATTTTATAATTGCACAGTATTACCATCAAGTCAGATATGAAAGAAAAAAAAAATCACTTCAAATGAAAAAGTAGACAATTTATTTGTTAAGCAAGAATTCTGTGAGTGATTTCTCTCTGAAGACACAGAAGTAAGAATTTAGAGATAGACAAAGTCAAGTTTCTGAATGTTAGTAATTCTCCTGGAAATTATGAGGACCATTTTTTTTAAACCTCAAGATTACAGAAAATTTTAATAAAATTACAATTATCCCCAATTTTGAAAGATTGGGAAATACAGAGACAATAATTTGGTCTGCATGTAATTTTTCTCACTGCTATACATCATTAAACCTCAACTATAAATGTGTGGTAAGTGTATATATCTGTGATTAAAATCATAATACACCTTATCGCTATTTGTCCGCCATTACTGGACATCACACAAGTTCCCGTAAAATTTTGACGTCATAATAGAAAATATCTGACGCCACAATGGAAAAGTGATTGTTGATTGACGTCAAAAGTTCGAGCGGGACTGATTCTCGGGTCAAGCGGGATTAGCGATAAGGTGTATTATATAGTGTGTTCTGTATTTGTTATTTTAACCCCCCCCCCTTTTTTTGCCCCCGTTTATTTTACTGTTACGCTTCTTATTTAAACATACTTCAGCTGTGAGGTATTCGAGAATTGCAGCGCTGTAAACAGCTGCCGTAGCTCCTACTCGTCCATGACTGGTTGTCCTGTTCTTTAGATGACGATGAATACGACCAACTGGAAACTAGAAATAAACCGTAAAAACATTTAATTGCTTTAAATAAGCCGCTATATTTGAATTGCATCAGATTTTTAACAAAAATTCATTTCCAATTCATTATGCGGTTTGACTAGTTTCATTCAAAATTCTTTCAAATTTCTTACCTGTAAACCTGCTCTCTGGGAACGAGAAACAGCTTTTGCCTTGGCCTTTCCTGAATCTTTTCCCGCTTTACCGCCAGCCTAAAATACGAGAAATTAACGAATTTAGAAGCGAATCGTGCTGAAATCTACAGCTAAATTGTGCATCATACATCAATGAATAACTTTACATATGTGAGAAACGTTGATGTTGACAAATAATGTCTGATTTTAGTCGATTCTTACCATAATTTCTTCAAAGGATTACTGGGTCAACCGACGCTTTTGCACACGACCTTAAATTTTACAATATCATGTGATCAAATAAACCAATGAACAAGAGAGTCTTGTTAAAATGAAAACACATAATTTGTTTATTTCTTTGTTCTTGTGCAGTTTATACTCAAGAAAGCCATAATTCTCGCTTAAGCTTATAAATATTGGAATAAATGATATGCAATACATTCTGTATCAGGTGTAAAAATGAACCCGGAAAACAAGGAACTAAGGGAGATAACTAAAATGTCTAAACATCAATTAGGCCACGAAAAAATACATTCGTTTCAAAACATATCATAAATGAGCATCATCATATTGGTCCTACATTACACATATACCTTTTATGAAAGTATGCACTGCATTTTCTGATTTCATGAAAGTTTTGAAAATGTGTCTAGCAATTAAACTGATCTGAACTTGAAAACAGGGACAAAACAAAGCAAAACTGCAGTGTAGGGACGAGTAAAAATAACCGGGTATGCATACACGTACACTATGGGATATGGGATAGTCCGATTGCTCTGACGCCAAAGGTCTTTATGGGTGACTTGCTTGGTCCCACGGCAGTCAGAGCATCCTCGGACTAGGTATAAGAAAACGGTTAAGGTACACAGTTGTAAAGCAAAACATTGTCCTATGAAATACTATTGTTCCAGAGATTGTTCCCAAGACAATATCATCAGTTCATGACTTTGTACTGATCATGAAATTTTGTCCCATCTATGAAAAAATGTCCATAAAAGGACAAATTTCCATATGAAATTTTGTCGATACACAGACAATATTTCATAGATGAACAGTATGCATTTTTGTCTAATTAAAAGAGAAACGAAGGATACGTACCAAAGGGACCGTGATTCAAACTCAAGTCGAAAATAAACTGACAACACCATGGCTAAAAAGAAAAAGACAAACAGACAAAAAACAGTACACAAAACACAGCATAGAAAACCAAACTATGATCAACTAGAACCCCACCAAAAACTGGGGGTGATCTCAAGTGCTCCGGAAGGGCTCTGTCAATGAAATCATCGGATAGGAAATACAAACCTTGGAATACCGTATCAACTGGGAGATATATACTCCGTATGCAGGTGCTGCTGGGATGTTGCTACATAGAAATGGGATGTTCACAATTAGGAAGCTGAAATCATCTCTTGTCGTAAAGTTTTGTTTTCAACCGACCATCATTGTCAATTTCTAGATCGGTAAGTCCAGATATGAGGCAGACTTAACTGTATCTGTTGTATCCTTACAGGGAGGTTATCCAAGGTTATATATTGTGTATATTGAGACAATATTACATTGATGGATTGTCATGAAATGTTGTGTCATGAAAGGGAGGTTATCAGCATTTAGTATTAAGGTTAGTGGTATCATTTAAGTGTTTTGTCTAATCGATGATAACAAACAAACAAACAAAAATAATCAATTATGCAGGTTTGTTTGTTATTATCAATTAAACCAAACACTGTAATGATATCATTATTTAAAATATTAAATGTTTATAACCTCCCTTTCATGGGACAAAATTGCATGAAAATCCATCTATGAAATATTGTCTCAATAACAATATATAACCTTGGATAACCTCCCTCTAACAAGACAAATTTTCCTCTATTCATTTATGAAAGGTCATGAAATATTGTCTGTATATGGACAAAATTTCATATGGAAATATGTTCTATGACATTATTACATAGATATGGACAGCATTTCATGATACAAAGTCATGAAATATTGTCTTAGGGGACAATATTTCATAGGACAACATTTTGCTTTACATGTACATGTATATTATTTGAAAATTTCTAAGCGGTTTTGAATCTGGAAAAACCTTCAGTCTTAGTAAAGTATAAGTGAAGCATATAAGAAAAGATTATGATCGGGCGGCTATAATATCGATAATTAATCAGTATTATTATCACTCTAGGGAAAAGAAACATATTGCACTCAGAAGAAGATAATGATTTTACAAAGTTTTCGAATTGGAAAGCAACGTTTAACTCACTTTTTAAAAGAAATTATGCACGGCAAATATTTCCACCCTAAAGGAAAGAATGAGATTGAAATTTATTGTTAGTAGGAGATCAAACAAAAAAAACCCATCTTAAATCGAAGCAACCGATCTGCGTGTTTTAGAGGAATGACTGTTAATAGTGTACCTATTATTGTTCTAATCAATTTGTGTTCGGTATATTTCCTGAGACAATATTCAGAAAATTTATAAAGTAACGAAGACATCTGTTAACTTATTATACTAATGTCTGATTTTAGTCGACATATGCAGAAACGATTTCGAGCAGCCTGTTGACCTGGTAAACTTTCGGAATTGCGCTCAGAAGGAAAGGCCATGTCCGGTAAGATTTCGGGTGTGAAAACTCGTATTACCAAAGAATTACTATAAATACACTGCCAATCGCGTTGATAGTCATGATAATACTTGGAAATGATTATGTTGTGTATCAGCTCTTAAAAAAGACCAAATTAGTCAGCAAATGGATACCAGCTACATACTTATTGATCGATTGTTAATGCTAAACGCCACTTTCAACATACTTGCGTTTTTAAAACATGGCGGACACTTCTCAAGATTGATGGACGAAGCCGGAGTACCCAGAGAGAACCACCAATCTTCGGCTAGCCTCGGGTCCTGATTCACTGCTTATTGCCAATCTTCGGCTAGCCTGTGGTCCTGATTTACTCCTTATTGCCAATCATCGGCTAGCATGGGGTCCTGATTCACTGCTTATTACCAATCTTCGGCTAGCCTGGGGTCCTGATTCACTGTTTATTACCAATCTTCGGCTAGCCTGGGATCCTGATTCACTGCTTATTACCAATCTTCGGCTAGCCTGGAGTCCTGATTCACTGCTTATTACCAATCTTCGGCTATCCTGGAGTCCTGATTCACTGCTTATCACCAATCTTCGGCTATCCTGGAGTCCTGATTCACTGCTTATTACCAATCTTCGGCTAGCCTGAAGTCATGAATCACTGCTTATTGCCAATCTTCGGCTAGCCTGTGGTCCTGATTTACTCCTTATTGCCAATCATCGGCTAGCCTGGGGTCCTGATTCACTGCTTATTACCAATCTTCGGCTAGCCTGGGGTCCTGATTCACTGTTTATTACCAATCTTCGGCTAGCCTGGGATCCTGATTCACTGCTTATTACCAATCTTCGGCTAGCCTGGAGTCCTGATTCACTGCTTATTACCAATCTTCGGCTAGCCTGGAGTCCTGATTCACTGCTTATCACCAATCTTCGGCTAGCCTGGAGTCCTGATTCACTGCTTATTACCAATCTTCGGCTAGCCTGAAGTCCTGATTCACTGCGTATTACCAATCTTCGACTAGCCTGGAGTCCTGAATCACTGCTTATTACCAATCTTCGGCTAGCCTGGAGTCCTGATACACTGCTTATTACCAATCTTCGGCTAGCCGGGGGTCCTGATTCACTGTTTATTACCAATCTCCAGCTAGCCTGGGGTCCTGATTCACTGCTTATTACCAATCTTCGGCTAGCCTGGAGTCCTGATTCACTGCGTATTACCAATCTTCAGCTAGCCTGGGGTCCTGATTCACTCCTTATTAGTAGACTTACTAACGCGAACGGGAGGTTGAACAAGAATGCTAGGACAACTTTCGGTAAAAAATTTGGAAATCCTATTCAAATAAGTCGGATTAAAACCCCACCTTGTCACGAGAGGGATTCGAACTCGCACATTTAGTTTTGACAGGCTATTCATAAGTGTAGCATAGGCCATCATGGCTTTGAAGTTCTAATCCATATTTGTGCATATTTACATAGACATTAGTATTGTGAACTATATATTTCAGTGTGTATATAGAATACTTGACAAGCCCGACTACATTCTGAAGTATGAGACCGACGCTTTATGAATGAATAGTAATAATACTTTCAATCTTTCCAAAAATGTGTAGAAATCATGATTTATAGATTCCAAAACATCACTACGGAGTAAATTGATAGTTTCAGTCGTATTGACATTTTTTATGCTCCATTTAGGGGCATTATGTTTTTCGGTCTGTGCATCCGTCCGTTCGTCCGTCTGTCCCGCTTCAGGTTAAAGTGTATGGTCAAGGTAGTTTTTGATGAAGTTGAAGTCCAATCAACTTGAAAACTAGTACACATGTTCCCTATGATATGATCTTTCTAATTTTAATGCCAAATTAGAGTTTTGACCTCAATTTCACGGTCCACTGAACATAGAAAATGATACTGTCCCGCTTCAGTTAAAGTTTTTGGTCAAGGTAGTTTTTGATGAAGTTGAAGTCCAATCAACTTAAAACTTAGTACACATGTTCCCTATGATATGATCTTTCTAATTTTAATGCCAAATTAGAGTTTTGACCCCAATTTCACGGTCCACTGAACATAGAAAATGATAGTGCGAGTGGGGCATCCGTGTACTATGGACACATTCTTGTTTACAGACCTTATCCTATTTTAAGCTGTGTACAGTTATCTGTCTATTATAGTTTTCAAGTGCATAATACGGGGTAAAATCTTGATGAAAGTAAAATAACTCCTGAAAAGAGTCATTAACGATTAAAAAATAGATTTATTTAAAGATCTTGTATTGCCGATCATTATAGCTGTTTACAATTTCATTATAATATATTATACTTTTCAATATATTGGGCAAAAACGCACTAACCATATTTGATTACCGTTATGTAATAAGGACGTTCTCGCATTAACATAATTAACCGGTGTTGGTGAGTTAATGTTGGTTAGTTTTTATACGAGAAAAGTTAACATAACAGCTTGATATACGTGAGGCAAATGTGAAAGCAAGGAAGTATCATTAAACCAGAAACATTTGATTGATTGGTTATTGTTCAGATGCGTATCCGCAAAAAAAGGGGATCAAAACTAGACAACGTTAGGAGTGGGACAAGCAATAAGTTTATGCATTAACCGAATATGAAGCTCCAGAAGGGGAGGCCCACGGGGTATCTCAACGTACAAATTGGGGGACAGACGTCCGGCTGGGGTGTAAAAAAAACCACCCCATTCATATATTGATTCATGCTAAAATCCCTACCCATT